AAAAAATGAATTTCCGCAATGAATACTGCAAGGGGCGTTCAGAACTCGATCTGTGAAGGGCTGAACAAAAGTCTGATGGTGATCCATAATGGATTGGTGGTGCTATTACACACATATGTTATTATATGTAGTATATATATATATTTATATAATTAATATATATATATGTATGTGTGTGTGTGTGCGTGCTCGCTTTTTTCTCTAGCATCAGAATCAATCTTCTCTGTCACCAAGAAAACGATTGCTCATGAGTCGCTGGTGACATCCTCAATGTTTTTGTGTGTCACGAGCTGGGAGGATCATGGCTTTTCGACAAACATATGGCTTTGAAAATAGGGCACCCCCAATCTTGATGGTTGGAAACCAACTTACCACCACGAAAATAGCACGAATTGGGGGCATCCCACATTTTTCAAACAAACGCGCAGACTGCACAAATTATATCCCAATGTATCTCGATTCCACTCCCTTATCGCTATTTCCCCCATCAATTGTATCTCATGTCATATGGAGGTTTCCGAAGTCATGGGGGTACCCCTAAATCATCCATTTCAATGGGATTGTCCATTATAAACACTCCATTTTGGGGTACCCCCATTCATGGAAAGCCCCCAAATCTTGCTGTTCAACAACTCTCCTTGGGGCCGCTACCGTGCCTTGCTCACAGGCTCCTGGCGCGGAAGGGGATAGCCATGGAACTCCCAAAGTTGGCTGTGGAAGATGATTTTCCCATTGGAACTTGACATTTTAGGGCTCCATGTTCAATTAACATGTAAAGTCAATTCAGTCAAAACTCGGTTTTCCTCGGGAAGCCACTGGTCAATCATATTCCAATATGGGATTGTTCCCCTTACTAAGGACAACACATCAAGTCTATCACCTAATTCCATCACTGGTTGGTGGTTCCAACCCTCCTGAAATACATAGTCAACCATGATCATTGTATATATATATATACATATAAGACATCCCAAACTTGGGGGTGATTCCTCAAACAGTCAAACAGTAGTCATCTTATGGAGTTTAGTCAGGCAGTGGAGAGTGGAGACGCTATAAACTATTCAAATGGGCCGTGAACATATTGGTGTCTTAAGTCATAAGTTTGAAAAGTTTGGTAACCCTCTGAAACTGTTGATTTCCCCAATCAAAATGATGATGTTTGCATGATTCTAGGGCCTCCAAGCAACGCCGTCAAAAGTTACAGCAGGTAGACAAAACTCTCATGTTTGCATGGTAAATCCATGGTTGGCATAGTAAATCCACAGTAAATCCGTAGTAAATTCATGGTTGCCTGCAACCGTTCCCTCAAACTACACCTAGTTTGATCCCATCGTTCAAGTGGCGTGGCACGGGCGGCCTCCTTCTTTGCCCCGCCGTGTCGCCAGGCCTCAAAGAACTCCGCGAAACTCGACCCCTCCAACTGTTAGGATACTGTGGGGAGCACGAAAAAGAAACCCAAAGTTGAATATATTGATATATGAACAATTAAATGTAATATATACATTAAAAAAATACACAAATATATACACACTGCTTGTTGATATTCATTACCGTGAATTCTGTGGGAACGGAGTGCAATGTTCGTTGGAGGTCTCGGAACTGGGATTTCACAGTTGCTGGCTGGGATATATTCAGATCGTCCAAGAATGATCAAAATGGAGCAGCTGTGGATCACTGACAGGATGAAAGGGAACGTTTACCGAAAAATGTTTACCATCCAAGGGTTGTCGTATCTTTCTTCATGGAGGCCTCCATTTTTCGGCAATGAATCAAGCCAATGATCCTGTCAAATAGTCCCTGTGGTCCAAGCCATGTCTTTTTGTCACAGGCACAGCGCACACTTCAAGAGGTCTGGCCATGTGAGACAAACAAAACCACCAAAAACTCCTTGGTCTCCGAAGTGTGAAGCAAGGAGCATCCGCATTGAGGCTGGGCTACCACTCATCAAATTGGATCTGCGTGGGATCAAATCTACACCACTCTCACAGCATGACTGAAACCTGCAGGTGCGCGAAGGCATACGACTCTCGGTGGGGGCCTGGTGGATTTTCACCTTGCAACTGGAGGAGGGTCCCCGGGCTCAGCTTGATACACTCAGACATCCAGGATTCCAGGAAAACTTTATGGCTATGATGATACTGACATTATCGATGGACTATTTGAAGGAACAATCTACAGGAAATGGTAAAGAGAGAGGTGCTTCCTGAAAAAAACATAACCCAACCCAGCCACATCAGTTAGTAATTACAATGTTTCGGGCGCAACATCCACACATCACTCTCTCAAGTCTTTTGACACCAAATCAGGCACACACCGAGTTAGTCAAACCTGGTAATGCTACGTGCGTGTGGGGGACAGGCTGGGCTGCATGCCAACTCTCCACCTCTTCACCGCCGTGTTTTGGTCGCCCCAAAATTCAATGCGCAATTCAACATGGATTGGTTTAAGGGAAAATCTTAACCGGACGCCATAGATTTTCCCATTAAGATCATGGGGTTTTCCTGTAAATTTTCCCTTAAACCAATCCATTGAGAAACGACATGGAACCCGAAATTTAGCAAAGATTTTCAACTGGGGAAGTCATGGTCCAAGTCCCAAACTGTTCCTCCACCGTCACCAGGCTGCGGATCTCTCATGTTTTTGCCGCTTCGCAGGGGAGCATCCACGGGAAACCCGGAATGGAAGGGTCAAACGGTACAATGAGGAAAATGTTATCAAGGCAAAAACAAGAGATTATTTTACAACTATAGAATGATATTGTATTTTTGAAAATTTTTATTTCAGGTCATGTTGGGGTGATTCTCTGTGACCATCATGGTGAGGACAGCCAAACAGTTCATTGCAAACACACAATGGCCGCTGATCTGTATGCCTACATCGATAGATAGATAGATAGATAGATAGGTAGATAGATAGATAGATAGATAGATAGATAGATAGATAGATAGATAGATAGAGATAGATAGATAGATAGATAGATAGATTAGATAGATTAGATAGATAAGATAGATAAGATAGATAAGATAGATAAGATAGATAAGATAGATAAGATAGATAGATTAGATAGAGATAGATAGATTAGATAAGATAGATTAGATAGATTAGATAGATAGATAGATAGATAGATAGATAGAGATAGATAGATAGATAGATAGGTAGATAGATAGGTAGATAGATAGATAGATAGATGATTAGATAGATAGATAGATTAGATAGATTAGATAGATAAGATAGGTAAGATAGATAAGATAGATAAGATAGATAAGATAGATAAGATAGATAAGATAGATAAGATAGATAAGATAGATAAGATAAGATAAGATAAGATAAGATTAGATAGATAGATAGATAGATAGGTAGATAGATAGATAGATAGATAGGTAGATAGATAGGTAGATAGATAGATAGATAGATGGATATAGTCCTATGATGTCCTAGGTGTGTATTTACATATATATATATATATGTGTATATATATATACGGTATATGTGTAGGCAAGTCACAATAGTTCATAAAGCTGAATTCCAGAGTGGGTAGTCATCAACCCAGATAAACTTACAGTAGTTGAGTCCAGTTCGAAACACGACCCTGCCAAAATGCTAAACCATATATCCATATATATATATATATAAATACGTATCTAATTCCAGGAGCCAGATATGTTGGCCGGATTGGGAATAATTGCTTCAATCTGAAAAACAATTAATTCTCGGTTGCTTGCTGGAAAGTATGATTTGCCCAGGCTGATTCGATAGTTTGCTCATTCTTGTCCTCTGACCTGTTGAAGAAATAAAACATGTCATCTTTGATTGTCCGAAACTCGGTGACGCACATATGTCAGACTTCAACGGAAAATCATAGGACATATCTTTGATCAATTGTTGAAATGCTGGTTCGCCAGTGCCATGACCAAACGGTAAGCTGGCTAGTGCCATGTTAGGATGACCAAGCTGCTGGCATCTTCACTTCCCTCCATTCCAGTCCAGTGGCAATGTTCTTATCTGCCTCCTTGTCCTCGTATTAACGATGGACATGGGAAAAACACGGTGGATATGGATTTGTCTGAACCTGGGGCACCCCAATTCCAAAGATAATCTTCCCCACATACCCTCTGGTTATTTCACATAGGGATGGAAGATGGTCCATGTATGGATGGTTTACTTATATTTACCTATTAAAGATGGTGAGTTTCCATAGCGGCATTAAACCTTAAACATTTTGGGGCCCAAGCCCCATGTTTTGAACAAGCCCATGTTGGACCACTTGAAGCAAGTGCCTCACAGGTTTGCCGTTTGATGTGAGAGATGGCACTGGGAATCGATAAAATAGCAGCAATGCAATAGATCGTTGAATAAAGATTGGGACCGGGAATCAATATCTACTATTTGGGAATGAACCTTTCGGAATCTTTGGGCTCAAATATTGTAGCAGTCAAGCTCTTCTTCAGCTGCTCTTAGGTTGCTGATGTCAATGTAAGTCGCAGCACAGGCAATCTGCATCAATCAACATCTTCGGCAGCGTGCCACGTATTGCGCCAGCCCTCAGTGTGAAAAGTAACATGCAAAGACTTCAATTCCTTTCGTCGTGTCTATAGTCACCATAAATAGGTGGTATAAACCATTACAAATTTATAAACCATTCCCTAATGGGCGGTTTATTCTATAATATTTATTGTTTTCCTATATTGTCTTCTCCGATCGCCGAAGAACTGGCACATTTCGCTGCGGAGTTCCACGAACTTCTGGAAGAGACGAGTAGCAGCTGATCACAGATTTAAGCACAATATGTTGATATATTAACGATTGGTTGGGACAACCATCACGGGAATTTTCGGCCCTTTTATCTCCACATAGTCTGCTGGGATGGTCACTATAGAGAGAGGTGACCCAAACAAAATGTTCCAAAGTTAAAAGGGGAAAAACACGATTCACCTATATAATCTCATAGATCTATAGGAACCCCAACGTGAAGTCTCAAGTCTTCAAGTCATCATCCGGGGCTATTCGTCCCTCTCCAGATCTTCCACGATCACCGCGGTGACGGCTCCGGCATCACTAGCGCTCCACGGGCCATCGTTCCACGCTGGTGGCGCTTCATCTTCTGGGGCACAGGGCTTGATGGGCAAGGGCAAACAGCGACCTCGTAGGAGATGATCAGGAGAAAAACAAGCATAATCCCATCACCTTACAATTAAACATACCCTTAGGAACCATGGTTTAGTAGGGAATTTCATGGAATTTCCATGTAATTGGGACCAGACAATGGGTGTTTAATATTCGGGGGATGGGATTATTATGCTAAGTTGGTTTAGTGTGTTTAGTTCATTCGATTTTTTCCTATGGATCCTTGGGATTTAAAAAACATGTTGATTGAAGCCCTGCAATTTGTGGATGTACCATGATGATCCATGATGTCCCACTTGAGATTTGGATGTTTATTTTATTACTGTATGGGTTGTACTGTCAGTATTATTGGATTGATTTAGGGAATTTCTGTGTTCAGAAGCAGCCGTCTTTGTCTGTTTGTTAACAAATAGAACTGTTGGTGGACAAATGGGGAGACTGCAGGACATAAGCAATGTACTTCTGAGATCTTAAAAGGTACTTAATTAAAGAATGATTTGCACAAAAAAAGGAAATCTGATTCCTTACTATAGGTAAAACTTGTATAAACGACCCGTGGAAAACTATAAGTTGGTTCCATGATGTCTTTGGTTTAAGGCCGCATGGTTTTCGTCAATTTCTCTGGACTGTGGAGGTCGAGTTTCCACACGGTCTGTAGGCGCCCCTCTTACCATGGTATAATGAATGCAGGATGTACACTCTGGTAATGAAACATGGCAATGCATGGCAATGGAACATCCCATATTCATGTTTTTCCCCCCTTCAAGCCTCTCTTTAGTTCATTTACTTTGAGAGAGTTTGAGTACCGAAGGGTCACTCCTATCTCCCACTATCTCCCCATTATACCAGCATTCATGGTTAAATCCTCACTTGGATAGTCAATTCCTCCATGGAAATCCACAACGAAATCACCGGCTTTTCTCATGGTGTTGGCTGCGGCAAGCACTGAAAAACTGCGGAACAGCGCAAGCCAAGCAACTCGTGACAGAGCAATCCCTGAACAGGAAAACATCGGATGGGGGATCGGTGGATCCCAGAGCCACTGATCCAACGTTGTGTAAACCATCAGCGTATGGCTGGTTCATGGTGGTTCATTATCGCTTTACCACATATATATATAATTATATATATGCTTTACTATGCCAATAAAACAGTTTTTGATGAACCCAAGCCCGAGGGCGACAATCGCAACAATAGCGACAACAGCAGAACAGTATTTGGATAGATTCCACGGGCACAGTTGTTTCAAAAAAGCGAATCATCGAGAAAAATGAAACAACATCATCCTGAGATAACCCGAGCATAAAACAAAACTATCTGTCAAGTCAGCTTGACACAAGAATCAGTGGAAATGTAGGGCGCGCGGAAGGAATACACGCACATACTAACCTACGTCTATCCATACCCAGCATGAAAAATGACACTTGAAACCAGGCAAGCATTCCAAAAAGCAACCTGTGGTAATTTACCCTGGAACATCTCCGATCAAAATCCCAAACCTCGGGATGGCGGCCCCTGCTGTCAGGGTCGTCATAATTTACCCAGAAACATCCATATAAATATGAATCTATATAAACATAATATATATATATGTGTGTGATTCATTGATTTTTTTTCCAGCAACCTGCGATTACTGTCATCCCTTGATCAATAACCCCTGGTTCACCTGAGGCTTGAGCCGGGCCCCTGCCGTGACAATGGCTTCAATTGGAACACCCCAGGGGGTATATAGGTGACTTCACCGGTGCTCGCAGTTGTCGCACCTCGTCTCCTCTTTACCGTCTACACCTGCAAGAGATTGGGAGTTCTGCATGGAAGATGCTAGGAGCCAAATATTTCTGTCCTGAAATACCTACCCCTCCTCCGGCAATCTAATATAGTTATAGAAAATTGCAATTTACTTTACTTTGGTGATTGATCTGTTAAGAATTGTCGTCTTCCATAGCAACCTCTTCGCTTTGAGGCACGGCCCAAAATTGAACTGTTAACCTGTGCCAGTTGCCCAGTTTCTACATTTCATACTTGAATTTCACACCCCCTGGTCAATGACATTACCATACATATCCATACATGATCATGAAAATGGTGGTTAAGGTTCGCCCTTTCCATAAACCCAACCATTCTTTTGGGCTTCATGTTTCACCTGCTGGTTAAATACCCATGACTTCTCGTGGCCAAGGCACTGTTGATCTTGGCCAGCATTTCTTCGGGTGACATCCCAGGAGACACCTCTCTTGCCTTGCAGTGAAGCCGTTGTGCCAAACGGGCGTAATGGATTGGGAAAAGCATGCAAAGATCCGGAGATAAGTGAAGAAACATGAAGAAACACATTGAAAAAGTATCCAAAAATGCCAGAGTCCTTCAAGATTAGCGTCATATGTCCCATATGTCCTGCGACAAAGATTCCAGAATGAGATTCCTGGATATATTTTGAGAAGTTAGATTCCCTAAGAAAAGAGCAATTCACCACTGGAGGCGTCTTAACCCAAGTCACCTTCAGAAAATCCAAACAAACACCGTTTGCGGCAACCTAACCAGGCAATGAAACATCCCATATACGAATACCAATCTGTTCAAATAGGCAACTTTAACCTTATTCATTTTTTCCATGGCGGATTCGGTGATCTTTGCCAGTAAAATTAAAGCAAATATAACTAACTAAAATGTTAGGAAAGCAAATAGAATTAACTCTTCCATATGTTTTCCCATGAAGTTCGAGGCTTTCCCGTACCTTTTCCCTTAATGTTTAGTGAATGGAGCCAAGCTTCGAGCAAGGCCAGGCCGTTGTTTGGCAGAGGCTCTCCTTCGCTGTGCATCTGAGTGATGAGACGCATCAAGAGGGTCAGCTTTAGATCCAGCACCTGTCAGCTGCCGTTGACCTAACCTCAATGGATTGGTTCAAGCGAAAATCCACAGGAAACCACGTTTTTTACTATCAAACAGAGAGTTGCTGCAGATTTTCCTTTAAATTCCTATCCAAATTGATCGGGGCTCCGTTAACGAAAATAACTTAAATCCAATGACTAAACTGTGATTCCCTGCTAATCTTGAATAACCAACATGCCTCCTGGCAGCCATGCATGATCACAGGAGGCATATCATCTGCACATGGGGGTTGTCCATTGCCACGATTCAGTACCGGAGGGCACCTAGCTTGTCATCCCACTGCTCATCTAGCCAACAGAATTGGCTGGGATGTATGGTGATATACATATATATATATACACACACACACGTATGTACATATACGTATATATATATATATACACACATATACGTATATATATGTATATAATATGCACTTGTGTGTGGCAATAATGAGTAATAATGAACATAGCTTCAACCAACCAGCCTTATCAAGGGGTTGTTGACCACCATCAGCCCTATGAAAGGGGCACACATGAAACCGCCAACATGGTGGGGTGTATACCTGACTGTGGGGGGTACCCTTTCCATGACACCTGGATGGGCATTCTACTTTCATTCACCTTGTTTGACCTAAGGGTTTTCCATGTACAGCTGGGTTGTAACCTTTATTTTTTGCTATTGATACCAAGCACTTCCCAAAGGAGCTTCGTATTAGTTATATATTAGTTCAATCCCAGAAACTAGGGTCACAAATGCCATACTTTCGGGGGGGTTTTTAATATTAAGGGGATGGGACTATAGAACACAAGTTGCCATAAGCGAAAGAGCCTTAGAGTTTGCACCATCAAGTAATGTGGATGTCTGGGTGATCCACTTCAACGTAAATCATGGATTTCGCCCAACGCAGCGAAGTCAATTTTCTTCACCTAAGATGCCGCATAAACGGCCAAGATCCACAAACCCCAAAATCACCAAAACTGTCAAAACCTGGCTGCAGCGGGTCAAACACGCATGGCTATGTTCCTGGAATTTCTTCTTGAACTCAAGATAATCTTCTTTATGTTCCACGACAGCTGCCTGGCTCTGGCTGCCCATCCCTAGGGTTTTGCAGGTGCAGGCAATGTCTTGACCCTACTGGTATAGCAACAACACCAAAGGAAAGAATTAAGTTTTTATCTAATCAAATTTATTTCTTTGTGCCAAAGCAGGGCTATGGCGACGGCTAGTTTGCGCTTTCAACCCATAGCAACAATGATACCATAACAATGCCGGTCAGTTCGGGCTCACTATGCGTGGGCAGCTCAAACCACCAACCAATGTGCAACGGGATCCCCATGTCGAACAGGCCCACCCGTTGCGGACCATAGCGGATCCGCCGATCCGGTGGCCTGCGCTGCTTTGGTGACCAAGTACGAAGCGATCGTGTCGCTCTTGCTGATTTCACCTGGGTTTATCATTTCCCTGAACTAAAACCTGGTAAACATACAAAAAACTATGGAAAATCACCATGTTTAATGGGAAAATCCACTATCCAGGTTCAAAAATAGTTATTGGCTTGGAGATGCTTGGAGTATATTGGAGTTATGTTTGCCAACTTAGTTATCAGGTTATACGGTTATCGGCCACCTGATGTCATCACTTATAGCTACTGCTTGTATAAAGAGAAGTCCATGTCCCATCCAAGTAGGACAGCCTCAAATAGCCCGTGGGCCTCGAATCTTCAGAAGACCTTGCAGGAGTTCGGTGATCCTCGGCCCAGGTGACTCCCATCCCCCTCTGGTAATGACTATAGTGTGACTATAGCATGGCCAGCTAGAAAGTCACAACTTGCGGGAAAATCACCACCTAAAAAATGGCGAATTGTCCACTGTAAAGCTCAACTCCTGCTTGGTAGATTGGGAATTAGATGGGTTACTAGCTGTTTGACATGGTCTAACCGGTCGAATAAACACATCGACGTTTTTTGGATATATGTCCTTTTATGGGGGTACAAGGATTGAACCAATATGGATTTGGTTGTCTACACGTGATTGTTGTTTCAACCTAATCCTATGGGATTACCTTCTGGAATTTTGCACACACAGACACACACGCACACGCACACACACACACAAAAACAAGTCAGAATGTCAGGGCAACAAAGAACCAACAGACATACAAACATACAAGCAAACAAGCTCGCACACACGCGCACGCACACACACACACACACGTGTATGCCTGTATAATACATAAATTTAATGTAATGACACAATGGAACACTCAAAACTCAAAGCTCCCGAATATGCATTCAAACCATCACGTCAGTCAAAACATGGGAACCAATTTCGCAAACATGACACTTCAAAAAAAAAGCACATCTCTTTACATGATGTTGTTCAAGAGAACCATGTGTTTTACCAGCTAAATATGAAACATTACCAAATACCGTTTTTTCCTTGCATGATTCGAATGCTAGACTAATGTGGTAAGCCCAGCAATAAACCTTCCATTTGGGGATTGCAACCAAAAAAACATGTTTTTACGGTCATATTGGGGATGGTTTATTTTTGGGCACGGGTGTACCACACTGAAACTCATTATTGCATATGATTGCCACAATTTCAACAAGGATGTACCACCCTACTTAAAAGGTGTTCTCTCATCCCATTATATCTAGCATGAACTGAACTAGACGGGGGACACAGCAAAGCGTAGCATGTATTTTCAGCAACAAAACAGCTGGTTTGGCTGTCCCAGCGACCAGTGCAAACCGTCCAACCAAGTGTGAGCAAAGCCATGTTTTCCAGCCAATCTTTATATGGCCTGAATTGGATCTTCTGCTTCGTCATGTTTCTTTTTGTATAGTGCATGCACAGTTTCAATGGCCATTGTGTGTGAGCCATCCTTCCACATCCTGAGCCCAAAGCTTCCACGCTTCCGAAACATCCTTAAGAGCAGTCTCCGATTAGGAGAAGAGGCAACCGATTCCTACACCAATTCCTCAGTGGGAGATTCCACCGGGGAGGCCACAGCTCCTGAAGCTCCGGTGCCGTGATCCTCATCGCCTGAGGCGAGGCTAATGCTCCTGAACCCATCTCCCTTGTCCTGGTCATATGCGACCCAGCTGCTTGAAAAAAGGCCACGTCAACTTCACTTTTCTGCGGTGGATTTACCGCCGCATTAGGTTCGGCATGTTTAGCCGCTTTGGATTTGCAAGAAGTTTTAGTGTAACGCGCAGGGTTTCTACTCAACCATAACCCCAAGTTAACCATACTTAACCACAGTTAACCAGAAACCCAAGTTAACCCTAGTTAATCATAGTTACAGTAACCATCAGTAATTAACCTACTTATAAGATCTTGTAAAAGCCATCTTGGCTGACTATTTGGCACCACCTTGAAGGCCCCAAACGCCAGGCGGCTGGAGCGTTCCACTACCGTCCGCGTCGATGATTTCGAAGAGGTAAGAAGAAGAAGAAGAGTTGCGCCACACACTGCCAAGAGCGAAGCCACAGCGCCAAAGCGCAAAGCTCCACCTTGTGTGTAGAGGCGCGCACCAGCGGCCCACCTAGGCCGCACGCTGAGTTCGCGGAGAGGCCTTAAGGCGCAGCTGCGCTTCAGACCTCCGAATAGCTGCCATCTGCTGTAGCAACTTTAAATTGGGATTATTAGAGGGGCCCCACCCCAAACGACGGGTCAACAGGCAACCAGGGGGAGGAAGGTTTCGCAAAGAATTGAAAGCTTCACAACTCCAAAGAACATGTTCAACCGACGGAACCTCAAGAACACCACAATATGGGCAATCAGGGGTTGGACCAAGACCATCCTGAAAGCGTTGAAAATCAATGGCAGCAGTCATCATTCCACCCGTTAAGATGGCAACCATATGGGCATCACATTGGTTTTGAACAAAAGTGTGAATGGTATCAATCTGAGAATCAGAAACCAGAAGACCCACCTCACGAGCAATCGCCGAGTCACGACGAGTTTTGGACTTGAGCCAATGAGTCACCAACCCATGACGCCAAGCAACACGGACATGATGCAAAACGGCATCCAAGAAGCCTCGATGGACCCCAAAGTCGCAACCTAATGGAGCCCCACAGGAGCGCTTTATACCCTGAGAGGAAGCCGTCCAACCCAAGGGACGGAGAGCTTTCTGAAGCATCTGGACCGCCTGATCGGACCAGGAAACTGAAATGCCCCCCTGGGCACGATAATCAAACCAAGCGAACGACGATCGAACGAATCGATGCAGACTAAATAATCCAAGGTCACTAGAATGTCCAAGGAAAAAGGCCCGCCTCAACTGAGTTGAAGCGCGCCCACCAGGGAAAGAAGGACACTTAGTGGCCTGATTGAACTCAGTGGCAAACTTCGACTGTTCCTGAGCAGTGGGACCCCGACCCTTCAAAAAGGTCCCCCACGCAGCATGGGAAGCGTAGACTGCCTGAGCAAGTCCTCTTTTCAACTTGGCCGAAACAGGCAAATAAGCAATAGCAGTGGCACGACTGGTGGCGTCACTCTGACGCTTGATGTCCTCAGGAGTAGGCTCCGTGGCCCCAAAAGTGATTCCCAAAACATGGAAAGAATCCTTGGCCTCAGTGAACCCAGCCTCTCGCAGATCAGACACCGCCTGAGGGGTCCGACCCCAAATCTGAGTTTTTGTTTGATTGGACTTAAGACGACCCAGGCGCTCGAACGCTCGCCACTCCTCCAGGAAAAGTCTCAAAGAGGCAGGAGTATCAAGAAGACCTGTTCGGTCGTCCATGTAAGTGATCTGAAAGCCTGCAGGGATTCTACTGGCAATTCGGCGAATGACAGGAGCCAAAACCAGTGAGAGCCCTAAGGGCGCCCACGGATCTCCTTGCAGCAAAGCAGCAAGGTTGCGCAGCGGTCGCTTGGCCACGCAGGTCCCAAGAGTGACCCAACGGGTCTGAGATTTCCACATTCCAGCCAAGGCACTGACGATCGCATCGGGCACTCCAGCTCTGGGTAACAGCTGCACAACAAGTGACCAATCAGCCGAATCGAATGCCTTTTGAAAGTCAAGACTGGCAGCGTAGGGGTGCGACTGAAAAGAAGTTTCATTTTGCATGGCCAAAACTAAGGTATCCAAACCTAAGTGAGGCAACCCTCCAACCTGCAGCGGCGGGAGGCATTGAGTCAAATGGGTGCCGAGCTGGTGGAACCGTCTCTTGGCGTAAGCTCTGAAAATCAAGCTGCCGATAGCTATCGGACGGACCTTAGTGGCCTCAGTGACCTGAGCAGCATTTTGGCCCTTGGGAACAAAGGTGAGGCGCCACTGCGTCAGCGCGTCAGGCCAAGTACCCCAAGTTTCGACTTGCCTAAGAATCTGCACCAGTTGGGCCCAAGCCGTGTCAGGCAGAGCTAAGAGTGCCGAAGCGCACCACTGGTCTGTGCCGGCCGCTTTATGACGCATTTGACGAACACTTTTCCTCAAATCATCCGCACTGAGCTCAGGACATTGAATTTGAGGGAAATTGGGGATCCAAGCATGATATTCAGACAAAAAAGCACGAATGCTACTTTGGGGGTCATGACCAGTGCCAAAAATAGGCTTCCAAGCCCGTCGGAGGAGTTCCGCTCCATCACTTCTGCCAGTGCTTTGTTCCTCCCCATGGCGCAAAGACCATGGGGGTGGAGCCTTGCGTTTGAGCCATTTACAAGCTTCATCAAAATTTTTGACCTTAGCAATCCAAGTCGCAATTGCCGTTTGGTGAGATTGACGAAGTGTCTCTTGCAGCTTGCGGTGCAAGATGTCCCGACATGCACCCCACTGATGAAGTTCAGCTTGTTGCTGCAGGTCCCACGTGCTGCATCCACGAACGCACGCCCGGACCAAATCGGGAGGCAGCGGATACTGTTCGATTTCTAAATGCCGAATCTCATCCAAGCGGCGAATCAGACGCCTAAGTTGGCGTTCACGAAGGGGTTGCCCGGGGGCCACCCGGGCACCGGCATTGATCAACTTAGGCACAGTACCACGTTCCCGAGTGCCAGGCGTAGCACAGGTTTTTCCCGTCTGGAGCAGGAAAGCATTGGCCGCACTGCTCCAAGCCTTCCAAGAAGCCTCAGGAGTTTCCCGGAGAAGTTGTTGCCACGCACTAACACTGGGAGTGGCCTTAGTCCACTCAGCCTCAGCTTGCTCCTTAGACAGGGACGGCCACTCAGAGTCAGGCAAAAGGGGGGCAACCTTTTGGAAGGTGAGTGCCGGTGGGGTGGCATGCAAGAAAGGAAGTCGGGACAGAGAGACACAGGAACCAAAATGGTCAGAAAGAGGTGCAAGCACTTCGGCAGTGTCACACGACAACGACCCAGAAATCCACGACGAATCCGTCGGGGTGCTGCTGGTACGATGGCCCGAAACAGCAGCCACCGATCCTCCCAGCCGGCCCATAAGATCATGAAAAGGGCCTTGGTAAGGGGAGGAGTTCCAATCGACTCCTAAGATCCAGTGCCGATGCTGTGCCTTGGCAAAGCCGGACAAAATGGCCTCATTAGCAGAATCCAAGGCACCATCCGGCCTTCGATAACCACTGCAAACCGTTATGGGCATGGCATGACCCAAGAGTTCACAAACCAGCAGCTGACCCCAGGTACCAGTTGACTGATGAACATGCGAGAGAGCCAGGGGCTCTTTAACTAACACGGCCACGCCCCCGCGGCCACCTCCTTCCACCAGGTGAGCCGGAATGGCCACCATCTGCCATCCACTTCTCTGACACAAATTGGCCAAAGAAGGCATTCGTGATTGGGTAATCCCAGTTTCCTGTAAGCACATGACGTGGACCTTTTTCCTTCGAGCCAAGGCACACAGAGCGGTAAAATGCTTACGAAGCGAATTGATATTGAGGTGGAGAACTCTGAGCTGATTGACCGGGCCCGGGTGGGAAGCCTCTCCAACTCTGACCCCTCGGAGACCAGAACAAGTGGCCGCTGTTCCAGCAGCGCGATTGGACAACTGAGCTTTGCTACGAGGTCTAGAAGTCTTGCCAATGGTTTTCCGAACCTTAGCTATGGTTCCAGCCCTTTTACCTCGGTTGCCACAATTGGTGACAGCTTTTGCTGCACGCTCGCGGCATGCTTTCCAGATTTTGACCCGCTTCTCCACAGAGGGAGCCTTTTTTGGGGGGGGACCACAAAAGGAGAGAGGAAACTCAGCAGGAATGATAAGTTTGTGACAAATTTGACATTCATACCTGGTAGATTGGTAAGTGCGGCCGTTTTGGGCGACACTACGCTTGATGGAGGCAGGATCGGGCAGGAGGACATGAGCCCCAGGCCATCTGACTTTTTCGAATTCCTGAAGCATCTGTTTCCATCGACGTTTGATAGCGTCTTGGGAGGCAACAATGCACTGAGGATTACTGAGCTTGTCCCTGGGGAGATAGTCCTTAGTGACATCATGGACACTTTTAAGGTGGTACGACCGATGACCGTGACGATTCTTGTGACCAAAGGTGACCACATGCGAACAATAGGGGCATGACCACCACACCGATTGGGGAGTCGGGGGTTGAGAAGGTACAACCTGAAGGCCTGAAAACAACGACGGTCTCTGGCCATTGCGCCCATGCAATCGATGTTGTTCCTGGAGCCAATTTGTCTGAGTAACGAGCCTCATGAATGCACGAGTTTGAGTAGCATACTTAGCGGAAGCTTCTTTGATCCAAGCAGCCCACCGACGTCGCTTTTGTGTCACGGTGAGACCATGCTGGGAAGCCGCACCTTCTTGTTGAGTGCAATCAGAGAGCAGCACTTGACCAAACTGGAAGGAGCGGTGACAGTCCTGACACTTCCACCCACTGGTTTTACCAGTGTCCTTTTGACAATACTCAACCTTATGAAGCCCAGACCATCCCTTTGCAATGATCAGCTGGGAAAAAATCTGCGCGCGCATGCGCGTATTGAATTTCTGACAAGCCGCTCTGTCCAGCTTAAGATCCTCGGGACGGGAATCAGCGATTTCCTTTCGAGGGACTCTGTGTTTTTTGGCCAGATGATTCACCCTGGCAGCGGCAGCCTGAGTATGGGTCAATTCTTTGTGTGTAAACACTCTGTAACCGCACAGGTGACACTGCCACCAGACAAAGATGTCTCCTTGATTGAGTCTAAGTTGGACCTCAGGTGCCAAAGGAACCTGCGAGACCTCTTCATTGGGGACTGCAGCACCAACATCGACCAACTCCGCATCCAGACCACGAGGGGGAGCACGGGAGCCAGGACGAGACGGGGACCAAGGGGGGAGACTGAGACTGGGTTCGCCAGCAGCAGGACCAACCACACCAGGACCAGAGGGACAGCCGGAAGGGGGGACCGACGGGAGACTCAAGGCGACACTAGGGGCCGGAGCCACAGGACGGGGAGGGCCGGCAGGACACGAAGGGATGGACAACCCCGACGATCGGGAGCGACCAGAGGGACGAGCCACGACCCGACCAGCCTGCCCGCCTGACCTAGACGAACTCGAAGGGAGGGACAGACCAGATCCAGACGAGGGGCCAGACCTTTTACCAGCACCACGAAGAACCTCCCGGGGGACCATGGGAGTTTCGGCGAACCACTCACGGGGAGGTTTGGTATCGTTGTCAATGGGGATCAAGGCGCGGTAGTGACCATCCCTCAAAGCTAAACAGATCGTATAGTTGCTTTTGTTATTGGACACAGCAAACCCATTTTCGACTTTGGGGCCTATGACATGACGCTGCCATGCACCATCTGTTGGGCTCCATGCCCAGATCACAAAGACCGACCCAAGTCGGTGACTCAGGGCATACAAAAGAAGACCATCAATCCAAAAGTGCCGCCGAGAGGCCAACATGCAATAATCGGCAAAGTCTTGGGCACTGGGCTGGTGATCTCGTTGAATCGGAGTTTCAGTGGGATCCGGAGCAAAGAAACCTTCAAACAGATGTTTATGAGAGACTAAGTGTCCAGTAGTCAAAGTTCTCAACCGACTGCCCTCAGCAATCAGTTTTTCCGAGGAAAACTCCTTCCCTTGCTGGACTCCCAAACTGCGAGCCGCAGCTCGGAACCCACAGTCCCCTGAGCCACCGTCATCCCGGAACTCCCATCCAGGATACGTTTGTTGCCAGATTTGGTCTGGGTCAAGAGAGGTAGCGGGGGCAGCCACAGCAGCCGGACCCTTGCCTTTCGCCCGACGGGGGGATCTCGCGCGCTCACTCTGTGAATCATCGATTTGGGTTGGAGCCACACCAGGACTCACCGTAGGATCAGCCCACTTCTTCCTAGGAGCCTTCAGCTGCTCAGACGGAAGAGTCTGTTGTTTTTGTCTGTTCTCTAAAGTCACCGTGATATGACAAATGTTGTCAGGATCGGTATAAAACCAAGAACCACTTTGAGCAACATCATTGTTTTGGAAAGGGGGACAAACCGCATGGACCAACCAAATTTGCTGCTGTTTGCGAAAGGCCTTAGCCCGGACCTGGACCTCCTTCCATCCTTCCTCCTGAAGAAAGCTGTTGACATGGCTCTGATACCAATGTTTGGGGGCGCCAAAAATCTCCCAAGCTCTTTTCTTGGTGGCCTGGTTTTGGTCAGGCGCTATGCCGACCAAACCAAGGTTGTGGTGAGGACTCTGTCTCAGTGCGACACTCACACCCTTGGCCTGCGCCTGAGCAGAAACAGATCTGAAATATTGTTCATCTGAAAGGGATTTGTCCTTAGAAATCCAGCAAACAGGCGGGCGGTCCTCTCTGGTAACGACCGTGGCAAACAAGGCTCTCTTGCCGGACAGGTCACAAACCTGAGCAGCCAAGCGCTCCGGGACGCGCAGATGCGCTATCAGGATGTTGCCTTTGGGATGAACCAATTTCTCCCATCGTCCTCCCGTGAAGGAGGCCACAGGAGTGGCCGTTTGTTGGGCCCATTCAGCTATCACAGTCGAAGGGCTGTCTTCGCGGTCAACGCCCGCAACAAATTTGCGGTAAAATTGAGGAGTCAGCAGCCTAAGTGTCACAAGTTTCGGACCCCGAACAGCAAGGAGTGGAACCACCTGGGCTGGTTTGGGGGTGGGACCTTCCATGTCAGTAACCTGCACGGTTTTGACCTTAGTGCGGGTGGGGCGGGTACCCTTGGCATTATTCCACCAAATAGAAACGGTGGGAAACGCAGAGTCAGGGGGCATGGCAATCGCAACCGTGAGTGGCTGCTTCAACTCATATGCATTCCAGACTTGTTTGAGTTCATCAGCGACTAAAGGGTCTGATGAGAAAACCAAATTACCAGGGACCTCCTCACCGTCGCGCAAAGCGCCCAGGATCTGGGGCAAGGAAGTGAGTTTCACAGCTCCAGTCCACTCAGAATCACTGATCTTGGCAGCAAAGCGGCGGCCGCTTTGTTTTGAGGACGCAGAAAGCCCAGGGTCAGAGTGGGCGGCCTTAGCTTCAGTTTGGCGCTGAGGTTTCGCCCCTTGTCGTTGAGCAAACAGCCCAGCCTGCTTGCCTTTGCCTTTGGATTTGGGGACATCCTGGCGGATGGGGCCAGATTGGGTCACTTTGTCGGCCCATGACCCAGAATTGGCAGATCCAAGGCACTTCAAGGCTTCATCCACTTTAGCTTTAAGCAAAGTGTCTGAAGCAAGGCATTTGTTAATCTCCTTGACAGGTTGCTCCAACAACATACCAGTGACTTTGCCGGCTTGGTTGGAAAGTTTCGAAATTTTGTGAAACAACTTTTCGCCAAGTTGCCTTTTGGTATCAGACAACTGGGCAGAAGGGCCCTCGACTTTGCGAGGGCCGTTTGATTCTGCAGCCCTCAGTTCAGCTGTATCGTCAGGTCCATGTCTCGAAATCTTATTAATCACACGACTGGCAACCACTTCATCCGAAACCCCTTGTTTCAAGGCAGCTTGAATGGTTTGAATGAGGATTCGCGCTAAAGGCGATCCCGAAGTTTGGCTAGTCTTAGGTTTGGGTCCACCTTTCCCCTTTTTGGAAGGGGGGGGTTCATCATGAGGATGATGAGGACCACCCTTTTGGTAAGTTTGCAAAACTTCAAGGAGAGCAGCCGCCAGACCAGAATCAGCTGAATGATCAGAAGCGGTAACTGACACAGCTTTGCGTTTGTTTGGTCTGTCTCTGTCACTGCCCCGTCCAGGGCCAGGATGAGAGGCTTCGCCAACCCGACATCCTAACCACCCGCAAATCCACCGCACCACCTGGGCCCACCAAGTCACGCGGCAATGAACCACGTTATGAGCAACACGGGCCCGGGAAACATGGAGTCTCTCTCTTCGCAATTGATGCAAAAGAAAATTTCTTTTTTGTCTACCCAAAATCCTATACCTACGAACCTTAAACAAGAACCGGCGACCACCAACCCATCGACAACGGCCCAAAAGTCGACGACGGGTCCTAGGTTCAAAGGAAATTCGTGGTTTCCTGGTCTTCTTCCTACTTTTGAGTTTTCGGCGACCGACATCAAACCAATGCCAATGGAAGATGAAGAAACTCCCATAAACCAAAAACTCCACTAGCCATGTGGGCACAGTCCACGTCAAAGCCCATCCCTTCCAAGAGACGAGCGCCGATCCGGTCCAAGGAGCGGCACCTGTTGGAAAGCTCACAGCCGCCATCCCAGCAGCGCCTCCATCAGCCGCAACCACGGGGAAGCCCGCAGCAAGGCGCTGATCTGCACTGCCCGCAGCTTCATACTGCAACAGCTCAGCATCGCCATGACTGGTCATTGCCACGTATTGCGCGCCGAGCTCGTGGGTGCCCGAAGGGCAAGGGTATCTAATTTGTTCCAAGTCACAACCACCGACCAAACCCTCAAAGGAATTCCCAAAATTCCACCAGGGGGTTTCAGGGGGTTGAAGCAAACAGCCGCAGCAGCAAGGCAGCCACAGCAGCATCAGCATGGCAGAGAAAGCAGAACTTGGCAGCCCAAATGCCTGTCGCCCCTGTCTCACTTGATCTTTTTTGATTTGGTTTTTCTGGGGATCTTGGTGCTTTTCAGGAGCACATCTTGAATGGGTCTTCTTGGTGGCTTCAACGGCCACTTCTTTATTGCAAACATTTTGTACCACGGCACCGGACCAAGATACCGGGTTCCGCTGCCACCACACGGAGGTAGTCGCACGGCAGCTGATTTCGAAGAGGTAAAAGAAGAAGAAGAGTTGCGCCACACACTGCCAAGAGCGAAGCCACAGCGCCAAAGCGCAAAGCTCCACCTTGTGTGTAGAGGCGCGCACCAGCGGCCCACCTAGGCCGCACGCTGAGTTCGCGGAGAGGCCTTAAGGCGCAGCTGCGCTTCAGACCTCCGAATAGCTGCCATCTGCTGTAGCAACTTTAAATTGGGATTATTAGAGGGGCCCCACCCCAAACGACGGGTCAACAGGCAACCAGGGGGAGGAAGGTTTCGCAAAGAATTGAAAGCTTCACAACTCCAAAGAACATGTTCAACCGACGGAACCTCAAGAACACCACAATATGGGCAATCAGGGGTTGGACCAAGACCATCCTGAAAGCGTTGAAAATCAATGGCAGCAGTCATCATTCCACCCGTTAAGATGGCAACCATATGGGCATCACATTGGTTTTGAACAAAAGTGTGAATGGTATCAATCTGAGAATCAGAAACCAGAAGACCCACCTCACGAGCAATCGCCGAGTCACGACGAGTTTTGGACTTGAGCCAATGAGTCACCAACCCATGACGCCAAGCAACACGGACATGATGCAAAACGGCATCCAAGAAGCCTCGATGGACCCCAAAGTCGCAACCTAATGGAGCCCCACAGGAGCGCTTTATACCCTGAGAGGAAGCCGTCCAACCCAAGGGACGGAGAGCTTTCTGAAGCATCTGGACCGCCTGATCGGACCAGGAAACTGAAATGCCCCCCTGGGCACGATAATCAAACCAAGCGAACGACGATCGAACGAATCGATGCAGACTAAATAATCCAAGGTCACTAGAATGTCCAAGGAAAAAGGCCCGCCTCAACTGAGTTGAAGCGCGCCCACCAGGGAAAGAAGGACACTTAGTGGCCTGATTGAACTCAGTGGCAAACTTCGACTGTTCCTGAGCAGTGGGACCCCGACCCTTCAAAAAGGTCCCCCACGCAGCATGGGAAGCGTAGACTGCCTGAGCAAGTCCTCTTTTCAACTTGGCCGAAACAGGCAAATAAGCAATAGCAGTGGCACGACTGGTGGCGTCACTCTGACGCTTGATGTCCTCAGGAGTAGGCTCCGTGGCCCCAAAAGTGATTCCCAAAACATGGAAAGAATCCTTGGCCTCAGTGAACCCAGCCTCTCGCAGATCAGACACCGCCTGAGGGGTCCGACCCCAAATCTGAGTTTTTGTTTGATTGGACTTAAGACGACCCAGGCGCTCGAACGCTCGCCACTCCTCCAGGAAAAGTCTCAAAGAGGCAGGAGTATCAAGAAGACCTGTTCGGTCGTCCATGTAAGTGATCTGAAAGCCTGCAGGGATTCTACTGGCAATTCGGCGAATGACAGGAGCCAAAACCAGTGAGAGCCCTAAGGGCGCCCACGGATCTCCTTGCAGCAAAGCAGCAAGGTTGCGCAGCGGTCGCTTGGCCACGCAGGTCCCAAGAGTGACCCAACGGGTCTGAGATTTCCACATTCCAGCCAAGGCACTGACGATCGCATCGGGCACTCCAGCTCTGGGTAACAGCTGCACAACGAGTGACCAATCAGCCGAATCGAATGCCTTTTGAAAGTCAAGACTGGCAGCGTAGGGGTGCGACTGAAAAGAAGTTTCATTTTGCATGGCCAAAACTAAGGTATCCAAACCTAAGTGAGGCAACCCTCCAACCTGCAGCGGCGGGAGGCATTGAGTCAAATGGGTGCCGAGCTGGTGGAACCGTCTCTTGGCGTAAGCTCTGAAAATCAAGCTGCCGATAGCTATCGGACGGACCTTAGTGGCCTCAGTGACCTGAGCAGCATTTTGGCCCTTGGGAACAAAGGTGAGGCGCCACTGCGTCAGCGCGTCAGGCCAAGTACCCCAAGTTTCGACTTGCCTAAGAATCTGCACCAGTTGGGCCCAAGCCGTGTCAGGCAGAGCTAAGAGTGCCGAAGCGGGTCATGACCAGTGCCAAAAATAGGCTTCCAAGCACGAATGCTACTTTGGGGGTCATGACCAGTGCCAAAAATAGGCTTCCAAGCCCGTCGGAGGAGTTCCGCTCCATCACTTCTACCAGTGCTTTGTTCCTCCCCATGGCGCAAAGACCATGGGGGTGGAGCCTTGCGTTTGAGCCATTTACAAGCTTCATCAAAATTTTTGACCTTAGCAATCCAAGTCGCAATTGCCGTTTGGTGAGATTGACGAAGTGTCTCTTGCAGCTTGCGGTGCAAGATGTCCCGACATGCACCCCACTGATGAAGTTCAGCTTGTTGCTGCAGGTCCCACGTGCTGCATCCACGAACGCACGCCCGGACCAAATCGGGAGGCAGCGGATACTGTTCGATTTCTAAATGCCGAATCTCATCCAAGCGGCGAATCAGACGCCTAAGTTGGCGTTCACGAAGGGGTTGCCCGGGGGCCACCCGGGCACCGGCATTGATCAACTTAGGCACAGTACCACGTTCCCGAGTGCCAGGCGTAGCACAGGTTTTTCCCGTCTGGAGCAGGAAAGCATTGGCCGCACTGCTCCAAGCCTTCCAAGAAGCCTCAGGAGTTTCCCGGAGAAGTTGTTGCCACGCACTAACACTGGGAGTGGCCTTAGTCCACTCAGCCTCAGCTTGCTCCTTAGACAGGGACGGCCACTCAGAGTCAGGCAAAAGGGGGGCAACCTTTTGGAAGGTGAGTGCCGGTGGGGTGGCATGCAAGAAAGGAAGTCGGGACAGAGAGACACAGGAACCAAAATGGTCAGAAAGAGGTGCAAGCACTTCGGCAGTGTCACACGACAACGACCCAGAAATCCACGACGAATCCGTCGGGGTGCTGCTGGTACGATGGCCCGAAACAGCAGCCACCGATCCTCCCAGCCGGCCCATAAGATCATGAAAAGGGCCTTGGTAAGGGGAGGAGTTCCAATCGACTCCTAAGATCCAGTGCCGATGCTGTGCCTTGGCAAAGCCGGACAAAATGGCCTCATTAGCAGAATCCAAGGCACCATCCGGCCTTCGATAACCACTGCAAACCGTTATGGGCATGGCATGACCCAAGAGTTCACAAACCAGCAGCTGACCCCAGGTACCAGTTGACTGATGAACATGCGAGAGAGCCAGGGGCTCTTTAACTAACACGGCCACGCCCCCGCGGCCACCTCCTTCCACCAGGTGAGCCGGAATGGCCACCATCTGCCATCCACTTCTCTGACACAAATTGGCCAAAGAAGGCATTCGTGATTGGGTAATCCCAGTTTCCTGTAAGCACATGACGTGGACCTTTTTCCTTCGAGCCAAGGCACACAGAGCGGTAAAATGCTTACGAAGCGAATTGATATTGAGGTGGAGAACTCTGAGCTGATTGACCGGGCCCGGGTGGGAAGCCTCTCCAACTCTGACCCCTCGGAGACCAGAACAAGTGGCCGCTGTTCCAGCAGCGCGATTGGGCAACTGAGCTTTGCTACGAGGTCTAGAAGTCTTGCCAATGGTTTTCCGAACCTTAGCTATGGTTCCAGCCCTTTTACCTCGGTTGCCACAATTGGTGACAGCTTTTGCTGCACGCTCGCGGCATGCTTTCCAGATTTTGACCCGCTTCTCCACAGAGGGAGCCTTTTTTGGGGGGGGACCACAAAAGGAGAGAGGAAACTCAGCAGGAATGATAAGTTTGTGACAAATTTGACATTCATACCTGGTAGATTGGTAAGTGCGGCCGTTTTGGGCGACACTACGCTTGATGGAGGCAGGATCGGGCAGGAGGACATGAGCCCCAGGCCATCTGACTTTTTCGAATTCCTGAAGCATCTGTTTCCATCGACGTTTGATAGCGTCTTGGGAGGCAACAATGCACTGAGGATTACTGAGCTTGTCCCTGGGGAGATAGTCCTTAGTGACATCATGGACACTTTTAAGGTGGTACGACCGATGACCGTGACGATTCTTGTGACCAAAGGTGACCACATGCGAACAATAGGGGCATGACCACCACACCGATTGGGGAGTCGGGGGTTGAGAAGGTACAACCTGAAGGCCTGAAAACAACGACGGTCTCTGGCCATTGCGCCCATGCAATCGATGTTGTTCCTGGAGCCAATTTGTCTGAGTAACGAGCCTCATGAATGCACGAGTTTGAGTAGCATACTTAGCGGAAGCTTCTTTGATCCAAGCAGCCCACCGACGTCGCTTTTGTGTCACGGTGAGACCATGCTGGGAAGCCGCACCTTCTTGTTGAGTGCAATCAGAGAGCAGCACTTGACCAAACTGGAAGGAGCGGTGACAGTCCTGACACTTCCACCCACTGGTTTTACCAGTGTCCTTTTGACAATACTCAACCTTATGAAGCCCAGACCATCCCTTTGCAATGATCAGCTGGGAAAAAATCTGCGCGCGCATGCGCGTATTGAATTTCTGACAAGCCGCTCTGTCCAGCTTAAGATCCTCGGGACGGGAATCAGCGATTTCCTTTCGAGGGACTCTGTGTTTTTTGGCCAGATGATTCACCCTGGCAGCGGCAGCCTGAGTATGGGTCAATTCTTTGTGTGTAAACACTCTGTAACCGCACAGGTGACACTGCCACCAGACAAAGATGTCTCCTTGATTGAGTCTAAGTTGGACCTCAGGTGCCAAAGGAACCTGCGAGACCTCTTCATTGGGGACTGCAGCACCAACATCGACCAACTCCGCATCCAGACCACGAGGGGGAGCACGGGAGCCAGGACGAGACGGGGACCAAGGGGGGAGACTGAGACTGGGTTCGCCAGCAGCAGGACCAACCACACCAGGACCAGAGGGACAGCCGGAAGGGGGGACCGACGGGAGACTCAAGGCGACACTAGGGGCCGGAGCCACAGGACGGGGAGGGCCGGCAGGACACGAAGGGATGGACAACCCCGACGATCGGGAGCGACCAGAGGGACGAGCCACGACCCGACCAGCCTGCCCGCCTGACCTAGACGAACTCGAAGGGAGGGACAGACCAGATCCAGACGAGGGGCCAGACCTTTTACCAGCACCACGAAGAACCTCCCGGGGGACCATGGGAGTTTCGGCGAACCACTCACGGGGAGGTTTGGTATCGTTGTCAATGGGGATCAAGGCGCGGTAGTGACCATCCCTCAAAGCTAAACAGATCGTATAGTTGCTTTTGTTATTGGACGCAGCAAACCCATTTTCGACTTTGGGGCCTATGACATGACGCTGCCATGCACCATCTGTTGGGCTCCATGCCCAGATCACAAAGACCGACCCAAGTCGGTGACTCAGGGCATACAAAAGAAGACCATCAATCCAAAAGTGCCGCCGAGAGGCCAACATGCAATAATCGGCAAAGTCTTGGGCACTGGGCTGGTGATCTCGTTGAATCGGAGTTTCAGTGGGATCCGGAGCAAAGAAACCTTCAAACAGATGTTTATGAGAGACTAAGTGTCCAGTAGTCAAAGTTCTCAACCGACTGCCCTCAGCAATCAGTTTTTCCGAGGAAAACTCCTTCCCTTGCTGGACTCCCAAACTGCGAGCCACAGCTCGGAACCCACAGTCCCCTGAGCCACCGCCATCCCGGAACTCCCATCCAGGATACGTTTGTTGCCAGATTTGGTCTGGGTCAAGAGAGGTAGCGGGGGCAGCCACAGCAGCCGGACCCTTGCCTTTCGCCCGACGGGGGGATCTCGCGCGCTCACTCTGTGAATCATCGATTTGGGTTGGAGCCACACCAGGACTCACCGTAGGATCAGCCCACTTCTTCCTAGGAGCCTTCAGCTGCTCAGACGGAAGAGTCTGTTGTTTTTGTCTGTTCTCTAAAGTCACCGTGATATGACAAATGTTGTCAGGATCGGTATAAAACCAAGAACCACATTGATTTCGAAGAGGTTTGCGCGATCAGGCGGGAGCTCCTCAGTTTCCGGCGCGCCATGGTTGATGACCAGCAAATGGGACTATGATGGGTGGGATATGACGGGATATGAACATCTTGGAAATATCCCAATGGGAAATCCACTACTTGGGGAATCCATAGCAAAGCAATACGGGGATTTTGGCAGCATAATGACTCAAACATGCATAATATCACTGAAATTTGAGGGAAAGAATGGTGTTTCAATCAGGCAGAGTTCGTGATATTTGGCAATATAAGAGACACAGTGTGGCTCAAACGCAAACAATGCCACCATCATTGATATGAAACTGCGGCATCATGGCATAATTGGAATACAATGGCAATACGTTTCTTTGCTGCTTTGCACTACCATAATCGCCAACACTTGCCATACATGGAACAGAAACGGTGGGCATGACAAACGTAGTGAAAACGCAATTTTTTCCCCCAGCGACCCTGAGGTGGAATCAATCTACGTGTTCACCACGAGCTCCATCTGCTGCGCGGCAATGCTTCAATGCTTTGGCCGCGTCATTACGCAGAAGAGTTAGAAGGCCAGGTGAAAGTTCATGGCACATGGCCCTGACATGCTGGATGTCGCACAGCTGCAAGGTCACCCTGATCGCTGATTTGTTCCACAGGCTCAAAGCTTCGACAACGGCCACTTGGGCAACGGAATGCAAGACGTGCACAGCGTCCCGAGAAATTTTGAAAGGTCCGGTTTCTGGTGTCTCAAAGGACTGCAACGTGTCTTTCAAAATTGCCAAGAAGATTGTTCTCGGTCAAATTGATTGGCGGCTCTGCTGTCGATTGATTCATGCGTCTTTCACTGGTCAAAGCACTTCATACACTCAGTTTTCCAGGTGTTCATGCATTCATTCCTTCATTTCTCTATGTTTTTGGGTAATTCAGCCATTCAGTCATTCAGTCAGTCAGTACGCTCAGTGACTCATCAACCGTTCACATTGTTCTTTCATTCTATACTCACACATACACACGCGGGTCATAACCGGGCTCAAAATTACCAAATACTTTGCATGGAGCGTGTGGGTCAAAGGGCAAACATGTCTGATGCCATCTGTACTTGCGACAGACAAGGGATCGCTGATTTTGTTTTTACTTCACTGGGCTGATTTCAGGTAACCTTTCGCAAATCAGCGATTTTACACATTTATATATTCTAACAGATTTGGGGAAAAATTTTGGGATTCTGAAAACGTGGTATTATACCGGTATACCCCCTGTGATCATTTTAAGGAATACAGTATATCATAGATAATCATAGTAATCCGTTGGAATTGACGGACCCATCTGGGCGGCCGCCAAATCGCTACGATCCAAGGTTCCAACTCGTCCATGAGCTTCTGCACCGTCCGGTCCTGGAGTCGGCTGTCGCTTCCGGTGGTGATTTACCATCGATTCTATTACTTGATTTAACTTGGGACAATGGCCATAGAATGTTCTTTTTTTCTCCCCGATACTTTAAGAATTATGGAAAATCTGGATTAATATATTTTCCATGAAAGTAGGTGATTCGCCCATTCAAATGGTGATGTTCCAGTTCCAGAAAGGTTAAATTACATTAAATATATTAAATTACCAGAGGATCGTAACTAGGTTGTGACCCCAGAAGTGGACTAACCTTACTCGCACCCATTTATAAACAGGTTCAAAAGGATTTGCTAAAAGGTAGAACGATTCACTGAGTAGATTACAGTCCATAAGGTATGAACCATCAAAAACATAAGCAAAAACTAGCTGGCACACCTTGGACATCACATGCACAATCTTATCCATTTAGAAGTAATATACACTAATGACTAATGGCATCGCATCACAATCTACTCCGAAATTTCCACATTCCATCACATTCCAGATATCTTTCTCTATGATCACGAGGCCATCCAGTCACAAGTGGTGTTCAAGCAGGGGTAGGAAGCCTACAGCTAGGCTATGCTAGGCTGTGATACCTCCTCATGCCATCCACATCAGCCCCAACTGTAGCCTCCCGCAACAGCAGGCTACAGGCCAGCTAAGTCGCCCCGTTTACCCTTTGCGCGTCCTGAATGATCAGCAGAAACAAGTCTTTGGTGATGGCAATTTCTTCATGATCACCAACATCAGCATAGAGACCGCCCATATTCATCTGGGAGGGACATGGTCAACCGCCAGGGTTTCCCCAGAACTACCCAAGTCTAGTGTATGGAACCCCAAACAACTGAGTGGCAACATCCAAAAGCAAGTTCATGTTTTGAGACCAGGATTCTATGCTAGACACTTATGCTAGACTTAGCGAGGTTGCCCAATCTTAACGACGGCCACTTCAACATTGACAAAAAACAATACACACATTATTATATCTTGGTCCATACGCAAACACAGGTTTGGCCGTCTTTGGCCGCCATGTTTCCATGAAGATTCAGCTGAGTTTTAACCGGATGGAGGGTCACCTGCGCACACAAATCAGGGTCATCTGTACACACATTTCGGGTTCATCTGTGCACACATATCGGGTTCATCTGTACACACAGGGCTGTCTGGGGATGGGGTGGGGTGGGGTGGGGTGGGCTAATAACGTTCATGTTCCTGTGCACACACAGACACAGCAAACCTTATAATCTTTCTTCTCTCCAGCAGACACAGGCACCTTTCTGGGGATGGGGTGGGGTGGGGTGATAACGTTCATGTTCCTGTGCACAGAGAGGCACAGCAACCTTATCATCTTTCTTGCTGTCCTGCAGACACAGGCACTACTCTTGGCTGATCAGTTACCGGTGGGGTGGGGTGGGGTAATAACGTTCATGTTCCTGTGCACACACAGGCACACCAAACCTCTTGGCTGATCAGTTACCGCTGGGCTGGGGTGGGGTGGGGTAATAACGTTCATGTTCCTGTTCACACACAGGCACACCCAACCTGATCTTCTTGCTCTCCAGCAGACACAGGCACTACTCTTTCATGATCACTTGTCCTTTGAATATTTGCAACCCTATAGGTTTTTATCTTGGAACCTTACGCCCCCCGACTGCTTGGTTTGCTGCTTGTAAATGATGGATGATGCCGGTAATATCCTGCAGGTTGAACCAGGTTGTGAATAATTTAAATAACATGGCTGTTGCCAATACATGTGGATGATGCTGTTGATGTGGAAAATAAAAAGAAGAAGGTGATGTTGTAGAGGATAGACATGGAGAAAATACAAGGTGATGTTGTAGAACATTGAGAACTTATATAGATGAATTGGATGAAGAGGATCCTTTTCGCGTGTACAGACGAACCCTCTCTCGCGTGTACAGACGAACCCGTTTTCGCGTGTACAGACGACCCCTCAACCGTTTTAACCCGCATGACTGGACGTCCGTCCAGTCAGAGGGTGGCTATATTGTGGCCATGGTAGCTATCACAGGGAGTGATGTATAATTAGTACTGTAACCCTGAAAGGCATAGAATTGTGATTTATCATGATCTGTCACTATCCAAACGTAGGATCAAACACTTCTCTATCTCTTGTCAGTTTAGGAACTTGCGCAAAGCAAAATGGATAAATGGCGTGGTTGCGTGAACCAAAAATGGAATGCCCACCATGAGAGAATGAGAAAATGGTCCCATCATTTTCTGGGGAAAACCCCCATGGATTCACTATGATTCACCATGATTCCTTGGCGTTTTCCGGCGCAGCCAAGACACCCGAGTTTGAGAAAGCCTTTTCGGTACCTGTTTGAGAAAAACAGGCCCGACTGGATGTCGTTTTAACTGGCGCGCTCTGAGCGTCAACACTCTGTTCACATGAAAATCACTGGGGGTTGTGGCTGTCATCCCTCCAAAATTTGGTATGAATGTATCATATATACTGGTTGGTGGTTTCAACCCCTCTGAAAAATATTAGTCAGTTGGGATTATGATTCCCAATATATGGAAAAATGTTCCAAGCCACCAACCAGTATAGGTTTAAAACCATCCCTAACGCAACATTGAAATCCCTACACCCCAATGCGATTGACCGTAAACTTGCAAGAAATGGGATGCATAGACCATCCCCCAACTGAAGGTGTTCTTTTCTGAACAGGGGTCCATTGATGGTTTAAATCCATATGAAAAAAGAAGAATTGGGATCATCATCCTAGCAAGGGGTTTAAAGCTAAGAGACAAGATGAAACTACCAAGCACGATTATCTATACATAAACATTATATGTGCTAAGGTCAAACATGGTCCATGGCATATGGATGCATATGGACGCATATGGTTTATAGTCATCCATGTCATAAAAACAAACATGATAATAAGTCTATTAAAATCCCTATAAAAATCTATAAAGGGACTGATGATCATCCCCGTGTGGGTATACCATCAATCGACCGTGGCTCAACTACTCGCCTGCTTTTCATACTCCAATCACTATGGCTCATGGATGTTTATGGCAAATATAATAAATACACGATAGTGGGGTTCATAACTCCAATACCAATGGTTCATGGTATATAGATCATATAGATATGATATAACTAACTCTAGTTATGTATAGAAAATAAAGATACTATGCAATGTTATAACTAACTATACATAGACAATAGATAGATAGATAGATAGATAGATAGATATATATATATAACATTATATAACTAACTATTGTCAAAAGGGTTTATACACCAACTTATCACCAGGGGGCCAGGGGGGCCACCTTGTCAAACACATTGCCAAGATCACCAAAGGTCCCCGTCTCACATTCCGCTGTTGCCAAGCTACCTTTCGCCCCCGGTCCTGACAACACTCGTCAACGAAGCATGGGTCATTCCGCATACAGTACACATGCATAAATATCGTAAACAGAGAAGGTAGCAGTGAAGTAGACACTAACATAACCTGGGATCATGTATTTCAACATGTGATGCTTATACTTGTGTCTGTGTATGTGATTTGCCAATATGATAGAGATATGTCTCCACGCCAGAGCAATGGAGCCTGTTTAGCCATCGGCCTCTTTCTCTTGGAGGGCCCCTGCCCAATTTTGGCTCACGCCCTATGTATCCAGCCATACCTTCTGAGACAGCATCTGCGGTATGATATTTGGAGTCACGTGCCTTCTAAGCAAGGGTTCGGACCCATAGTAGGGATGGAAGTTTACTATTCTCAAAGCTTTATCAATTGTCTGTCCTCTTTTTCAGGGATCGGCGATTCGCATCAATGCTTCCATGATCTTCCAGAGAACTTGTCCAACAGTCATGGACAACCTAACAACCTAATCTTCCAACATTCGAACAAAAGCCTAGGTGGGATCGTCTCCAAGGCACGCTACTGAAACCTCTAGCAACATGTGATATCACATGATTTCATGGGATATCTAAAATGATCTAAATGATGTTTCTATATATATATATAAACGAAACTTATATTTAATCAATTCATGAGTTTCATCACAGCATGCCGGCAGGTTGGAGGGGCCCGAAGCCCTTCAACTCCACCCCTAGCACAGCAAAACGATGCCTCCGAGTGATAGATGTGATACGCCGTGGCGAACTTTTTCAGCAACCTCAGCCACCAGGCGCTTGATTTTCACCAGGTCGCAGATTTAGGGCCCCGATCTGGAAAAATGGAGGGCTTGGCTTGGGCAACAACCTATTCAATGGGCTGGTCGTGGACAAGGACGACTATGCTCATGAAACCATCAGCACCTTGGACTTCGATGTGATTTTGTTGAAGATAACCTCCTTACGTGGGCTGATGGATGTTGATAGTTGGATTTTTTTGGGTCCATGAAACAAACTATCACTCTTGTGAATGTCCAGGCTTCCATGCTTGCCAACCTGTCACAACCTATATAACCATATTCAACCAATGGTGGTTTGATAATCACCAAAACCAAAACCACGAGTGAACCTTGCTGGTTAGTGATTAAAAGCCCTTGAACAATCATTATGAATCATAACCATTCCAACCACACATGAAAAGTATACCTGGTTGGTGGTTTCAACCTACCCCTCTGAAAAATGGTGGAGTTCGTCAGTTGGGATTATTATTCCCAACTGAATGGAAAGTCATAAATTTCATGTTCCAAACCACCAACCAGATACAAACGATGAAACAACGTGACGCCATCCCATTGGATCCATGGGATCGGCCGCTTAGTTGTTACAATGTTGGACTTATCATCCCAGCACTTTCTTTGTGGATGTTCTTAGTGGGTCGTATCAATGATCTTCCACAGAGAGGTATAAAAAACCAATGGAGGAGGGACACTTGCTACATTCGCATGTTTTTTTGTGTTAATGAACCCATCATTAGTTCCATGATGTTCCATGCTATGTTTTGGCACTTACGATCCAGTAAACTACCAATAGCTGTCAAAAATCACCATTTTGTATGTTTTTTCAATAAAAAGTCCATATTATTTCCACAACAAACTGTTAAATTACCAGATGTATCTCACACTTCTCCCACCATTACATAGCAGGTGTCCCAGGTAAAATCACATAAAATCACCAACCATGTTCATCCATTTTCATTGCAATTTCCGCACGTAAAATCACCATTTGTCATGGCCATTGATGTTAAAATTACCACGTCAATCACCACAGGTTTCGTGGCACCGTTCACGCAACGAAGCCACTCCCGGGTGGTCCGTGCCACACGCACCGACTCCCTCGAGTATTGTTCCGCCGTTTGGGCGTCGTTTTCCTTGGCCGCTTTCATGGTGATGTCCACGTATACCTGGACTCCGTGGCCCGCCATGGCCCAACACCATGGAACCAAAAATGTAGATGGGATGAAACACATGTAATATCAATGTATAGGGTGGTATTTGAGCAATTAAATGAGTTTGTAGGAATTATTGATATTATTAAATATAGGATATTACATGAGTTTGTGATATTACACATCATTACATAGGGTAATTAAATAATATTACATGAGTTGCAGGAGTTATTTCATTCCATTAATGGCTATCTGTCATACTTGTTACTGGTAGCATTGAACGTCTCCATTTTTTCACAAGCTAAATCCACAATCAATGGCTATTTTCAATAGCTATGTTAAATTTTCAAAGGGTGCCTCATAACCAGCTGTTAGCTATGATCAAATGTGGCTAGGTGAGCCGGAACACTGGATTTGCATGTATTTGAAGCCACCCCAGCAATCTTGGAATATGCTGGCATAGAATGTATATTTACATATATATATACACATATATACATATTATTTGTATATACACGTGTGTATGTGTATATATATATATATTTATATATATATATATATATATATATATATAATATGCATGAATATGATTGAATATGATTCAAAAATGAACATGTACATTCTAAATAAAATATTTAGGCGCTAATGGTATTGCACGTTGTTGAGCAGGAATATTACCTTTTAAAGTAGGGATACTATGTCATTGAAGGAACCATGCTCATGGTTTGTGGGGTGAAGATTGGAGAATCGTTCGACGCATTGGGGGAACAAGCCAGGAGCAGCTGGAACTATATCTGCTGAAATTGTTTGTAGATGTGGACCCTTGCACCGGCGCTGAGCTATGCATTTGTGTATACATATGCACATGTACGTGTATACATAATATGTATATATATATATATATGTATATGTATAGTATACTTTGTATGTATCTATACATGTGTATATATATATATATATATATGTATAGCTAGACCCTCCAAGTACACACAAAATGGTGTTTCATCCCATGATCTTAATCCTTTTACCAGTATTTTGTTGGTATTTGGAGGGTCTGGGTACGCCTTCCTGCGAAGTGGGAAGACTGACCCAGACCACAAGAGTGGTGCAGACGAGCAGCTGCAAGGATGACATTGAAAATGCCCATCCTTGGACTTGAAAAATGGGCCTTCAAAAACCAACCCTAGGCCCGCATGCCTTTAGATTCATGTCATATATATATAAATATGATTACATATATATATATATACATATATATATGTGTGTGTGTGTGACTTCATGAAATCTCTCTCTTATGGTTTTCGATTCTCCAAACATTTCATCTCCCGAAGGTGATAAGAAAGGCGGCATAATGTGCGGTAAATGAACGACTTTCGACAAAGCCAAGCATCGTGACAAGCATGTAGCTAGCCACATACCTTGCACCGCGGCACATGAATCCTGATGTGTATTTTGAATTTAAAGCAGTCAAAGGCATGGAAACAAGTCATGTCAAGCTCGGAAGTTGTTACTTGTTTGCCGGAAAGGGCCCGGTCTGGAACAGTCAAGAGACTTGGTCAGCATATCTTCTGCGAATCCAAACACATTCACACATTTCCCATGGCAAACCTTTAGAAAGTAATTACCAAAAAAAAACAAAACATATCATCAAACATCACCACCATCACATCACAATCAAACACCATCATACGCTTGCGATGATAGCCCTAAACTCAGTCTTGCTGCGAGAAAATGAAGCGCCAACCAAAAATTCTCGCCAGGATCGAATGTATCGGTTGTCCTTCGTCATTCACACCTGCAGCTGTGATGGCTCGGAAGTCCCGAACGGCAACGTGGTTTAAGAGCGTAAAAAGTCTACAGAAACGAGCCTGTACCATCTGCAAACAAATTCGATGCATCGTAATATATATATATATAAATAAGTCATACATAGTCATACATAATCAGTACTAATATATACTAATATTTTGTCATTGTATATACAAATTCAACCTGCTTCCTTCTACGGTGCATACGTAATAGTAGAACCCCTTCTCGCGGAGGCACCGGGGATACCAGCGGAAGGTCTCCGGCGATACACCAAATATGACAACATGTTCCAACCCCCAGGAGAAATACAAACAGAACAGTTGATGGAACATGACGGAGCTATATGAAAATCATTGAAAATCAACTGTTGAAACATTGGGATCAACCGTTTCAGTTGGGATTATCATAATAGTCAGTTGGGATTATATAATAGTCAGTTGCTGGTTGGTGGTATACCTACCCCTCTGAAAAATATGAATTCGTCAGTTGGGATTATGACATTCCCAATATATGGAAAAATGAAAGCCATGTTCCAAACCACCAACCAGGTTGGCATTATCATCGCAAATTCTCAGTTGAAAATCAAAGAAATGACTGAAACCAGCAACACATGAAGAAACCAGCAAGCCACATTCGCCGGTAAAGCATCTGAAGGCTGTGAACATGGAGACCGGAATGTTCCTGTGCAACGTGAGGGTTCTGGGAAATGCCAGCACTGACCTCTGGAAATCCATGTTGGGGACATTTAATTATACATTGAGAACACCTTTTCCGAAAGCGAATTTGGGGCTCCATAATGTTTAACGTTTGATTTGGGTTTATGCAAGCGCCGAAAGCGATAAAAAAAGCTTGGGTGGGCCTAATGAACAAAACCGAGGGTTTGAAAAGAGAAGCCCAAATCCCATGAATCAAATTAACCCCCCCATCCTTATGACCACATTGAAACACAATGAAATCCTATACTGGAATACACCTCCAGGCGATGGTTCCAAAAACAACCATTTCCGGTGCAACATGGTGCAACTGAAGGATGGTCTCTTATTGGATTGCTGTGTTGCCCTACAGTCAGTAAGCAAACCTGGATGGCAGTGAAACATATCCCATCAAAATATCCTGGTATCTAGCTGATTTTCCCAGTTTCTCCACAAACATGATAGGGTAATCATCCACAATCATTCACAATCCCATGTCTGAATGTATTGGAATAATGCTACAACATATATAATTACCTTTCTGGTAATTTGACAAAAACTATGGAAAATCCTGACGAAATCCTCGCTTTCAAAAGGTACATCATCGCAATCAATCGTCCAAACTGCTAAAGTAAATCAATAATTACCAATCATAGGGTCGAGATTGGATTGCATCCAGGTGTCTCAAAGAAGCGCGCCAACCCCCGGTCTTCCGCTTCTCGGTTGGTGCCGATGGTGATGGTGGCGAAACCTGGCTGGGTTTCATGCGATCAATCGATCCATTCATGGTCGGTTTTGCCTTAAACATTCCGGAGCTGGAAACTGAAGCTACCCCAAAAAAGGATCTCATCCTGGTGCCAATGGATCTGCCTGGCTCGCACCTGAATATACACTGGGAAGTTAGACACAGCTGGCGGGAGCCAACAGCTACGGATTCGCCCTCGTCGCAATGCCTGAGATGACATAGAGGACACCAAATAGCAGAGTGAATGCCAATAACAACGTCCTGAGCTCCCGTTGTGCACGGAAAGGATCAATAGATTGTAATTTTCCTTTGGTCCAATTTAACATTCTCGCAACGGGGACACATGATTTTTGTTGAAACATCACTGGCCTGATGGCCAAAGTATTGGATTGAAGCTCCTCATTCTCTGGATCAAAACCTCCGAAAGCAATTCCCAGGAGAGTTTCCCTGGGAACTTATATGATCTATATATGATCTATATATGATCTATATATGATCTATATATGATCTATATATGATCTCTCTCTATATATATACATATAAACAAAGAGAACATATATATATATATATATATTGCACAGATATGTATAGATCTATCTACCTATCTATACATCTGTCTTCAAAGATCCCGGCACCACTTCTTGGTTACAGCTGTTACCAAGTGTCCGAATCCCTGCCACCAAGCCTTTCACCATCAAGCGCAAATCTTTCATGGCCTATTCGACAGGTCACCAGTGCGACCGCAAGGACGGCGCGTGGTGGCAACGATGAGCATCTGGGAATGTGATTAAGCCTACTTGGGGAGATTTTATGAGGGATGCGATATAATATGGGACGTATGATTCAAGGATAAGATTTTAAAAGATTTTGGGATATCAACATCCGTGACTTGTATTATATTCTTTTGAGTTGAAAATGGGGATTTAATGAGGATGGTAACGGGATTTGCTTGGGGAGGTATAACCAGCTACGTCCAATTTGGAAATAGAAAATGGATGGCTTGTTCTTGTACGTTAAAAAACCATCTGCAACTGTTGAGATTTGACGGAATATCACATGATATAAACATGTACATTATATTAGTGTATACATATATTAGAGAGATAGAGAAGCGTATTTAAGAGGGATGGTTGTGCACTGGGCTGTTCAAATCTTTGACGTGGAGGCAACCGTATTCCTCACCACTAGCCCCTGCCATCCTGAGGATAGGATCTATGGCCAGTACCCGAGGCATAAGTGCACCCAAAAGAAAGAGAGAGAGAGAGAGAGAAAACAATTAGACAGATGGACAGATAGATACAGATAGAGATAGAGATATAGACGATATAGATACCTTAAGACATAGAGATATAGCAATATATAGATGTAGAGATATAGTGATTTAGAGATAGATATATAGATATATAGACCTAGATATCGATACAAACCTATAGTTCTACAGATATAAATATGGTATGATATAGAAATAGGTATAGATATGATATAGATATATAGATATAGACTTAAAGATGTATAGATCTAGGTCTAGATATAGATATGGATTGGGGCATAAAGATAGAGATAGATAGAAGAACGGGTAGATATTAAGTAGATTGAAAAGTAGGAAGGTAGATAAGCATGTATGTTTAAAGCTACAAGCAAGTAGTTAGGACAGTTAGGTAAATAAATAATTGGGGATATATGTACATAAGAAGGTGATTAGATGGATACCCCAGATTGAATTGCAAAACCACAAGTTCTCCATTAAACTACTGTCACCAAGTTCTACCCCTCATCTCATATTTTTCCTCCGTTTGAGATCACATTTGAGAGAAGGCAACTAAAATTGCTGCTGTTTGGTTTCAAATGTTTTTCCATGTTTGTTTCCGATGTGTTCTTCCATGTTCTTCCAACGGCTTTCCCACGCCAAAGTCGCCAAATGGGCTTGTCCGAAAACAGGGTATATCTCCAAATTCATGCTTGCTTAATACATTGATCATTATTTCCAATAATTTCCAATAGTGTCCGGAAATAACCATTTGGGAGTGTACCCCATCAGCCCCGAAAATTTCCCCATGCTTTCTGCCTTGATCCGAAAGACCTTCACGATCCGCACGAGGCGAATGAGGCGACAGAAACGTAACAAGGAGGTACCTCCTAGACCACCTTCAGCCGTTGGAAATTCTGGCGGCATTCTTTGGGGAGTTACGATCATGGTAAGTGTCACCCTACAATCAGTGTCAGTTTTGGACTTTGAAGATTAGGACTACGAATCATGGAGGTATGAACATCACCAAATCGGGGATAGAACGGGGAGATGGCGGGGATATAGATGATATAGCGGGTAGATATAGTGAGGGTCTAGTGGGGATGTAGCGATGTAATGGGGATGTAACATATGACATTGTGAAGCTTGACGCTACCTACATTTATGCACGTGTTTAATCATTTTTACAAAACTCTCTATCGCCATCACGAGGGTCCAGCTGAGGGCGAGCAGGTCCGCCCAACATGAACGCAGGTAGTTCTTCCTTCTACAGAAGCTAGTTGGATGTACCCTCCAGTGGTCGAACGTGGCAATGGAAAATCACCTTTTTTTCTCTCAATTTAAGGGATTTTTGATTGCCATGTTTGATTACCGGATGGTAATTCACAATACCTCCGATTCAGGAGCTCCTTGACCCGCCCTCCACATATTCAAATGGTGATGTTTTTTAGGATGTAATTATGTAACTACAAGGATATGAAAAAAACAACTGGAGATGTGTCTGGTAATGAGGGTTTATCCCACAATAGCATCAAATAGTGGAACAGATTAGGTTTTAAAGTACTGATGTTACGCCACTTTTCCCAATTAACCCATATGGATTTGCTCGACCTTAAAGTAAGGTGTTGCAGGACCAAACAACATTTTTATAACCAACTATGAACCAATATGTAACCACCTATGAACGAATACAACAAAAACACAATATGACATGATAAGATCATAGCTTACTTAAGAGATCTCCTGCAAGATGATCCCAACTAATTCATTGTCAAGAATCAGTCCCGAACCTACAAGGTCCTAAGTTTTACCCATGGGTGGGAAGGAATTACCAATATTGTCTTTCAATGGTCCGGTGTGATAAACATGAGCGTGTGATCTAGCATATGGCAACACACGTCTACATACAGTAACGTATAGAGATATAATATGGGCTATATAGTAAACATTGACTATTTATTGTAGTGATATCATTTGCAAAATATTGCAAATCATATTCCAAACATCTTCTATTGGGTTCCGATTTCATGTGAAACTAGAACATCGGGTTTTGTATTATCATTATTATAACAGCTAGTAGCATACAACAGCTCTGCAGATGCTAAAAAGATACCATGCAGATCCATGCAGTCACAGTGTACCCCAATTGAATTGTGGCCGCAATTTGCACAATAGTGACATGCCTTTGCAGGGTGGTGGACCCCTTCCCTTAACACCAAAGGCTGTTAATTGGGGCTCAAATGTTCCATCATTGGATCGAGTTTCAGAGGCTGACAATGGAACCGTATGCAACACCAGGTGTCAGGCTAGGGCAAAGAAACAACCACTTCTTTCTGGCATTGCATGCCAACTCCGCCCTTTCAAGTCAGAGTAAGTGTATAGATAATCCCATCCCCTTAGCAACACACACTTCGTAAATACCTAAATGATCAGAAATATGTCTATGCTAAATCACCTCAACCATGGTTTCTGGTGCAAGCTTTATCGGGGATGGGATTGAACAGCTCCTGGGCCATTACACTCATTACACTCACCTGCCATCCCCTCTTCGGCTCTTCAACAACCATAGCGCTGGAAGCAGTGATAAATTGAATTGTCAAATCTGCAATGCCAGCAGCCGCCAGCACCAAATCGAACCAATTCCAATACCTGTCACAGTGGGCTGGGCCGTCTGCCAATCATGTTATCAATTGAGGCAACAAAAAATAGAGTAGCGGCCCACAATATATAAAAGCGGGACACCTGAACATAGAAAGAACATATCATCGAGAACATCCTGGAAACATGTTTCTATCTGTTTGATTCTTTTGGCGGCTTGCTATATATATATATATATAATCTATATAGCTGTATGCTGCATGTGTACGTAGCATAACCAGCAGCAATTCCACTCCCAATGCCTGAAAAACTGGGTAGATAAAACAGAAAACCAGCGGTACCGCGGTGCGTGAACTGCCCCCGAGTAGTTTTGAGATTGGCACCGGGTAGGAGTGACAAGCAGTACAAATAAGATGGCACAACACAACTTGTGGTGTGTTGTTCTTGCATTTAGTACCCGATGTGACAGAAGGAAAACGCGCGGCACCTGTCAGGACCGCACCAATACTTGCGACATTTCAGGAAACTCATCCTCATCACAATCTCCTGTGACGAAATCGGAACCCATCACGGCCTGCATGAATCACTCCCCAACAAAAAATCAACCAGATTGTCTTGAGATGTTCAAAATGAAAAAAAACGTGGCAGGAGTCCTGGCAGGAGTGTTTCTCACAAAGTTCTCCAAACATGAGGACATTTCAAGATCGGTTTTCTGTGTGTTGGCAGATGGCTGCCTCTGGTTTCCCAAGGCTGGGGATGAAACACATACATACGTAGATGTCCAAATTTGGCTTGGACATGTTTGGACATGTGGACCCATCACCAGCCCAGGCGCGAGAACGAGGAAAAATCCAAAGACCATCTCGAAGTAGATCCAACCATTCTCAGCAATCGGACACTGCGTTAGGTGGGGCCCCCACATTTACTGGTTAATATTATTACGTGTGACCATAAAGCAATGGTTATTGGAGTTTGACAACCAACTTGGCTATCGCAGCTCTCGTTTGAAGGGCCCACTGTGTACCCCTTGGACGGTTTCAAGAATCAATACCCAATGGTGATATGAATCCACTACGGTACTATGGGTTCCAAACCTATGGCAAACGGCATTGTGGAACAACGACACTACCTGACTATATATTGACCTGCTACCATTGCCATAAATTTGAATCGATCGTTGGAAGTCATCCCAACATGATAAGAACATTTAGTTCAGTTGTCTCTTGTGTTTGTTTGCAAACAGCCATGCCTAGGTCGATGTGCGCCCGCGAAAATCAAAAAAATAACGTATGCATGTTTCAATCCTGAAGAAATTGATTTCAACACGTGAATGCAGGAAACCAAACCAATTCAACTTCGGCGTCTACACATCGATCCACATCGTTTCAATTTCAATTGTTGTTTTGCCAGTGTTTGTAAATGCGTTTGAAACATGCAACTGCCTTCGAGTGTCGTGCTACAAACGACACATCGTCGAAAACAAATTCATAATAGAATGAGTGTTTGGTTTTTTTCACTTGAACAACACACCACTACAACCAACCAATATGGATCATAAGATATAATCATCCTCAAGTAGATAGAGCCTGGCTTCAAATTTCCAGCATACTCAGCACTCAGCAAAATGGAAACACAGCCTAAAAAAATCCATGGCTGCCTGCCAACCTGTTTCTTGAAACCGAGCCTTTGTTCCGAAACTAGCAGAAAATGAAAACACATGATAAACACCTGTACCAAAAACATCGGAAACAAAACACCTGGCATGCTATGGCATAGTGAACAAGAACATCTTGAGACCTTTTCCCATTCCGCAAACATTCGCAACCGATGTAACTTGCAAAACAAAGCTCCCAACTCTCGTAGCTGGGATCTGTCTGAAATCCGATCATCAGGCCATTTGCCACCTGGGGGACACCCCGAATCGGCGGAAGGCCCCGGGCCAACTGGGCAGTGTTCAAACATCAAGGCCCCGTCACGTATGAAATGCTGACTGTTAAAAATACGGCATTCCCATCATGATATACCATCTGGTTATGTATAACAGTTCGCCATGGAAAATCAACCCATTTTTAAGAACGGTAAACCATGGTAAACCATCTATTTCTATGGGCCGTCTATACCATGGCTATGATAATCCCAAGATATTCAGCACATCAACCAAGGGTTTTAGCAGCCACTTCGATGACATCTTGCGGCAGGGCACAATCAGAATCGCCACAAGTGGCTCCATGTACCTCACCGCAGCGAAAAAAGGGGTTTGCCTCCGGCAATCCAAACATGGTTTGCTAGACAATTCCCCATTGGGTCTTACGATTTATTCAGCTAACAACTTCCATCCCATGTTTCAGTGCCAAGGGTACTTGTCCCGCCAAACAAACAAAAAAACGAGAAGGGCACATCAAGGCATTCATACGCTCCACAGGGGCTGCCAAATCATTGATGCGGACAAACGTGAGCTCCGCAACCTGTAGTAGTTCGAAACCGGGGAGGGTTTGCGGGCGCTCCCCGGAGGGATACCTGTCACAGACCCAGTCTGTGTCTGATCTGACCTAACCTTCTGACTCAGTTTAGAACTAAGGGGTAAGGACAAAACAGAAGCAGTGTCTTTGTTGCATGGCTTCCTACGAGCCGGAGCATTACCTGAAGAGAGGGCCAAGGACAACACCGAAGTCGATCCTCTCTCTTTAGATTGAGTTTTACTTGAGCTAGAGCGAGCAGCTGGGCTTGCAACCCCGGATGCCTTTGAGGTGACATCATCAGGTAAGGACAGCACAGACGCCAAACTCAGTTTGAAGCGGCTGCTACAGGCAGTTTTAGAGCTGCGGCTACCAGCTCCATCTTCTCCAGCTCGGTAGAATTGCCTGGGTTTGACCTCAGTTTTCTTGAGCCAAGCCCCCGGGACACAATCCGTGTCCCCTTCCTGACACAAGGACATGTAGCGGTGGTCAAGTTGCATCATGACGATGGGAGCAGTCCCTTTCTTTTGAACAACAGCTTGACCATTTGGTTGGAAGTCACTGGAAACCACAGATCTCTCCCAACTGTGCCGTTGAGGGATCCAAGCAAACACAATAATTGGCGCCTTAAGTCTATCCGCAAGAGCTCTTGGTTGGCCCTGAGATGGGCCGGCTCATCAGGGTCCGCAGCCCAGAAGCCTTCGTACTTGCTACGAAACTTGGTCAATTGTCCAGTAGCCAACACGCGCAACCGTGAAGCTTCCCTAATCAACGAGTCACCAGCAGTAAGTACCTTTTTCTGTTGTCTGCCTATGCCATGAGCACAACATCGGAACGCGCAGTCCCCGGAGCCCCCAAGGTTGACGAAATTCCATTTGGCGTACTGAGCACAAAACGCCTTTTGCGGGTCAATGTTTTTGACCTCAGACTTTCCCTTTTCTTCAGCCTCAGTTTTCCTACGTGGCGAACGTTCCTTGGCTTCAGTAGGTGTGGGCGTTGGGCTCTGGGACGAATCGATCTGAGTTGGGGCCATGTGGCCGGGAGGTTGGGTGTCAACCCAACGTTTTTTGGGAGTCACGAGCCGTTCAGTAGGGACTGGCTTCCTAGTCCTAGGCCGTGGCGAGGCAACTGTCAGGTGACAGGTGCCATCATCATTCTGGTAAGTCCAAAAATTTGACTGACCTTCCTGGGGGTTCGCAGCTTTGGCTTTGAAGATCCAAATAAATTGGGGGCCTTTACGAACCTTGTTAATGACATCCACATTTGACCACCCATTGTTGTGCAAGAAGTCCTTGACATCAGATTCGGTCCAAGACTTGGGGGTACCAAAAAAAATTCATGACCTGACATGATCAGCAACCAACTCGGACTGAGACACGTCAACCAGGTCAAGGTCACTTCCGCCTCCTTGACGCAGCACCAGAGGAGTGCGGCGTTTCTGTGGTTGGGTCAGACACTGCCTGAAGTATTCCTCAGCTGGCTGCTTGGCGCAAGAGAGCCATCCAACCTTTTTTTGGTCCTTCAGTCGCGAACAACGCCTGCTGCCCGGACAGGGGGATGAGTTTATCAGCAAGGGCTTGTGTGGTTTTAATGTGACGCAGCAGGATGTCACCATGCGGGTGCTGTGCAACATGCCATTGACCGCCAGTGAGCTGAGAGGCCTGGCAGCCACTCATTGAGACCCAAGCGGCAATAACACTCTTCGGGTTGTCGGGCCCCGTGATTCCAGGGATAAAACAACGGTAGAACTGGGGAGTCAACAGTCTCACAGTGACCATTTTGACATCTTTGGTTTTTGGGATCTGAGTGACCACAGCAGTCCTGGGAGTAGGTCCTTTAACAGGAGCGATTTGATGGTTCTGGACCTGAACTCTTTGGGGTGGCTTTTGTTTGCCTTGGGTCCACCAAACACATAAACTGGGGCCCTGGCAAGCCTTGGTTTGAACCACCGCAACAGTGAGCGCATGAGAACAAGCAAACGCGTTCCACAAGCTTTTAGCCTGAGTGACGTCTTGTTCGTCCCGAGTTACAACCAAGTTACCAGGAGGGTCTTCACCAGCCGTGAGAGCTTTCTCGAAAGATCGGCGAAGATTTGATTCCCGAATGCCACCAACACGAAATCATGGCACCAATGGTATAAATAGTAGCAATAGTCATAGGACTTTTCAACTCGTAAGACCTGGCCTTTTTTTGTGTGCAACATTGCCATTACCAGCCGTGGCTTCAAGAGGACCCTGAGAACGGTCATGGAAGTTGCGGGTGTTTCTGGGAGAGTCTTTGGGACTGACAGGAAAATTGTCATCAGAAGACAGAGACTGTTTCGAACCTTCAGGGGATTTCAGAATACTCCTAAAAGCAGTTTCCTTGGTAAGCGGTGGCTGGTTACCGAAAAGCAGGGAACTCCTCGCAAAGGAAACTCTACGTGGAGAAGACATCTGAGAATCTTGCGGTTCATTCATTTGAGCAATTTCATAGTCTGACCAGTTGTTCGGAAAAGCTGACTGCAACATCTGAATAAGAGAATTGGCCAACTGCGGCCAGATCCAGCTGAGGGTTGAACACCCCCTTTCCGCTTTCTTTCGAGGAGGGGGGCTTGTAGAGACATCCCGGTTTTTGGGCGCAATTTGTTCGAGCAGTGACCTTATAGACCCAGGCAGTGCCAAAGCGACCGAGTTTGCGAATCAAACAGATCATCGCCGGCCAAAAGGAACAAGCAGGATTGCCTGTGGCCCACCTTTTCAAGAAGTGCCAGAGCTTGTTGCCAAAACAATTTGAGCCGAACCTGTCGATGAAAGTTTTTTTTTGTTTGTTTTGAGGAGTAGCGAGCAAAATTCCCCTCCGACCAACTTCTTACCCAACTGTCCAAATCGGGCCTGCCTTTGTTCCAAGAATATAGTAAATTGACTCTTTTTAGTTGTCCGAAGAACCTATATTTACGTTTCACAACTTGATACCTCCTACCGCCTACCCAAAGACATCTGTCAACCCATTTCTGGGTATATAGCCTGCTAACTCTTCATCAATCAGGTTTCATGAATACGGTTGACACTTCTACTGCTACTACAGTAATTTTAAATGGTTGCAAGCTACCATTTGTGTTCATGATACATTTTCTTGGCTGTAGCAAGCACCATTCTTGTTGGCAAAATAAAAATATGATCTGTGTTGGCAAATCACTGCGATCACAGTTTGTGTTGCAGAGCTTTGCGGCCAACATCAATATGGCAATTCACTATGTCTAATAGCTGAGCTATGTTACATGGTAAAATTGATTAGGACCAACATGATTCCTGGTTAAATCAATTTGTGTTGGTAGAACTCCCGTAGTGTTTGGTGGAGATCCTCCCCTTTCCACATCTTTCCGCATTTCTCATCATCTATACCCAACCAACCCTCTTTAAAAGCACCGCTTACCTATCTATTCTGACCCTGGAGTTCATGGCGCGTGGGGACCCACACTCAAGAATTGGTGCGATCTATCAGAACAAGCCTTTATTGGTACCGACTATAACGTTGGAATGACTACTTGACTTAATAATAATATGTATATATATATCTCTTATTAATTCTTCACATTTTGCTTTTGCATCTTTTTCCTAAAAACCAAACCAACATGTTTGCGATTAGACCCCGCCAATCATCTTATTATTTTGCTTGTGAAGCCGATTTTTTTTTGAAGTCGTAGTTGGGACCCCACAAACTGTCCGGTTACCCTCTGGTACCAGGTCATCAAACGTGGCTGGAAAAATCCCTTTCAGATGGAGGTTTCCATAGCTGGGAAATATTGGTTACCCTCTGGTAAACTAACAGTTTGCTATTGAAAATGGCCATAGAAATAGTGGATTTTCCCATTAAAAAATGGTGATTTTCCATAGTTATGTGGCTGTTTACCAGAGGGTAAGTCAGGTAACATCCCCATGTTCCACCGAAAAAGGGGGAAACAATTCCTTCTGCCGCTTTCCCCAGATGTGAACCAGAGGAGCCAAGCGATTGGTCTCGGAGGCCAACAAAATCTCCTGCCACCAGCATCACCAATCATCACCAACATCATCGGCAAATAATATAATATAATGATAATAACCATCGAAAATAATGAAGATAAGTGATAATAACCATAAAATCCTACAAACATGTACCAATAACCTCCCAAAAGCTGTACGAAAAGTACAGTATAGAAGAGTTAAATCTTACACAAATAACCAAACAAACGTGATAAATGCAACCACTTCTATTTTCTTGCTACTATTAATTATATCAGGAATATTCAGCCAACCTCCTCAATTCCGTGACTTCCCGACTCAGATTCGCAAAATCAGAGTCGCCCAATAAACGTGGTTGGCGGTTCATCAACCCAAACGTTGTTGGGGCAATCAATTTCGGGCAGATTGGCATCCCCTTGGGACTAGGTGGCTCGCCCCAGTTATTAGGTGGATCGTGATGGATTTTCAATGCTGCTGCATCCCCCCACTGTGATTCTCAAATTCACCAATGGTATGGTACTGTATATATGGGTTTCATCCTGTTACAGTTTATTATATCAACCTCAACAGTCAGATTTATATAATTCCATGCTATTAAACCATGAAACAAAAAATGTCCCCCATCCAGCATGTTTCATCCTGTCCTATACATGTGGGACTGGCTTAGTAGCTCCTTGTAGTAGCTCCACATTCCCATATCACCTTGGCTCCTTCCTAAGAATCGGATATGTTTACAAGTGGCACCCACCGGCCCACCCTCTCAGTTCGCTACCACGCTACCTTCATTGCACGGTACATGGACAATTGACCGCCCCAGATCTTCCTCGGCATCCGGTCGATCAAAGAAACGGAGGATACATATGGAGAAATTGTCTCTTCTCCAAAGTTCAAGCCCGTTATATATGTCAATACTGTTCTTTGTATGATGCAGTTTATTTATGTGCATTCTACATTGTATTTCGTATGTATTTCATATATAGTTTCCGATGAATGATACTGGCCCAACAACCCTGAAATAGACTGAACTAGGGTCATGTTTGTTTGTTGCGATTGCGAATCGGAATCCATGGTGACCCTTATGCTACTGCTAAACCCTCAAGCATGGCTGGTTTTTACCTTTGTGGTCATGGTTGTTCGACCAAAGGAAAAAGGGCTATAGCTACCGTATTTACGCAAAGGACCAAAGAGTCTCTAGCCCAAGCTGGGTAAACCACAGATGGAAGGCTTACAATAGAGGTCACACTGACATTACATATTTCATGTTTCTTGCAAAATTAAGGGCGCCTTTAAACTTTAAACTAAGGTCGTCAAGCCCCTATTACTCTCTGCTAGCCAATCTTGCCAATGGAAAATCCACCATTTGGTTCAATGACTTTCCATGTTAGATGAGCGGAAGGTGTTGCGGATAACGATTGGAGGGGGCCCCACATGATCATCCCAGTCTCTTTTGAACTGGCCCCTCGTGGGCCAAAAAGACGTCTACCAGTGCCTGCGCCGGCACCACATTGTGTGAACCTGGGGCAGTACGAGCGACCCTTGGATGTAGGGCCAGATTTGGGTCTGACAATATACCATTGAAAATAAGGATTTTACGGAGATACTGAGATATAATGGGATATATATATATTTAATATAGATAATGCATTAAGCAACTCATTATGATTATATTATCATAATTGAATAATGTGGGTTTAACCCACCAAAACAATTAGCCGAGCCTGGAACGGTGAAACACTATAATTTACCAGTAGATTTGGGGGTAGCCTGTTAATTAAGATAATTAAGTCAGGGGGCCAGGCCGTCGATGTACGTGCTGTGTGCCGTGCTGTGTCCGGTATTGTCCGGTGGGATGCGCAAGATTTCAGTGCTATGATATTTAAACTAATGTTCAGTATAGTAGTTATACTTGACAATGACCCTTAAAAATGTTGGTCATTGATATCTTAATAACCGGCCCACTTTCTAGGATTCCTGATTGAGATCTAGCTTCTCGTCCTGTTCCACTTGCTCAATTCTGCACGCGCGGAGGGGGAACAAGAATATATAGAAATATATAGCAGATATCTGCACACCAAAAGTCAAGCCATTTCAAGAGAAAAAATCCATGTTTCCTGCACTTACTCCGATAAAAAAAACAAATCATTGTTCCCGTGCTCTCCCCGTCTGGCCTCCATGAGACCTGGCAATCTTAGACACACAACATACCACCTTTGAGCTAGTAAATTTCATATAGTTTCCATTAAATTAGATTCCCAACATATCCAACATGGCAAAATATTGAAGTGTCATTCGCTCGCACGTGAGCGAAAACCGTCCCGAGTCGCCCCAGCGGCCAAGAGGTGCCACCCCTGCGGATGGACCTGGCGGCGCTTGGCGCGCTGTCCAAAATTCGTTCGTCGGCAGAGCATTGTTGGAGGAGTTCGGCTGCGAAGCGGTGACAACAGGGCTCACGGCTCGGACGCACAGCCGCTGGGTGGTTCTCCCCTTGCAAGTACTTGATAGGTAAGTTCAAGCCTTGCAACAATTGTTCTGTTCTTGAAGTGTCAAACTATGTCATACTATGTCTACTTCACCAGTTGGTTTCCCCCAGTTTTTCATTTTGTTGGTTTCCCACTGTTTCTCGGTAAAACCACTACGTTGCCGCATGGGACGAAGTCACAGTCCATGCAGTTGGTCTTCTCATGGTATTCAGTATTCATGTTTGATGATCAGTTTGATGATCAGTTTGATGAGACACAAACAGGAAAGTTCTTTAAAAAAAAACGTTTGCCATTAAACAAAGACTTTTTTTGACCGTAGTTCACCAACCTGAGAAATTCTGCCAGTTTGGGATAGCTGCCCCTACTAAACATCATTCCAATGAGGTCGCGACGTAAAGCCTTGATCATATTTATTTAAAGCGTGCCCCATTATATCGCCATCATACCAGCATGTTTGTTGGTTTGGTTGGTTGAATAATGTGGTTATAGGATCGTTGCACTCTAAAGTATCGAAGAGCAGAAGAGTCCAGGAATAATGTGGTTAAAACAATGCCATAAACCACCCATGACTGGGAATGGTTTATACTATACCATCTATAAAAATGGTGATGACTGGGGGATAGTTTATGACATTGTTTTACCCACATAATGTATAGTTGAATCTCATCTAAAACCCCATCATACCACCATGTTTCCTTCGTGAAATCCCCACAACACTTCCCGGATTTTCCCTTGATCTTCGTCCAAGTGACGCGTGGCAATGATGTTGGCATCGAAGGTGCTGGTCTTCGCCCTTAGTGGTGATACATCTAATAGCATCTGGGTCTATTGAGTGTATCATACAGATCTGGGGAAGTTGTCACCAACCTGAAACAAGGCCCACAATGGTCCCCCATCATTCCAGCGAGGTTACAGTGAGGTCGTTATAAGTTACCCAGATCTGGGTATATTGGATTATTGGGTGTATCATTCTGTATCATATAGATATGTCTGGAAACATCTGGAAAGATCAAAAAAAAATTGAAAGAACTTAAAGTCATAAGCATATATGATGGTAGCACGTTCCGAGTTTGCAGGACCATATTATACGGGATATATGATTGAACCAGTGAGAATGGAATCAGTTTGGTGACAATATATGGATGTAAAACAACACTAATTTGCAATACAGTCACCGACAGAATTATGGAAAAAAAAACGTTTCAATTTACAGGCGCCGCCTGTCTATGATAGAAAAGTTACGAACCTTTTTTTCCATAATTATTGTTTCCATACTTATTTTTTTTCCATAATTCTGTCGGTGACTGTATGTCCATCGATTCGCAATTTGAATGCATTTTAAGGGGGAATATTGAATTATAGAAAATATGTGTATAAAGATCTGGTATATGCGCCTAAGTCTTCCATTGATATACAGAATATCATGTGATGTTCACAATTTGAATTCATTTTAAGGGGGAATATTGAATTATAGAAAATATGTGTCTAAAGATCTGGTATATGCCCCTAAAGCCTGCCATTGATATACATAATATCTGGATGTTTCCTTTTGCCAAGCCACCAATTGGGTTGATACTACATACTTGCATTTGCATACATCTTTCCATAACCCCCAAAAAAAACGGGTTTGAATTGTGAATCCATGACATGTCCAACAGGTGGAGCCCCAAACATTAATTATGGACAAAAAATATATGGAAAAACCGGTCAATCTGCCCTAGCCCGCTGATTTCACAGGAAAAATCAATTATGGAAATAATAGCCACCCAAGAATTATGGAAAAAAAAGGTTCGGATCACTTCCGGGATATTTTGAACCCTTATGGGGAAAAATCCAATTATGGAAAAATCGGACGCAGGCGCCGCCTGTCTAAGTTGAACGTTTTATTTTTTTTCCATAATTCTGTCGGTGACCATAACCATATATTACGGTGGTTCCCATCTTTTAAATAAATGGTTCACCAACCATGACTGGGGGTGTATTGGGGATGTGTCATATAATAACATATAATAACTGGGAAATCAAAACTGCAAAATAACGGGATGTATCATCCTGTGGCAAACCCAAAAATATACTTTCCCCTTGACCAACCATTAGGGCTATTCGAATAGTATTCATTCCGAATAGTCCCAAATCGGAGATGACAATACAAGTACAGAACCCCGACCATTTCATGGTTACCCAAATGTCTCGCCCTTTGGATAATGCCACATCCCAAATTCCAGCGCAAAAAAGTGCAACTTACCAACGTGGATATGGGTATCGATCGGTCAAATCAATAGCGCCCGATGATGTGGGCTGGGATGTTCACCAGGGTAGCGTTTGACGCATGGACACTCCGCGATCTTCTCTACTGAAACTGCATACCGGACACGGTGTCTAACATACCCGGGTTTGTCTGCAAATTATGGGACACCAATGGAACACATTGAAATCAAGTATTTATAGTTAGTCCCCAAATGTTCATCCATTTCCCCACTAGAATTGACATGGCCGGGTTGTAAATCTCCAATTTCCTGTTCCAGCTGCGCGGTGACCCTGGGCTGACTACCTGAGATGCAGGGAGGTGGTGAATTGTGATATATCCCGGGTGAAGGAACAAAAAAAATCCAGATAAATTGAAACAGGGGCATCGGGTAGTGATGCTAATCAACAATGTATCAACCCATAACACATATATATATATATGTATGGATGCTCGCTTTTTTTTACAAATTTTCAAATACCGTACATTCTATCTTCCAAGGTTTGGATACTTTATTTGTTTTCATATTGATTTTTAAAGGTTGGTGTTGACCTTTTGTTTCCAAGGTTTGGCAGGTCACACCTGTGTTTCCATCTCTGCAGGTTCCCACACATCACACATGTGCTTGAAGAAGGTTTCAGCAGTTGATCGGGTAGTTGTATCTGATCCAGGTTTTCCAAAGGTTAGCCCAATTGACAAAGGGAGATCTATTTATTCTATTTGTAGTGCATCTCCTTTGACAAGGGAGTGATCTCGATCCACTGTAAGCCAAGCTGTGCAACTTCTCCTTTGACAAAAGGGAAATGAACTCCGGTGGATAGAGGCACACCATCAAACCAAGACCCGATATTTTTTTAAAATAAAAATTCTCTCAACAATTTCTTATTGACCTTCCAAAACCAAAAAAAACAATCCTGCAAAAGTTTACAATCGTTTACATAGATGTTTGGAACCCACTATGAGACTTGCTCCAGCTTTCATTCCCCGCTTGGATCCACAATCTTTCCTATAGAATGCCTGTGAACGTTTACATGACAAGATGTGCAAAAACCAACTATTCGCAGAGGTTTCCAGTAGTCTACAGTACCTTAGTGCTTCCCAAACGGCTTTACCCGGAAAACTCGGAAAACCACCAGGTCTCCCGTCCCAGCCTGGTGCGCCCGCGCTAAGATTGGAGGTGTCGGGCCACTGCCACACGGCCTTGCCCAGGGCCTGCACAAAAATCATGGCATCGCTGCGAAAAAATGGAATTTCTTGGGATCAGATGGGATTTAAATACATGGGTTTAATTTGAAATCTATGTCGTATCTTTTTGCTTTGAAGATCTTCGGAGGGTCATATCCGTAAAGACTGATCTTTGATGTGCAAGAATTACCATTTGAATATATATATATATGTGTGTATGTAAATACACACATATATATATATATGATCTGCAAAACCAAAGCACAAAAGCAAACTTCACCGTCTCACCTTGCAGGGTTCCTTCAATGTCTTAGAAAGATTGCCCCCAAGCGTGAGCTGCCCTTTACAAACGTGGCAACTAAACTTGTTGCCCTGCAGATGATACATGGTGTGAGTGCGGTGCAAAGCTTTGTGTAGTTGGCTGCCCGGACACGTGTTGGCACCCTTGGGAATACATTCCCTCATCGCCTTCTCTCGCACACACTGCAAAAAATCATTATATAAATAATATTACAGGAAGAGAAATCGTCGATGCAACCAGAAATCCTGTTGATTACAGACGAAGGTGTTGATCAAGATACCAATGCAATGCCAAATCCGGAAAGCACATGTCGGATAGCTTTATTTTATGCGGGCATCTTGAGCCAAACATCGTTGGCCAAGTCTTGAGTTTTCATCCCGGATTTCAGGATAAAAGAACATGTTATCATTGAAAGATAACCTATTGATTCGTCTATTCCGTGTTGACGCCAAATGACATCATGTACACTTTACAGTCATTGGATACAACAACATAGATACTCATGCAAAGGTGAGGAGTTGATCGAGTACTTTCTTCTCCCCCTCTCGGAAAACTACGAACTGCATCTACGTTCGTCATGTTGAGTGGCACAATCATTGTAAAAATCTCTGAGGCCACTCATCATTGTTTCAACGGCAGTTGCCCCCCTGTCAAATACTTTTGATGTCATAGACAGTGGTCTCTCACTCTTCAATCTCTCCCACTTTCTCCGTCTGTTGTCCCTTCGATGTTGCCTTCGGCGCTGAATAGCATCATAGGCTAATGGATGAACTGCAATGTCACTTATATCAACATCTGGTACTTGACACTCACCTGCAAGATCGCACACCGGGGCGAGTAGTGAACTAGCGTCATGATCTTTATGTCCAGTGGTGTCAAAATTGTCCAAATTTCTACAGCAGTATCATGACATACGCAAGCAAACTGTCTCTCCAAGCATGATCCGCAAAACACGGCTTTGGAGTCCAAATCGGCGCATGCAGCTGGCTGTTCAAGTTGAGTGTACTTAGGTTCATCCTTATCCTTATTCGCCTTCCAGGCTTCATTGGGCTGTCAATGGCAAAGATTGGAACGTCATTTTGGACCCTGTTGGCATACCATCTGTTTTCAGAATGGCACCATACGCGACATCGGCGATGACCAAGGGCAATGTACGGCTTTTGGCCGTGCTGCCAAATGAATGTGTGTCCACGGCTGACTTGTCGGCCTATCCATAAAGCCATGGGGCAGCTCTCAAGGATATGGATATGAAAATCACTCTGTTCCTTGGTGTACACACGCAATGTTTCAGTGGAGAGTTGCGGCCCTAAGAACTCCAAGGAATACTTCTCAAAGTTCTGGATTGACGGATGAACCATTGAAGCCGCTGTTGTTTCTCCGATCTGATCATAAGAATTTGTAATTGATGACATCAATGTGGCAAGAATAGGAACCGACAACTTCAAGAACATGTTCAACGAAGGGAGGGCCTTGTAGCAGAACTGGCAAAAAATGCCAAGCTTTCTGAACCGATTGTCATACTGGACGCCGCTGTAGCCACAGCTGCTGGCGCGGTTGAACCGCTCTTGGTGTTCCCTTTCTTTCCCTTGCCTGATTGTTTACCAGAGCCTTTGAAAGACTCACCCCCCTTTGGGTTGTTTTTCAGGAACTCTGAGGAGGCTTCTCTAGCAACGTCTGATCCCGGGTCGCCTGTATGAAGGTATCGGCATCGATCTCCAAATTTGCAAAGGCCTGCAGTATGACGTGCACAGGGAGACTGCTTTGCGCTTTGAGTTGTTACCGGGCCAGGGGTAACAGGTTGGGCAACCGCAGCAGTTTTCTTCCGCCTCGAAGTTCTAGTCTGCCTCTCTCCAGTAGCAGGCAAAGCTAACTGATGAGGAGGTGTTCCACGCAGTCCCTTGACAACATTCTCATATAGTGCATGTCATGGCGTTTCTCTCTGAGCTCTTCTGCAACCTGAGTCCAAATCCAATCAAAGGACCTCTTCCGTGACCTTTGGCTAGACTCTCTGACCTTGTCAGTGATGCGTCTCAGGGTATCCAGTCCTTTGATCTGATGCCATAACCATTCGAACATTGTCCTTGGGGATGGTCTATCTGCAATTTTGAGACCATGCAACACGTGATTCACCTTTTTGACGAACTCCTCTAACTCTTTGATCCCCTTCCCTTCCAGTTGGGGATTCAAAAGATGCATTCGGCCCAACGCCGCAGCCCTGTCCAAACTCGTTTCACAATACGACATCATGAGGTTCAGGAGCGGAGTGCCCTTAGGCCCCTCAGACCTTGCTGCGCAGCCCTCTACCCAGCTGGTGATCTCGTGGGCGAGCTCCACATTGGTAGACAACACCTCGGGTTTGATCAATTCCGCCGCTATGTGTTTGTTCAGCATAATAAAGTCTTCTGATGCCTGCAAAGAGTTTCAAAAAGTTCTCCCTTTGCCCTCCGTTGCATATGTGGCCCACTTGACAAGAACATCAGTCTTTGAAAGGTCAATCCTAGAAATCGACGCCAGGAATGCCGCTCGCCACTCTCTGCATGAGGTTGCATCATTGGGCAATCTAGTGACTACCATTGACTTCAAATGCTTCAACTTGTAAACATCCTCTTCAGATTTCCCATCTGGTGACCAACCATCTTTCGGAGGTTGAAAAGCTGTATCATCAATCAGTTCCTGCGAAGATGAAGAGCCATTTGATGATGAACTAGTTTTGGGTGTATGTATTGCAAACTCGACTGCGCCATGAATTGAAGGTATGTGTCCTCCCATGGTAGACTTCACATCATTCTGTCCAGTGCTACAGGCAGTGGGTATAATGTGTCCACCTTGAATCTGTGGCCTGTCTTGTACAAGGTTGCAATAGCCCTCAACAGGAAAACACACGGAGCTCCACCATTACCAACTCCAGCTCCTCCCAAAAGCCCCCCAGATGCCAAGATCCCGGTTGGTGCAGCGATAGACGCGCTTCCAACCAAAGAATATGCCTGAGCAGTGTGTGCAGCTGCATGCGCGATAGACGCGCTCGCAGCTCCAGTTCCTCGAAACCTGAAAGACTCTGATGGGGACAAACTTGGAGGCGGACATGAAGTAGCACCAATGCGATCTCCCTGCATGAAGCTGTGGCCCGCGCCATTGTTGGCAACTACTGCACTGAACAATGTAGAACATCTCCAACATGATAGTCTTCCAATCACATTTTGGGAACCGCAACATGAACAAAACATCACCTCTAAGGGGTTGATGCTGGCAACACTAGCGCCAGGTCCAACTGACAAGATCTGGGTATGTTGTGTGGACTGTGTATGTGGAGGTAGATGATCAAAAGGGTTTCCAACACAAGGTGAACCACTAGTTGAATCAGCCATGGATGCCACCCTATCAGAATTCAACTGTTGATGTGCGGCTTCCAGCTTCGCTCCAAGCATCTGATGCTCCTTCACAGCCCTTTCCCGATCCAATTCGGCTTGCCGGGCGATATAGGCCGCCTGGCCTTCTGCAGCCCTCTGAACCTCATGAATTTCTAGTCTCAATTGCCTGTTGCTTTCTGCCATCTGTGCAATGCGGGCATCCGCTTGCTGTTGAATATGCTCACACCATTGTTTGGCTTGTTCAGTGTTTTGTTGTTCTCTCTTCTCAACTGTTTGCTTTTCATGCTGTAGTTGCTGCAATCTCTCTAAAACATGTTCTTGCAATGCCTTTTGGTTGTTTCCGGCTTGTTGTCTGATGTGCTCTACCTCTTTTCGTGCAGCCTCCCTCATCCGATGATAATTGTTTTCCACCCTTGCTCTCACCAGTGAATCCAACAACTGCTCCAACTGTTCAGAGTCTACTTGATTGACCTGTTGCTGAAACCAATTTTGTTGAACATTCTGAGTATTGTACTGATGCAAACTTGGTATCTGCTGACCCGTAGATGTACTCCCACCCTGCTGTGCTGCTCCGCCTGCATTGGACGATGATGACCTCTGCCCTCGCTTTGCCAGGGTAGTCATAGTGGCCACCTCCTGAGCGCCAGCTTGAGTCATGGTAGCTAATTGACCTACTGGGTTTTCAGGCGAATCAGATGATGAGGTCCAAGTCGAGTTCGGCCCATGAACCTTGAATGGAGTGGCTGGCACGTCTAGTTTCATCTTTTTCACCACGAAGAACTTATAGTGCAAGAGTTCCTATGCTTCAAATGCAGGAACACAGTGGCACGCGATACACGCAACAGTCCACCCAAAGCCACAATCTGCGATCCAAAAATAGGCTGTAGCAAGATCACAAACTCGCTTCTGCTGTGCGACACGCGCTAAGCGCGAAAGAAAGATTGCAAACGCCCTACATGCAAAGCTCAATGCAGTGTAGTCTAGGAAGTTGATGATCTCACAGTTGTATTGATTAGAGCCGGATGCGGCTGATAACCAGAGAAATCGTCGATGCAACCAGAAATCCTGTTGCTTACAGACGAAGGTGTTGATGATCAAGATACCAATGCAATGCCAAATCCGGAAAGCACATGTCGGATAGCTCTATTTTATGCGGGCATCTTGAGCCAAACATCGTTGGCCAAGTCTTGAGTTTTCATCCCGGATTTCAGGATAAAAGAACATGTTATCATTGAAAGATAACCTATTGATTCGTCTATTCCGTGTTGACGCCAAATGACATCATGTACACTTTACAGTCATTGGATACAACATCATAGATACTCATGCAAAGGTGAGGAGTTGATCGAGTATTTTCTTCTCAGTAAATGTGGATAAATATAAATACGTATAAATGTATAAATAAATAAATAAAAAAAATAAAAAAATATACATACGTAAAATACTCGATCATTGGCAAGGAATCCTTGATACATGAAAAAACAGCATACTACATGTTCCGCCAGGAATGTTATGTTTTCAAAAATTATTCAGTACATATATAGGAGGGTTCTCCCTGAACTTGGGAGGTAGTGCTACACATCTTTCAAAGAATGCAACATTTAGTGCAAAGGGTTGTTGCATACATTGAGGGATGGTGCTCTTTATTCAAAGTCATTTTACAACTGTTGTTTGCAAATTTATTGTTCCTTCCTTCATCATCTATAGAGATCATATTGCATGAATTGGTGCCTGTTTAAGATGCACATGTTTTAAAAGAACTACGTATGAATATGTTATAATATGTTTGTATGTCTGAGTGCCAACTGCAGAACGCTTTCATATTCAGCATTCTGTGGATCTCTCATCACCAGATCTGGCCAGGCCTCTGTTTCGTCCGCCGTGGTCACCTACCATGGGCTGATGGTTTCAATACCGGAAAGTCAATGTTGATTCTCATGAAAAATAGACTCAAAATCGAAGTGGGTGCCATTAATTTTGCCATTCAATTTGTATTCTTTAATGTTGCGGCCTGTTTCTTGGACAAACCTGCCCTTTTGGTCAAAATGGTTAGATAATGTTGGGTTTTTGGAGTTCATTGTTCTACTTAGCTCCCTGTGTCGCAGGGATTTTGATCATCGGCTTCTTAGCTGGGTAGGATCTGCGGAAGTCCCCACGGCTCAGCATCGGCCCTCTGCGCCTCCTCACCCTCCTCCGAAATCTCTTTGCTCCTCAGCAATGGGTGAACCACTGGATACATCTTGTATGGCAGGCGCTTCTGTAGGAAACGAATGTAAACGCAACAGCAGCGGCAGCAGCACCGCCAGCACCACCAGGCATTATATTATAGGCATTGTAGGCCGAAAAGCGTACCAACCCGGCAAGGCCGCTCCAGACCTGAAAAGAAGGAAGAAGAAACAACAGGAGAAAAAAAGAACAAAAAAGGAGGAAGAGAAAAAACAACGAGAAAGAAGAAGGAGAAAAGGGACCAAGTATGGGACTAGGTAACTAGGTCTCAACTACGGAAAAAGCGAGCTGCCGCGCTTGTAAAACAACAATGATGCAGATTCAATGCCAGTGTCAAATCACTTGATATATAGATCTATACATATAATTGTATAAGTAAATTTTGTGCAATGTGTGGTGAGCACCTCTCAAAATGTGCCATCAACATGAAGATGCGACTCGAGATCCCAGTAGTAGAAGGCCGTCAAGCGCGAGAGAAAAATGCCCAGAAAAAAACAAAAAACATTTTCTCCAACAGATCCCAGAGGAACTCCCTTGGGGTGAGAAAAACAACCAACTTCCAAGTGGCACAGTGGACTGTATGCATCTCCCCATCTCCCTGCTGACCTTGTTGGTACTTGAGGCAACCCTACACAAACAAACCCTTTGGGAATCATCTGATACGCAACCTGATTGAAATGGTTCCATTCCCATCCTGGTCTGTCACATATTAACCAAAATACTCATTGTGCCGTGTGTTCCGCTTCTATGTAATTTGCTGGATCATGTATGTCGCCTGTGCCGCTTAAAGTTGATGATTCGATGCATAATCTTTATGGCAACTTTATGGGTTCAAAGTCCAAATTCCTGTTGGCTTAAATCGGTTGTCTCGATTTGTTTGATCTCCCGTTTTTTGTTCCCTCAATCTTGGCAGGTTAAATCTATGATTTTGCTGGTTAGTCATCGCATGTCATCTCTGTTGCTCCAGCTTTCATTCTGCATATATCCACCATCTTTGTTGGTCGCCCTAAGCTAACATTAAAAACACATGTGGTAAACCCACCACGAAACGCACATTATTTTCCAACACGGCTTTCCCCATGGGTTTTCCGCATCTTTCGCTATGTCAAATCAAACCAGGTCGACCGCGTAGCGCCGGCGTTGGCGCCGAGGCACGTTTCAGCGTCCTCATCGTCGTCCATGGAGTGGTCATGGCGGAACTCCAGGTGGATGAAATCCGCCAACAAATTCACCTGGCCGGGGCCTGGTGCCATGGGGGATCCTGGGGGATTTGATATAGTCTAACTTATGGGTTCGTAATATGTTTGGAGGCAACATCGAGAAATATAAGAACCAACATTTTTGTTTTTTTACATATTTCGTTTTTTTTACATATAGATATATCATGATATATCGATAGTTGGATGGGTTTAACCAACGATCACAAGAACATCACATAAGAACTAAGGCTGTCCTACACAACGTCCTTCCATTGAAAAGCCGCACCGGGCCGCACCGCCGCACCGGGATGACCAAAGTGCGTCACTGTGTCAGAATGTCAGTGCATTCATCATGGACAAAATGACTAGCAAGTATACTTGCCTACCAATGTCGTCACATATTATACAATAATTTAATGACGTCCTTCTTCCTTTAGTCCTTTCTTTCTGTATTTCGATTAACTATTCTATTTGTATTTTTTTGTGTTCTCTTCTTTTAAAATATTTTTCCCTTCTCGTTAAACATATATAGTTCTAACTATTTGCATATATGTGCATCATTATTTACATACATTTCTTCTTGGTAACTATAATCGTTCATTGTGCTATGAACGAGTAGCTCGGGTACAGCACCGCACAAATTGGTTGATGTCGACAAACAATGGATCTGGCCAAGTAACCCAAAAATGACCCCTCTGATGATTGAGCTTCATTTTTTTTGGAGGTCAAAAGCTTCATTTGGGTTCCAGTTATATATAGTTATAGAATAGTATTTAAATATTTATGCGCATATATATATATACACATAATTATATATATATATACATAGGTGGAAAGTGGACAAACTTAGAAATATGGGGCTAACTTTTCATTGCCATGTCTCGTTGATGGTCCTCCGGGCCAAGTCACGAAGTTGTTCATGTCTTCCACGGTGTAGCGAGTCAGGCCCAAAACTGCCACCGCATCATGCAAACCTTGGCGGTCGTTGCACAGAACGCTTCGAGGTTTTCAAGAAACTGGGGGAGATTTGTGGATGAAAATTTGGGGTGCAGTTCCTCTTAATATGTATATATATATATATAATATAAGTGAATATACGGTGATAATTCATTTTAGGGGTTATGTCACAACGTATGGGCGCTATTACCATGGTCATAGCGTTATACCCACCAATAAATCAAACTGCAGCGCCAAGTTGGCTGCAGGAATTATGCGCATCTTGAATCAAACAGGTTGTTAAATCCTCAATCTAGGGGATTTTCAGATATGCTGTGGTTGCTTAACATAGGGCCCATTTACAAATGAGAAAAGTTATGGTTCAGTCATTAAAGATGTTTTCTTTTCCCAGTTCGCTACTATATATAAATTACCAGAGGGTAGGCCGGCAATACCTTAAAATGTGTGTTGAAGATATCCCTCTGAATCCTAAGTGATGTGCCACCTCCTGGATCAGTAATTAAAGTATCATCAATTTCACCTATGAACAGGGATCCCGACATCGCAGATTATTCCGCTGAGGTAAACCTAATCACACAGCATTTCCAATTTCAATTCGGATCTTTGAAATTGTGAATGCCCTTAGAAACCGGTTTTTGTGTTTCTAATGACCCCTATTTGTTTTGTTTACCTACCTTTTTTCATATCATTGCAGTCTTTCAAAATTAACAAATTATGAATAGTGATCAGCAAACACAAGTATCCAAAGATTACCTTGTGTCATGTTGATGAGTCTGACTTCAAAACATCATTGCCACTGCAATTATGTTACCACAGCCATTGAAGCAACTTGACATGTAAAATCTAACATTTCAATATTTGGCAAATCACAACTCTATATTTGTGGGGATTACTGTGCTCAAAATGTTGTGTTATACACAAATATATTTTATATACACATGTTAAGCCCCCCAAAAAAATAGAATAGTCACATCACGTCACATCCCACAATCATGGCGATAAATTCAGTTCTATATGTTTTGGGGGTTCCGTATGTATATATATATAGATAGATTATATATATAAATCATATATATATAATATATATGCCCTCCGGTTATTTAACATAGCCATGGAAAATCACAATTTCTAATAGGTAAACCATCTATAGATGGACCAACAATACCATGGCTATGTTAGTCACAACCAGAGAGTATATCTCATTAATATCCAATTGAATCACCATAGAATCCAATTAAATCACCATAAAATCCCATTAAATCACTATAAAATCACATAAAACACTATAAAATCCTATTAAATCACTATAAAATCCAATGAAATCACTATAAAATCCCATTAAATCACTATAAGATCCCATTAAATCACCATAAAATCCCACTAAATCACTATACCAGAGGGTATATCCTTTTGTATCCCATCTCACTTGCCCCGTTTCGGGTTTTCGGTCTCCGCCAGGTGGCTTTTGCCCGTCACCAGCCGTGATGCTGACAGGGCTCCTCTGAAAAAGCATGAAGCCACCAAGGTCACCAAGAGACGGGTCAAAATGGGGATACACAAGGATATATCCAAGCAAAACAATGGGACTTAATGGGACTTATAAAATAAACAATATGATATCAATATATATATATATATCAATGATATCTGGGTGTGACTGAAATTGGTGTGTACCACCAAAAACGGCAACTTTGATAAGAAACATGATAATACAGATAATGCACAATTAATTTTGCAGGTACCATATCTTCAAATAAAGCTATATACAATTATTGCAACTTGTTGGGTTTAAGATATTCTGCCATATCATATTTTATATCATGGGGATTTACCTCTGGTTTGCCAAAGTTTGCGCTTTTGAATCCCAGGAGCTCTTGCCAATGTCCGGTCCTCCCAGCCTTTGAGGTACTCTAAGCACACAACAAACATCACAAAGTGTCATGGGTTGGACTATGTTGGACTGCGACTGCTCTGAAAACATCCACGGTAGTCAATTCCACTGGTCGTCAGCATTTCTCAAAATATGCAAATGCAAACGTCACAGATTCATATAAAATCACCAAATGTCATGCTGAATGAAGTGAAACAGTCGGTGAAACATAAGTGGGTTTTATAACCGTGGTTGTAGGGGTTATATCCCAACTTTTGGAGGTTGATACCAAAGCTATCAGCAAAACCCATTATACAATAACTCCAAGAGCACCAGTAAGTTCCAGCACAACCGCAAGCTATCCCCAGTCCTAGCCGTAACCGCAAGCGGTGCTTCCTTGAGTCAATTGCTGGAGGGCAACGGCAAGTGCTTGGTGTGTGGCCCGTTTGTGGCCCGTTGGCTCGCAGAAACTATCAACATCGCAACGGTGCAAGGCCCAATTGCAAATTGCAAACATAGAATCTTTGAAAGGTGTCAACTACCGTTCAATTTCAATTGACATATTGAATATACTTATTAATAGCATGAGGTCATATTAAAATTATATAATACGGAATCATGATAACATACATATATATATATACTTCAATATGAAATAATAAATATGTGTATATATATATACATGATTTTCTACATGCATTGCATTACACTACGCTACAAACAAACAACATAGAAACAACCACGCAAGCATGTTTAAACATAATAGCTACATGAGCTCCAAGCGGCACTTTCTGCGTCTCCGCCTCGCTCTTCCCGGCCAAACCGCTCTTCATGACCTGCGAGGCGTCTCCGTGGTCCAAGCCTGCGTTGAAAGGGTTGAATCACCGGTGTTGGGACGTCTTTGAACGGTATAATGATAAGCCAAGCCACCCAACATAGGGGATTTGATGGTGACTTAATGAGAATTTCACAGAGAGTTAATGGGAATGCACGGGAAGTTAAAGGGAATTCGATAAGGGTCAAACATGGATTAATGGATTAAATTGTGATTTAACGATTATTTACAGTAATGGTTTTAATGTGTGTTGTTTCAATGGACTTTGGCTATGTGTTGGTGGAACAAAGGCCAAAATTGATGTTGGTGTCTCTGAACTGGACAAACGGGTATAAAGAACCACCATGCAGAAACCCAAATGGAGGTATCTCCACATACAAAAAATTAGCGGAGCAAAAAAGGTTGCAAACATGTGTGGCAGAATCAGGATGGTAATAGTAGCCGATCCTAGCACACAATAGCAGGACCAATCTTTGATGCCCCTCCGTGGGGAAAACGCGGCCGACGTTTTCACCATTTATCTACAATACTAACACACTATGACCAAAATCAGCATTTTATGAACCATTTTATGGGTTGTATAAAATGCAACAAAATGGTAGGTATCAAAAAAGTATTTATTATGTAAGCCTATATTAAATGAAGCATTAACTTGTACTATACTAAATTGCATTGTATTTGGGGATATGCTATGATATGATACTATATCAAATATAATATATATATGTGTGTGCGTATTGAATTTTAAAAACCGTTATATTATATTCCCCAAAAATAAATATGTGATCTATTATGTAAAAAATATATTGTTTTTAATTCCACTATACTAAAAAAAATGTTACCAACACTTAAAAAATATATTATATATATAATATACTTGAAAACAAAAAACTATATATTATAAATTAAATTAAACTATGCTTAATATTGACAAAATAAAACACAAATAGACTATTGTTTGTCATATGTCATTCAACCATAACTATTTTATATTAGATATTTGTTTGCTTTTTAATTATATCATATTAAATAAAATATATGTATATAAATGACATTTTGTTCAATCATATTATATGATATGATATGATATTTTTGTTTTAAAAATATAACGATCACAAAATGGGATTCCCCGATAAAAGAGTCTATAGTCTGTGACTTTGCCTTGTATCTTGAACGTGACACATTCAAACCTTCAATTCTTGGCTTGGCTGAGCACAAACATTAGAAACTACTTGGAGTTACATGATCATGAGATCCAAACTCAAGCCTCTCCATTGCCGCTCTCTGCCTTGTCAATTGCCTGCACTTCCAAGTAATTTTGTCCAAATGATCCCATCGTCCCTCTGTTCAGGACGACCAAAAGATCCGTTATACACTGGACTGTTGGCACTACGGCCAAACATCAGTATAAAGCAACTTTTTTTGAGTCTCATGAGTCAATCATCATTGTCTGCGTCCACTGCGCAATTACCTCCGTTAACCCCCACGTTCTGGAGCGGCGTTGCGGCATCACCATCACCACGGTTGTGGGGGGGCCTTGTAGCATCGTCACCGTCGTCCACGGCGCCGACATAGGATGACGAGTATAGACATAGAATATTGATATCATATTATATTATATTACATTATATATATCATATTATATTATATTATATTTTACTATAATATTGCATTACATATCATATTATATTGATCTTATGCCCAGCGATGTCCAGTCATGTCCAGCTTGGACACTCGAGTTGGGGAAGAAACTGCACCAGGTTGGCAACATGAAAGTACTCAACCCGTGCTGCTGCTCGCGGATTCGATCCCAAAGCCCATTTTTTTGGAATGAAAGGATGAAATCATCAACCATTCTCCCGTGGTAATTACATCATTTCTGCGGTCAAAGGCCGGTGTGTTGTTAGTTCCTCATTCATCCTCATTCCATCTTATCAGTGCAACCACAACCTATATGAAAGGACCTTGGCTTTGGATGGTCTTCGGCTCTTTGACTATTGGTTGGCTGCTCCAGTTATCTCTATGAAATCGGGAGGTGACACCTCATTCTTCTTGGTTGATTCATTGATACCTCTAATCAACAAGGGTGCACTGGTGAAAAGAGTCACAATGTGGAGTCATGTGGCAAGATTATTTATGGTCGTTCAAACCTCCGTTGGCACGAGATCCTACTCATTAATTCTTGGGGTAACCGCTGGGCTCCGTTGTTCCCCATGAAAGAGATGTTTTTTGTCATCCCTGGCGCCATGTTGCTTCCCCAAGGCTCACGACCGGCCAGCGTCACTGAAACGGGACGGCAATGCAAGCACATATTACATAGAAAACATGACAAGAACGAATTGACAAACCATGCCCATGTGTCTAATGGGCACATGTATATTTATACAATAAATACATATAATTATATTTATAAAGGTGATACCAACACAAATCATTGCAAAAAATACGCAAACCACACATATCTATTCCAGGGTCCTATGCGTACTAGTTACTAGTTACTAGTAACAAACCGCCCAAAAACCGCAACCCCCGTTGCCTGACTCCACGCTCTCTATGGATGGGGAAAGATGCCCCTTCGGCCTTTCCGACTGGGAACCTGCACCGGCAGCGAAAGATGGGAAACATCAGACATACACATTCCTAGACCCTGCACTGAGCTGCAAAACAAATGATTTATACACCAAAATCTTACTATTTTTACATTTTTTGTGGGGATGCTCAAAAATCTTTGTCATCCCTTATTGCTGCCTGATCAAAAGGGATTCCCATATAATATCAAAAATATTGGCTGGTATTATAATACCATATAATCATCAACCATCAAAGGGTTTTGAACAATGCATAACAATGCTCAATTCTATCTTCTCTTTGAGGGCCGGAGCAATACTATCAGTTTTGGTGGATTTCCCCGATGCTCATCCTGGCTGGACCGGACCGCAGTGATTTCAATCAAAAACATTACACTTTTCAATCATGTTCATGTCCAGAAATGGTCAATGAATTGCGGTGAGCCGCAAAAGAGAACGCTGTTTCCAGTCACTGGCAGTTGAATTTCCCTATGTTGCTTGTTTTGTTTTTCGTCTCTCTCTGTCTCTTCCTCTTTCTGGTTCCAAGGGGCATTTTTTAAAACCCTAACGATCAACTCATTCCAGGAGCCCCAAAGAAACATCTCCAAATCAGGCCCAGTTGGGGCTCCCCATCGCCCTTTCACCTCTTGAAATGTTAGCTTTGATCACGAAGTTGGTCGCGTCCACCCTGAGGGCAAAGATGGGTCAGTTTCCAGCATTTCTTTCCGGATTTGGCCAAAAGAATCCGGGAATTCACTCGAAGAATGGGGAAGCGGCACAATGAACCTACCTGCAAGTTGTTGTTTTCGGCTTGATTTTTGCCTCTCCCAGTGGGTAAAGCATTTAGATTGGGATGAGCCGCCCCTGGGAATAGCCAAAGTTGGGGAAAACTCGCTGCCACAAATTCAACGGAGATAACCCACGAAAAAAACACGGGTATCATATCTGTAAAATATGAACATATAAACACCTTATGCCTATACATGCGTACAGAAAACCAAGATACATTCCACACGTATTCTGTCTGGTAACTTAATATAGCTATGGAACATCACCATAGCTTACTTGGTAAATGAACAAACTGAATTGACCGTCGCTTCCATGTAAACATCTATAAATTACCAAAGTGTAAATCCCAGTATATCATATCCCTGTTGCGAACAAAACGCAACCACCATCAAATCCAAATATTCCAAATCCGCCATAGTTTTCACAATCAAGGGGTCCTGCTTCTTGTTGGTGAAATCATGTGAAATCCTGTACTTTCCATCTTTTCCGTGATCATCCCAGGGCCATCCAAAAACCGCCCAGCGGCTGTGGTATGCTGGAAGCCAACGACAAGGCATGCGACGCTTGCACCATGGTCTGCGACATCTGCGAGATGCTACCTGCTGAAGATCAGGTTTGGCTTGGGATAAACCACAACTCTTTATGAGGATAACACTCGGGTTGTTTTAAGGGAAACTTAGCAGGAAACCATTGTTTTTACCTCCAAATATAGGGGTTTTCTCCGCCAGATTTTCCGTTCAACATCGTTCAACCAATTCTGGGAAATTGGACATATACCCTCCGGTAATTTCATATAGCTGTGGACAATCCACCATGAAAGTAGATGATGTACCTATATAAAATTGTGTTTTGCCATGGCAATGTTTTTTTCCCTCTGGTAACTAACAAACATCGGATATATATGACAATGGCAACTGGATGGTGGCACGGACGTGTCTGAATACCCGGGGTATCCTAATGATCACTGATCAAATCAGTGCTAAAATTACATAAAAATACTGCATGTATATATATATATATGTGTACAATGTTCATTAATGTTTCCTATTTGTAAGTGGACATCGGATATAGTTTATGATATATTTATACTATGTGGTGGCATGGGGCAGAGTCAAAACCTACCAATGCGTGGGGAGACTGAACATCCATGTGCTAGCCATTAATTGTCCCCATATATGGGTGTGTCTGAAATTAATTGTGGTTTATCATAATGTCCTCAATGTGATTGACATTTGTCTGATAATTACCATCACATACCATCCAACAAATGCGATGATTTGTATCATAAGATCCCAATCCTTTTCCACAATGATTTGCCCATTATTTGTCCAATGCGATTTTCTCAATGATGTCCCCGAATGACATGGGCATTTGGTTTCCCCATTGCTCCTGTAGCAATGGAACATCACCTGGATTTGCTTGTTCAACATATATGACATTATATACTGACCAGTCATCAAACATGACTGGCTGGGAAATCAACAAACAGTATAAATGGAGCTTGATAGTTGGGAAAATCATCTAAGTATAAGTGGGGGATGTTCCAGCAAGCCATCTTTGAATAGTGGATGGTGTATAAATCTAAGGACAATCGCTATATGTTGGACTGCCAAAGGAGGAATGAAACAATCACCTTTTTCAAATCCAAGATGAGGAGATCCCAAAGTGATATAGGCACACGACCAGGTCAAAAACAGCTAACAGGTGGTTTCTCATAAAAAACGTTCAATCCCAAACACGCGAGTCATCATGATTCAGTGCCTTTTCCGGATTTCCAGCATTAATCATCCCATTTGCTGGGTCATGTTTTGACCACACAGAGACCCACCTGAAACAGTGAGGGAGAAGGAAGAAAAAAACAAACAGTGGGCGCAATACACCCTTGACATGCTGGGAAATGGGGTCTGCACTAATTGAATCATATTCACCTTTTGGGTTAAAATACCACAGTGTGATGGCCACTTTCAATTTGAGGAGAAGCCCATGGCCAATGATTGCGGTGGTTTGGGGACTTAATACCATGTGGCATCCCTGCAATTGGCCCTCTGAGCAAAAGAAAGAACGTGGGGAGCAGAACGTGTTTCACATAGTTTGATGTGTTTGCACCATCTAAATAAGCCATAGATATAGAGCGTGGATAGGTGCTATATTGGTTGTTGAACATGAGATTCCCAATGATTCCCATGAGGATTCGTCAGAAGCTAGGGCATGACAGAAACACATGGATTCTCATCATGTTTTTCCTACCCATGCCCCTTCTTTGGACAAAGCCATAGCGGATTCCGCCAAGCAGCTTGTTGCGCTGACTGTCCCCTCCTGATGACAGGTATCGTAGGCCTCTCACAGATTTGGCAAATGACTATCCAAACCTGCTGAATTGTGGGAACTGGAAAATATCACGAAGATTTAATAACATATCAAATGCCCGCAAGCAAACAGCTATATACACACACATATATATATATATGTGTGTGTGTATACACAGATGTAAAATCATATCATATCATGTTGTATATATATATACATATATATATATGCTACCCCCCCCCTCCTGTACCTACCTTTAGCCTTTGTTGACAATGTGGATTCCACCAGATGAGTGCATTGTTTTGGCAATTGATATTGAAAATGAATATGCCACTGATGATATCATAGAAGTTAACAAGGAATTAAAATAACCCAATTATGATAAGGGGGGTTTATGCTGGAACTGGCAACAGTTAGATATGTCAGAAAATGGTAGGTAAAGGATATAAGGTAATGTTTGTATGTCCTACTAATAGAGTGCTTCAAGAATTTGAAGGAGACGCACTAACATTAAATAAGTTTTTTGGTAGAAGTTTTGGTGATGTAATGTTAGAACCATTTGATTATTCAGGGTATGATGTAATAGTTTTTCATGAAATTTACTTCAGTTTAAGCACCTACTGGGCAATAAAACAATTTGTAGAAGAGAATAAAAGCAACAAAATAATAGTAGCAACAGGAGACACAAAGCAACTAAAACCCATTCAACCACTAACTAACATTCAAGAGCATGAAGTATATGCTGACCATATCATAAACAATATTTTCAGAAATAGTATATTATTAAAAGAATGTAAGCGACTGAAAACAAGAGAGGATAAAGAAAAACATAAGCAATGTAAAAAACTGATATTCTTGCAAATAAACTACATTTCAAGAAGAAAGTAATTGAAAAATATTTCAGATATACTACTAGTATAAGTGGTTCAAAGCATAACATTGCCTACATAAATGATACCTGTAAGAATGTAGCAAGTGAAATTAGGAAACTAGAAAATAGAAAAGATGAATATGAAGTGGGAGAATTTTTGATATGTAGTACCTAATGTGAATTTTAAATATGGTATTGTCCATATTGGAAAGGATGGGGTAATGACATTGAAAAATACTAAAACTAATATACCGCAATCCATTCAAATTAAGAAGGTAAGAGATAATTTTATATTTGCTCATTGCACCACCTGCCATTCTGCCCAAGGTAGTAGTATAGATGGAGATATAACATTATTTGATTATAACCATTTTGACATTAGAAAGTATAGGGAGTTGTTATGGACAGCACTTACAAGAGCAAAATATTTAAGCAAAGTAAAGTTTTACAAATATAGTGATGATGTAAATGATGAATTCAATGATAAATGTATGAAAAGTAAATATGAACGAAAAAATGAAAATTACAAGCAACAGGACAGGAAAGCAAAAAGAACAATACCAAAAGAAGGTTATGTGAATGTTAAGTGTTTTTTTGATAATATAACTAACCAATGCAATTACTGTGGATGTGGGTTTCATACAATTATTAAAGGTGGAAATATAACAACAAATTTAACTGCCAAAGGGTGAATAATGAATATACCCATACATTAGACAATATGATACCATACTGTGATAAATGTAATAGAAGTTGTGGAAAATATTAGTTAAATAAATATTATGTAAAATAAATACTCTAACACTTTAATACAATAATTTTCAACAAACATGTTCTTATAATGTAGTTTTTCTATCAACCTAACCTTGCCCGACAAAATACCACATAAATTATAATATTTTTTGGTGATGATAGTTGGGCAAGGTTATGCTGTTAGAATTGTTGGGGGTTGAGGGTTCTGTGGTTGAGTGTTGTTGTGATTTTATGGGTTATTGTTTGATGTGTCTGGAGGGGAGCAATTTTTCAGATAACAAGTTATCTGAAAAACACTAGCTCGGCTCAACATTAGTATGAATTATACTTAAGACATAGTCTGAAAGGAAGAAGAACTAAGAGGTCCTAGGACCTCCTTGGAACCAAGAACCAAGATTCCCCAAAGACTTTCTGTGCAATCTTGGTTCTTGGTTCTTGGTTCCAGTGAGGTCCTAGGACCTCCTAAGAGGTCCTAGGACCTCCCCAGTACCAAGAACCAAGAACCAAGATTCCCCCAAGACTTTCTGTGCAATCTTGGTTCTTGGTTCTTGGTTCCAGTGAGGTCCTAGGACCTCCTAAGAGGTCCTAGGACCTCCCCAGTACCAAGAACCAAGAACCAAGATTCCCCCAAGACTTTCTGTGCAATCTTGGTTCTTGGTTCTTGGTTCCAGTGAGGCCCTAGGACCTCCTAAGAGGTCCTAGGACCTCCCCAGTACCAAGAACCAAGAACCAAGATTCCCCCAAAACTTTCTGTGCAATCTTGGTTCTTGGTTCTTGGTTCCAGTGAGGTCCTAGGACCTCCTAAGACCTCTTGATGCCAGAACCATCATGTCTCACAAGTTTGTCTACATCCATATATATATATGGTACTCTCCTTCGAAACTATGTCTAAATTTATTTGAAAAAACGTTAAAAAAAAATATATACCCCAAAATATGCAAACAAGACCGTAAATACCAGTAAAAGTACAAAAAGGGTAGGTACAGGGGGGGGCACCATATATATATACTGTGTATATATATATATATCCTATCAATTCCTATCATATATTATTCGATGCTGTATACAACCCACCCACACTTTGGTTCCGTTTCGGTGCTCGGGATGTGCCTGCAACAGTTGCTTCCGCAGATCTACCAGTAGGCTATCCAGCAGCGTCGCATACGACGCCGACGTCATGACGTCCCACCACCGGCCGCGGGCACTGGCCACACCGGCCACACCCAGCCCGGCTGGAAGCTGCAAATGGCCGGCCGGTAGCAAAGTAAAGTTCACCAAAAAAGACGGGGCCACGTTTGGTGAAGAGAAATTATTCTTGTCCATTTGCTTTGGCCTGTTTTCAGACAAAACCATATCTATTCATATCTATTCGGGGGTAGCATGGATAGCTCTCCCGCCTTATACAAAACTTTCAAAAGTGCCCGATAAGGTGAGGATCCCCAACTAGTTGGTTTATAGCCCCCATCCGTTATCTATCTGTCTATCTATCTATCTACCTATCTATCTTTTCTATCTTTCTATCTATCTATCTATCCATCTATCTATCTATCTATCTATCTATCTATAAATAAGTAAATACAGTATATATATATCTACCATAAACCATGATCATTGCACTTATTCACCGACTTAGCTTCTCCGAGATGTGGGTCGCGCCCCCACAACCGCCCATCCCACCTTTTTGCCGTTGGCTCCATGAAGTCGGACCGATTGAGTGGAGCTACCGGCTCCATTATTTAAAAAGGTGTAAGCTGGTTGGCGGTTGGTGGTTGGTATACTGTGGATAATGGCTAATATATGGTTAATATATGGTTAATATATGGTTATTATATGGTTAATATATGGTTGTTATATGTTATCAAATGGTTAATATATGGTTATTATATGGTCATTATATGGTTAATGATGGTTAATAGTAAGCTGGTTGGTGGTTGACCCACCTCCTGAAAAATATGAAAGGCAGATTGGATCATCATCCCAACTATTGGGGAAAAATTTAAATATGTTCCAAACCACCAACCAGTTCAGGTGTACGTAAGGGATATACCCCCAATTTCTATACCTTTATATGGCTTAGTTCCTGCAGTTTAGGTACCTGAAATTGCCATTTGATATTTAAAACAAAAAACACATAGTTACACATGGTTAACAATGATCTCTATATATTGTGGCTAATATCCTTCAGATCCCTTCAGTACTCAAACAGGGTCCTCCATTGCCATGTTTGATTACTGGAGGGTATACCTTCCAGAAAGTATCCAAAGACTTGTAAAAAGCTAATGGTCTCGTAGGGTTTGCCTATTGTGCATTTGTTGGAAAGGGATGGAAAAAGTGTGCCCACCCTTGAGTCACCATCGGTCCATAAGTTGATGCAATGATCATGGATGGATACAGCCTGATGACTGTCTTGCTTCCTGGCCCCCTTTCAGTTGATTTAACTTATTGTTGATTTAGCTCCGTGGATAGTTTCCCATGGCATGGTATGCTACTAAGGACAGCATCGGACCAACAGCCATCATCACTGAGCCTCTTGGCTGGTCACAATTAAACGTGAACAAAAAGGTCAAAGGGGTAGAGTGCATATGGGTCCTAATGATCCTATGTTCAAAACATCATTACTAGTTGAAATATTTGGGGCCCTTTGTCGCGTCATATGCAGTGTCTAAATCAAAAACACAATGAACTTACACACAAAATATTTGGCAATTTTTTGGTATCCATTTTGTCGGCTTGCACCCTTGTGTACACGTGTTTACCCTCGAAGAAACGCAGAAAATGGGACCCAAGGTGTGGCATGACTCAGTAATTACAATCAACCAGAGTTTCGTTATTGGGGAGTGTTTGAATAGGCTGAGGGATTGCTTTCCCAACATCTTCACAATTCCAGCTTCTAAATGCATCATCGCTCCCGGTGGAGCCAAGCCAGCATCTGGTAGACATCTGAGCCGAAATGAGGTGCAGATTCTTTTTCGAATTTGGGTTAAGCATGTACTGTAAGCAGTGTTTTTTGCACAAACATCTTTGGTGGTCTGCAACCTAGAAGAAAAGTCTAGTGGAGGTTCATACCCAAGAGGGATGGGAATACATATATATATATATATATGCGAACATATTCACACAAAAATGTACCTCCAAAATTTTAAGCCATCTAAATGTACAGTAGATGAAAACTCAAGCTGAGTGCTGGAACTCAGCTCTGACCGCATGCACACATACGCACACGACCAAACCACACCCACACCACTTGTAAAGAAATGATCGCATACGTGACCTGTTTGGGACTTTAACCCCTTCATGCAAATAGACCAGATTGCGGCAAGCCCGACATGAAATGAGATCGATACATGTGCGATGAGTGCATATATTGCGACATGCCAGTTCTGATTCATTGGTGGCCAAGTCAATTCGTTGGTCCAAATCCTGTTTGTTGACTACTACCCTCTGGTAAACTAACATAGCTATTGAACATTGCCATTTATAGTGAGTTTTCCCATTTAAAAAAAATGGTGGATCTTTCCATAGTTTTTTGTATGCTTACCAGAGGGTAGCCTACAGCAACCATGGAAAACGCAGATCATTTTGTGGAGATGCATGGAGTCGACTACAGTAGCTGTTATCGTATGTATGGGGAGAAGGTCATCCCATGGATCATAGGCGGTTAATAGGCCTGGTTACTATTGATTACTCAATTCCCGATTCGCAGATTATGATAATTATGATAGATTATTTATGATTATCCTGTGTATAACCGTTTATAGGATTTATGTTATGGTTATCCCGTTTAAGTTCAGCAAACCCCACCAACACTGCAGCCACTCATGGTCCATGGGGCGCTCCGCCAACGAACCATGGGTCACCACGTCGCCCGAGGGTCCCAGCTCCCTTCTTCCACATGGGCACGGGCCTTGGGGTGTCGGCCAGCTCCGCAAAAGGCGGAGAGGGCAAAACCACGGAGGATGGAAAGAAATTTAGTCATCAATGAGATAATATAGGATACAGTAATAAGATATAATACAAGTAGAGCCAGAGATTTGTGAAGCCAACCACTATGTTGGTCGCCTGGATTTGCTTCAAGGATCTCATTGCAAATTGCTCCAAAGGCTGGAGAGCAACAGAGGTGCTGGGTGGACGTGAAGGTTCTTCATTACCTGTAGAAGGTTGTAAAGACAGTCCAGTGGGTTTGGAGTTTGCGCTTTCAAAATTCTGTGCATGACCCAGACGATATTGATGCCGTTGGGACTTGAATGCAGGCAGATTACCATGGACGCAAAGGTGTAGCCGATGCTGGCTTCAAACAATGGCTCGCTACTCCCTTTAGTAGACACTTCATAAGAGGATTATTGGCCTGCTCAGCCGCTCGGCCACAGTGCTGAGTTTTTGGGCTGGTAAGGCATCCAGGCGACAATTGCATCTCGAGCAAAGTGCACACACACATATACATGTATATATATATATATATTTATAATTTATAATATCTGTATGGAATTATATGAACATATCTGTGTGTGATTAAAGGATATATACAAGTAATTTGCGGTTCAGAGGTATATCATATATTTAGACGAAGGATGACGAAAGTAAATTGGGTTCGGACGTTGTTTTCGAACCATGGAGTACCAGTTTGATCAGCTGATTCATGGGAATCATGCCCTACAGGCCCTAGCTATAGGGCAAGTAATCCAGCGGAAAGCTGGGTGTGTCTACAGTATCCTTCACTGGCCTAGAATGTGGTAGAATCCGGATTTTTCATGACCTGCACAAATATGTAGCATGACCCGGCTGACTCACGATTTAGTCGCTTGTCTTAGCACTGGACTGCCAGACGGATCTGACAAAGACGAATTAAGGAGAATGGCCGGCTGGCCCAGGCGACTGCACGCCAGCATCGCCAGCTCCACAGACATGACCATCAAATGTTCGGTACTTCGTAACAAGCGACACGCTACCAAAAGGTGGGTCAATCGCAATTGTAAAGCTTGTACCCTCTGGTAAACTAACAGTTTGCTATTGAAAATTGCCATAGAAATAGTGGATTTACCCATTAAAACTTGTGATTTTCCATAGTTATGTTACTTTACCAGAGGGTAAAAAGTGGTTCTTCTGGTCCAAAAGACGCTGTTTGCCGGGAGTGATGCAAACGCCTGCATCACGTTAACGTTCGATGTCTGCCACTCGTAAGCGGTCAACGTAGTAGTCCCGTGGACGAGATGGACGGCGTCTAGGCTGTCTGTCATCGCGTGACCTCCAATTCTGACTTTCTGAAGCCCCTCCCTTTCTCTCCCAATGACCCTGGGTGACTTCTCATCAAATTATATATTTGATCTACGCCTCACCAAACCTGTGTGACAACACATGCAGCATCCGTTGCTGCATTTTTACAACTGGCAAAATCTTGCCATACCTTATTATCATTAAACATTCATGTTCTATGTCCTTCCTTGTTCTTGTTGACATTTATCATATTTAGGAATCAGCCTATTTAATCCTATTTATTTATACCCATAGTTTTCCCAGGTGTCCTGCGCACATCCCCATTGCCACCATCCGAGTGGCGATGCACCAGCTTCCTTCCGCGAAAGCCAGGCGTCCGGTGCTGGTTGTTTCTGGCAAGTTTCTCTTAAAGTTTAAAGGAAAGAAAACAAAAATCCATTGGTTTCAAACACCATTACCTAACCATGCATATTTGGGGAGTAATACACCTGTCTTTCAGACCCAAATGGATCTAGAACCAGCGTTTTGATTTTGTTTAGGCTCCATGTCAAACAGCAGGCCAAAGAGTCAACCTGGATAACCATCCGCGACTATAGCAAATGGTTCCCAAACAGAACTGACATAATATAGCAATGTACATATACATATTCATATAACATGCGTTGTTTTATGCGTATCCGAACATGATGGGAAAATACCTATTGCATACGTGTAGTGAACATATTCCCCCTATATAACATGCCCAACAGTTCGACCAGCCAGCCTCCAAGGAACCGTGTTTGCTGCCGTACCTCAATGACATGATTGTGGGCATCTGAAGATCAGCAATGTCTAGGCAAATTGGTGAATATAAAGTATGTACCCCTGTCCCTCTATACATATGTATATATATATATATACAAATATGTATGTATGTATACGTATATATATATATATATATACGTGTATGTTGTGCCCCAGTACATTGCACACATTTAGTAGATATGGATAGATATGGTATGATATGGTTATAAACGAACTTATAACTGGGAGAGCTTTTCCTGCAAATGACAATAATTCGTTACACTTCACGAAACCGACATGCGCATTTTGCTTGGGAGGTGCTCTCTCGCTGGACATGTTTTTGGATCAAATTCTGGGGAGAAACTGGGCCGCCAAGATGCTGCTGAGCTAAAGCTTTCATCAAGGGGTGCGAGATTTTGATGCCCTGACGGAACAGCGGTCCAGCGGTCCAGCGGCTAAAACCCAATGAGAGGGAATGCTGCACTTTTTCAGGGCCAATATAATCTAAATATATAATTAGGATAACTAGCAGTGATGGTTATGACTGAGCTGACTGCCCTTCTGGTACCTCCCCTCATCAATGAATCGCCACCCGAAGTTGGAGAGGGCGTACCCATAGGTGTCTCTCAGCCTCACAGCGCTTCCCAGCGCTGACACCCGCTCAGATGTCAGGAGAGACATCAGCTCGCCTGTGACGACGTCCGAGGCAGTTGCTGCGATGTTGATGACGGCGTAGGGCGGGCGCTGCTCCAGGCTATGGTGCAGTGACAGCGTGAGCCACGCCAGATTCTGAAAATGGTGAGGTTTCCCTTTTCTTGGTTCCCGCATTAATATGAACAATATTAAACAATAACTTAGACTTAGTTGGTAGCTTGGGACCCCGCATTTCAAAGAAGCCCCAAATGTGCAAATAAAAATGCCTACCATTGCTGTCAATTTTGATGGGTTTTCAGTGTCATAACTCCAAGGACAGTCATCACCAGGGTGGTGAAGACACAGCCTTTTTGTCACAGCATTCATGGGACAATTGATTTGAAACAAGTGCCGTAGTGGAAATATAATGAAATATATACTGTATAGTATATACATTCATTTATTATTGGTTGTATGTTTGTTCATGAAAATAGGGTACCCCTAAATCCACTTGTTACTCCTCATTTTCACTACTGAAATGACTGTCTTGGCGTTCTAGTTCAGACACAGCCAAATCACTAGTTTCATCCACTCGGCACAGGCATCATCCACCCAGAACCGAACTTCTGGGGACGAACTGCTGTGGCTGCTGCTTGGTGGATTCAACTTGTCCCAAAAATGATGTAGAATCATAGTATAGAAGGCAACCTTGATTGTATAGATATATCATGATATATCACAAGAATTCACAACATATACACTTCCAAGCACATATTGTCATGCAGTTACCCCCAAAAGCCACCAAAACGTAGGAACACATGTGGACATATCATACATAGGTGGTACAGGAAACCAGGGCGGACAGCAAAAATCCAACTCTTCAACTATTCCAGCATCACCCGCAGTCTTGGGTTGTTCGCTTCCGTCTTTGACTGGATCTGGGCTATAGTCATAGATTCTTAGTTATATATAGTTATATCTTGTCACAAAGGGTACCATATATGATACCATGATTATCTCCACTGCACCAAGTGCCTAAACTGCATCCGTTCCCCGGGAGACCACTGGACCCCTGACTCGTTACCTGTATCTGCGCCACCGCCAAAGCAGCTTTCCTGGTATATTCCTGCACCTGGCAAAGAGAACCATCCCACAACATGGGATCGAAGTTCGGGGTTAATCTTTCACATGACACAAACATGTATGTGTATGTATTTATACTATTAGACAGTATGTATATATATAAACATAACTATATAATTATATATATGTATATATTTATATATGTGTATATGTGTGTATGTGCATGTATATTGGTTTGTTGGTACTTTTTTCGAGCTCTCCCCAGTGATTTGCGCCCAGCTTCCCATCGGCTCAGCTTGAACCACCATTCGAACAATAGCATCCGAAAAGGAGATGATGGGATCCCGAAGTCATCTAACACTAAACAGCCACATAACTATATTGGAAAAGCCACCCATTTTCAATTGGTAAATCCACTACAAATGGCCATTTTCAATAGCTATGTTAAATTACCAGAGGCTATTTCTATATCAATAAAATGGTAAAGGTATCAACACTTGCAGGCAAAAACAGCCCGTGTTCAATGGTAACTAAAAATAGTAATTTGCAGGCAAACCTGCGGAAAGATCTACGAATCATGGGTTTTTCACATCTCCGTTAGTTGACAGGGGCTCCGATGGAAATGCAAGAACTGCACCTGCGAATCCTGGCGAAAAACACTCCCAAAACACCTCGTCGGAAAAGGTGAAATTGTCCAGGATATGCCGTAAGTTGTTTAAGGACCTTAGAATTTAAGCATAGCTGGTCACCCCAGGATAGCTGCTTGAAATTGTATCTTGAAAATAATAACATTCAGTGGCACGTGTCATATTCAACTGATCAAGGTGGAACATACAAGATGGGGGCCATCCAGTTATGTTTGTTGGTTTATAACACCATCTAAAGATAGTTATTTGCGTATCATGCACTATGGGCGCTATGGTTATTATGATCATCCCAGTGGTTGTGTTTTTTGTTCCACCCATCTTCCCGTGAATTTATTAAACACCCAATTAAGTAGTACACATTCGTGTGAATATCAAAAATAACAATATAACAGCTCCCAATAAACAATGGTTTTCTACTATAAATCCAGATTATGTGCAATTGTCCTATTAAACCATGGTTTCGTTTGGGGCTGTTTAATATTGTTTAATACTTTAAGGGGGGGAGATGAGTGTATCTCCATGCATTTCTCGTAGCACGAATCACTTCTGGTGGAGCCTTGACATGAACGTGTGGGCCTCCAATGGATATGATTGGCACACTACATTTCGACAATTGGCAAAACGATGCTGCACCTTCCGTCTCTTGCTTTCCCAACAAAAAGGTGCTACAGTATTACCCTCTGGTAAACTAACATAGCTATTGAAAATGGACATTTATAGTGGATTTTCCCACTAAAAATTGTGATTTTCCATAGCTATGTAAACGTTTACCAGAGGGTATCTGCAAACAAAAAAAATATTCATGCCCAAACTAGTAGTACAGCCACAAACTTCGGGCAATTCTCCCTCCAGAATCATTTTTTTGCAAGCTGGGCCCCAAGGGCCCCAGTTGTGTCTGTTGGCTTATGAATCCTGTAAACTAGAGTTGTATCTACCACAAACCATCGTTATTGGAGTCATAAATCACTAATCATGAATTAACTATATTGACTTTAGATCATATAGATTCTATAAACCATAGCTATTGGAATCATAACCACCAAAAAAATCGTAATTATAAGTATTCCTGCCATTAACATCCATAGCTGTCGAGGCTGCGCCAAGGGTCGTCTCTACACCTTCAATGTTCCGCCCTGACGCAAGGGGGGTTGGAATTCTCAGGTATAATATACCTATTATGAACTATAAATGGAGGTGCCCTAAAATGGGACCCCCCAAAGCATCCAAAAACCATAGGGTACCTTCATTTTTGGAAACTTGATAAATCTGGGAAAATGACAATATCTCACAGCCTGAAATAAGGTTATTTTGGAATAGCTACCCTTCAGATTCACCAGCATCTATGGTGAGGTCGTAGTGAGGTCGTTATAATTTACCCAGATAAATGGTCTATGAATGGTTCATAAGTGTACTCGCCTGAGAAGTTACGGAACGATATACGGATTATTATAAATGGTTCATGGGTACAATACACCATCAAGGTATGGTCTGATGGTAAACTGATAATGGTTCATAATACCTGAGACTTATCACTATTATACAAGTGGAACTATGTATAAGCATACAAAAAATATGTATAATTAGCCTGTGATTATTATGGATGAATGGTTTACCATGATCTATGATTTTATATGAGTAATGGCTAGTATATAGTGATTGATGGTCATTAAATGTTACTAGTGTAATGGAAATACCCTTCGGTAATCAAACATGGCTAGCCTAGAAGGTAACCTCGTGCACTGAAGGTATCAGCTCAAATCAGCTCGGGTATGACAAGACCTTCCACTGAGACACAGTATGTTGGTAAATGGTGAGGTTTGGTTGATGTGTTTGGTATTGATGGCAAAATTAACTCATCTTCTCTAGAAACTCTATTCCTAATGGGTATTTGCTTTGTGTTTTCAACATGGCTATGTAATATGTGATTTGTAAAGAATTTCAGGTATAAACCAACCAGTTTCCGTTGCCCAAACCTTGGCACCAGGATCCAACCGCGCCTAGGTGTGATGTGGACAGAGCCTTTCGCAGGTTTTGCATCTCTTGGAGAAGGATTTTTCCTCATCGCTGCCGGGAGGCAAAACCCTGCAGCCCCTCTGCCCACAAAACCGTGGGGATATCTGGGCGAGACCTGGCAGGTGGAGACTTCAATAGGCAGCATTTCCCAAAGATGGGGAGGTCAACGAACAGCAATGACACTCCGGTGATTTAATAATTGGCTATGAAACATTGGTTGTGTTTAATGTGTTGAAATAATGGAAAACCAATAGTGAACATCACGATTTTAATGGATAAATATGATAAATCCTCGAGCTAAATCGGACATGGCTTCTGTAGCTATGTAACAAATGACCCCGGGGCTAAAATGCTGATGCACCAACAAAATATACGAACAACTTGGAGGCCACAAAGCAAAGATTCTGCACTAATAAGATGACACCCACGGAGTAGTCCCAGGGTGACCCCCTCAAAGGCCAAACTATATCATAGCAGGAGAACCGGACAAGTCATCAGGACATGTCAAGGGTGATCCGCACCAACCCTACTTTCAGGAGCATATCATCCTGCTAGGGGGCATTTCATTCACATGTGGATTCCGGCCACACTTATTCACCAACCACCCATAAATCTAGGCTGTTAGCTATAAAAGCCTGCTTTGTTGGTGGTTCCATGGTATATGTCCGCCTCCATTTCAGTATTCCTCACATGGATTTCTCCAGAAATGGGGTGTATACCCCAATGTGGCGCTCTGAGCGGGGAAAAATACCGTAAACTATTGGATGTTGGGGCGCCAACTTTTTGTGAACAACTCCATACGTTTATTGGTCATTAACAATTTTTATATACATATCCTGAAGAGCAAAATTAAAATGTTTGAGTGGCTAGTCAACTTCCCCAAGAACAAACATATGTTCAATTGGCTAGATGGCTATAAGGCTAATTATACATGATAACCATATAACTATAACCCATTACACTGTGCAATATAACCATATATACTGTATATATATATATATTATATATATTATATATATATACAACCCAATTCAATCTGATTACAATTAGCCAGTTGCAATGTGCCATAATCCTCCATACGACCCACACCGTCGGATTGGGCCAGTGGTCTCATTTTATCTTCCTCAGGTAAGATGTTGGCCTGTCCCATCCTTGGTCAGGCCATAGGCATTGAGGCACCGCAACATCCCTCCGCCACGTTCGGAAACGAGTTTATATACCCTCTGGTAAATTAAGATAGACCCTGAAAATAGGCTAATTTGAATGGAAACTAATCTTCCAACCCCGATGACTGCCAGGGTCTATATGTTAATTTACCAGAGGGTATCTCTAAATAGAGCCTACCCATAGACAGCAACGTTCGGGTGGATAATGCAACACATTTAGATTTTCATGATTCTTGGGTGCCCTATGGTGCCTTTCCATGCCCCTGTGAGTGGATAACAGGTGCCACCTCTCTGGTCACAATGGAAGCTAGCATAGTGCTTTCAGGTGAAGGTTGACACGTCCAAATTGAGCAATTAAAGGGTTTAGCACTGGATGGTTTGAAGGGAATTGTTACAGGAAATCATGGTTTTATTCCACACATACAGACCAGTCCGAAGGTTCTCAGATGTTTCAGCTTTCAAGGATGACATCCTATAGACTCTGAATTGGGCCCAGACACGGACAACTCGAAAACGTCAATGCTATGGGTGACTGCAACTGCATAGGACATATATCAAACCAACGCTTGAAGGAACTGGCCATCGCAGCAGAACCCTAGTCTGATATCGTCAACCTTTGTTTCTATGGAGTTATTCATTTTGGGAGTTCCTTATCATTGGGTTTATCATTGAATATGGAATGAAGTATATATATATATATTAATATATTAATGTGTTAGCTTCCCCTAGCTGGTCCTCATGTTCGTAGGTGATTGAATCTGATGAATGGTCAAAGGGTCAAAGACAAAAAACTCATCCCACAATCCCATGGTCATCGTATCTCAATCCGGAAAATAGTCTTTCATCATCCTTTTCGTGTACCCTCTGGTTATTTAACATAGCCATGGAAAATGGCCTATTTATAGATGGTTTACCTATTAAAAATGGTGATTTCCCATGGCTATGTTAAATAACCAAATGGTATATCTGAAGTAGTCTAAAAAAGTATGTGTGCATATGATCACACCCCAAAAAATAGAAAGTAATCTTTACATAATACTATACTAGTAGGTTTTTACTTGGAATAATAGGTGTTACTAATAGGATCAAATAGGTCTATACTAGTAGGTTTTTGCGACTTTCTATCTTCGAGGTCGCGAGATTGTTGCGGATCCAAATCCTTGCTGAGAAGCACCAAAAACTTTTTCAGAGTGTCTGATGTGGTCCGCGGTATATATATATATATAAACATACAGGTGCATACAAACGTATAGATATATAATATAAATCAAACAGGTATGAACAATATATTCTATTACTGTTTTGCACAGGCCAATTGCAACCAGGTCTCCGTTCACGCCTTAGGCCGCGGAACATGACATCCAAAGAATGGATGGTTTATGACGCTTTGGGAATACAGAACACAAAACAATCGAGAGATGATATGGATAATTGAAATCCTGTCTTAGATGAATGGTGAAAGGTTGCAGGGAAGGCGTATTTGGCAGGAAAAAAGCGCGGCTTCCTTTAGATTTCCCTGAGAGCAATCTATTGAGGTATAAAACCAATTTCCATGATCCTCCATTTGCATGCTTCAATGATCCTTTTTGCTCTGAGAGATGGTGGAACGGCAAAAAAACATAATCATCCTAGGTGATAGGAATGGGTATGCATACGTATGCGGTATGTATCAGTAAGAATTATGCCCATATCGATAGTGGTTGGTGATCTCATCCGATCCAAGTGGCCTTAAACAATCAATTCTGGCCCATCCAACTTGCCATGGCGGGCCAAAATGGGCACAGCATGTTGTCATGCTTTGCTCAAAAAGTGCCCCCCAAAAAAACATCTTACTATGTTGGTTTGCCATTATGTTTCCCTGAGCTTGACTTATACCTTTTGACTCAAACCCATTGAGGGTGAGCATTGGTCACGTCCCTCTTTGACAATAAGTCTGTGAAGCTATCACCTTTTTTGATGCTTCAGATACAGTACCCTCTGGTAAACTAACAGTTTGCGACATAGAAAATGGCCCAGTCGAAATAGTGGATTTATATACCCATTAAACATGGTGATTTTCTATAGTTATCCCATTAAAAATGGTGATTTTACATAGTTTTCCCATTAAAAATGGTGATTTTCCATAGTTATGTGGCTGTTTAACAAGAGGGTACCATAGCTAAAATATCTCATTTGGTCAGAATCCCATGGATTTGATTAAAAGTGATCGCTGAAAATTGCCTATGGCAAAGATCCCCATGGATTTGATAAGCTGAAAACAGCCGGAAATTGAGCCATTTGGGATGAATCCCATGTGTATATAATATATATACATATGTGACACACACACATATATATATGTATATACAAAACATATACATATATATATATATATATTTATAGATAGATAGATAGATAAACCATCATTCCTGCGACGTCACGACATGAGGTCATGATCAATTTCATCCACCATTGATTTCCAAAGCACGACCCGCATCACCGTTTTTCAAACCGGGTGGCAGAATCCGGCGTAGCTCAGCGAGTTGGAGCAGAGCCTCCCTGATTCGAATGGCCTTGGCTTGACATCATCCTCCTTGGTGCAGCTACCCTCTAGTTATTTAATGGGATTTTATAGTGATTTAATGGGACTTTATGGTGATTCAATGGGATATTAGGTTATGACTAACATAGCCATGGGACATGTCCCATAGAAATAGATGGTTTACCGAACTTAAAAATTGGTGGATTTTCCATGGCTATGTTGAATAACCAGAGGGTAGGATAGGGTAGGTTCATCCCAAAGTTAGGCTGACGAAACACGTCCCAGAAACTAAGGTCCCAAATATGTGTAAATACAAGGCTAAAAAAAACCTCATGGGGGCCTAGGATTTACAGTACCCAAAGATACTTGACTTTCCAAGACATGGACCAGGTTGATACATACGGCATTGCGGTTCAGCCAGTAAGTAACCAGCCTGGGGTGAACCCAATAGCACTCCCGAAACAGGTGGGATTACAGCCATCTCTTGTTTGAAGTTCATAACATTGCTGAAGCTTGCAAACATGTGGGCCAAATAAATAGCAAACGGATACAGTAATGTGTAATACATAATAATATATATATATAAAGATAGACTAAGATAGATAAAAATGCAATAGATGCCCTAGTAAGGTGAGCAAACAAATGAAAATACTCGAAAGGCGTGTTTCTATAAGCCCAAGGTTTGGTTGCCAAAGGGTATGTGAACTATGTGCACCCCAGAAAACCCACCAAAGGACCTGAAACAAAACATGTTCCCCTGTCGGGCCTCCAATACTTGTTTTGCAGGGTTTGACGGCTTGGAGATGGGTATGAAAAGATTGACCCCCAAATTATTGCCATCGGAAAGGAACATGATAATAACTCCGATAAACCACAAACTATGGGAGAGACCCTATTCTCAGTTGATGATTGATCGGAGTTGGGTGGGCAATGTATCTTTAAGGGCAATGTTTTAGATACGATATCCATGTCCCCACACATTATTTTAAACATAGTATGTAAATAATATTAAATAATAATAATGATTATATGTGTGTGTACATATATCATTTCATCAAATATTATACAATGACAACTAATAATAACCATTTATAATTCACTTACAACATACAACAATATGTGCCATCGTTTCTTGCTACACCTCCACCCTCAATTGACAATTGAAAAATGATGAAAGTCAATCGATGGTATAGGAAACCAGGTAGTTGCAGTAAAGAAAAACTACTGACAGTACATGTTCGGTGGTGCTACTCTGCATCGTCTGCGATGAACAATATTCTGGGATTTGTGATCATGATCTCCTGTTGAACGCCCCCTTCGCGTTGGAACAATTGCTGGCGTATGAAAAACGATCATGTAATAACATGTATATATGTTATGCATGTTGCAAAAGAATGTCCGACCCGGCCCAGAACCCCTAAGCAACCACAACTACTCTCTGGCAATTTCTATAACAGTTCGCTGCAGAAAAGCACCATTTTTAATAGGTAAACCATGGTAAACCATCCCGGAAAGTGAGCAAAAAACACGAAGAAATGGTGGAAGTGGCCATTCCACCTCACCCCGCAACAAACACGTACCCCGAACGCCCGAACGCCTGGTACGCATGCATCGGCGAGCACATGTCAATTAGGTCACCTGTCGGAGAGGTCCGGGTTGGAGCCACCTGATTGAATAATAGGCACGTCATGGGGGTTCATCGTCCCAAATATGGTGAAACAATATGAAACCACCACCTAGATCTCACTGATCAGGATCCATAAACCGTCCCCAATTTTCGGTCTATTGTTGGGTATACCATGGTTTACTCCTTATTTAGGATAAAGTAGAATTACCTTAAAATGGTTGGATACCAATCAATGATACCCCCGATAATATCGGGTTAACAATTATTGAAATTGTCATCATTAATTTTCCATCTTACAAATTGATGATCGGATTCCCACCATGATCAGGATTGTCCCATCTTACAAAAGGATTGCCCATCTACCATCTGGTTATTTAACATAGCCATGGAAAATTACAATTTTTAATAGGTAAACCCAGGTAAACCAAGGTAAACCATCTATAAATGTGCCATCTATACCATGGCTATGTTAGCCATAACCAGAGGGTAACCCTTGGACTTGTCGTCTACCCATTGCCAAGCGAAAATTCTGCCCATCCAACCGAACCAAAAAATTACAGAAAGCTAGGGCTAGCACCTTCATCGAAGCAGTCCACGTCAACCCCTGGGTTGGCACATCTTGGGGCAAAACAAACAGGGGCCCCGAGGTACCTGTTGGTAAACCAACATACCTATGGTATTGATCCAACTACTTGATGATGGTGATTTTGCGTAAGTGAAATTAATTACCAGGAGGTAAACTTGGATACGAAGGCCCTACATAAGCCACAGAAGAATTCTCATCTTCAGAGGCAGCTCTTCACTACCCCAAAGTCTCACAAGCACGATTTGCCAGGAGCCGCAAGAGAAGGGGACCGAGTACCCTCCTCCCAAACAAGTAGAACACCAAAATGATTAGCTATGAGCAAATGATAAACGTGGCAATTCCCGAGCCTGATAGCCTGATTTCGTAAAGGGTTCTTTTGGGATGTTTCTCCTCAGTTGTCCATTACCTGAGGGTATCGTCTGTGGCACTATGGGGTTTGGTTGGCTTGCGACGCCAACCAGTGACTTGGATAAACTTGAAATGGCCGCACTATGAAAAACCATCCCAACGAACTCTCAAACATAAAAGAAGTCTTCAGCAATCACTTTCCAGACTTATCAACAAAAACAACTTAGCAGTGTTCAAAACCCTCAGTGGTCCCATTATAATGCTTGGTCACAGCAAGAGGATTTCCCATAATATCAATAACCGCTTGGGTAGTGCAGGTAATATGACCCTCCTATAATCATGTCCAGCCATCACTCTATCAATTTGCCAGAAACCAACTTATTGGTCTGGTCTGGTCTTATGCGTTCCTGGTTTAAATGACCGAACTGTGACTGCTATCAAGAAAGGGAACTGTCGAGACATACTTGACTTATTTCTACCAAACTATCATGTTTGTCGGGAAACCCAATCCGTAGCTCCAAGTGGCCCCCCATGGCTAATAAGGAATATGGATACAACCATTGCTCCCTTCACCGCTCCCTCCATTCACCACTGGAGAGCTATGGTCAGCAGGTTTTCACATCCCCAGCTTCACCAAAGGACCCATCAACCCCACAAAATGCTTCGCTTGCTTCGTCTCCTCCATGGAGTCTGGGAATAAACAACCAGTTGTTTTCTTTCGGGACCAAAATGGTGAGTTCATGGGCTTTGATGGCCGTTTAAAATGATTTAATATGATTTAATGGGACAAATAACCAACTGAATATGATATGTGGGTGTGTCTGAACATGTTGGCAAATAATGATCAACCACTGGACGAAGCAATATGTGCTCACTCAATTCTACCCTGAAAACTTGAAGAGCCCCCAGAAAAGCAAACTCCTAACCTTGGGTCGGCGTTCATCGTTTCATTCTCCCCTGTCATTGCCGGTTATATCCCCGTTGCCGTCTTTCTTGTTGGCAAGTTTAGCCTGTTTTCAGGTTCGCTTCTTCGTTGCCCCTAAATGAACTGATTCGTCAAAAGCTTCTCTGGCGATTCCAGGCGAAGCCACCTGATATTTCTCACCGAAATGGTCCCAGAAGCATACTGACCAATATTAACATATTTCAACGTACGCAAGTCTATCAATATACAAACGTATACTGAGTATACTGCTTATTATATATAATATATATATATGACTATATATGTGTATTAAATATATTATAGACTATAAACTATTATAAATACGTATATTCAATTCGTAAACATGGGTTCTTTCCATTTGTTGTTTGATCGACAAGCAACTGGTTGATACCAGTGAACCCTGGAAATCCATAAAAATCCATAGAAATCACAGGCAAATATGGGCCACCCTTCAGCTGGGAAAGGTCAATCCATGCGTCCTTGGTCGCTTCCAGCACGATTTGGGAAATGCATCGCAGGCCTCGGCGCGGCGGATTTGTCTCCCTCATCAGAAAACATTAACCACGCACTACATGGGTGGTTATAGCTGGGAAAATCATCTATAAACCGTAGATTCGCCGTAGATAGTATATAATTAAATATAATTACATATATATATATATAATTAATCTAAAAAACATGTCATGATCAATCATGCTAAATGGTGGTGGGTTTGCGAATCTTGACACTACCACGTTTGATTACCGGATGGTAATCTCACCCCCCATGTGAAATACGACCCCATTCTATGGTCCACTATTCATGGTTTCATCCCCAGAAAAATGTTTTTTGGGGCTGTTCATATGCACGGAGGATGGGATTCTTGTTGATCATTGTTTGATCAAGTACTGCACTTTCTGTCAAGAAGTAACTGGGATATATATATATATATGTTTGGGCTTTAGTACTACCTTGTAGAATAAAGTATTTGAGCCCATAGGGATTTCTGAAACTTGTGGATTTGCAAACGCAACTTCATAAGATTTGGGAAAGTCCAATAATAAACTTAAACAAACCTGCACAGTACGTTGTTAAAACTCGCCTTGCTTTATCTGACACCCATCGCAAATTCCCAGATCAAATAGATATCCAGCAAAAACAGTGACAGAGGCGATGCTGGCATCATCCCTTTCTTGAATGGAAATGCCCCTGATTCTTTTTTTGTTTCCCCATGATTTTGAGATGAATACTGTATATAACATATAATATATAATATAATATAGTATATATATATATATATATTATTCTCTTCAAAATGGTACAACGAGTCTAACGTAATGTTCGATCTCCAGGAAGGGCAAGAAGAATGCGCATCTCTCTCTCTCTCTCTCGTTCTCTCCCTGTGCATACGTACACATTCAAAAACAAGAAACGTAACGTTGCTATGTATGCTTATGAGAAGACAATATATGTTAAATATAAAGAGCATATGTATGAATATGAGGTAAACATTACAATAAACCTACCATTTCAGGAAATATGTTCACCACCTTTTTATACTGATATTGGGGATGGTTTATGGCATTGGGTTTCAGAATTTCCTCGAACCGCCACGGCCCCGGGCTGCGGAGATTTACTGGATCTGGCTGCGGTGCGGCCTCAGCCGCTGATCATGTTCTCGGCTCGGCTAATTTAGCAGTTATACTTATGAAAAAAAAACATGTTAGTAGGAAAACGAAGGAAAACACATAATCAACATTAATGCAACATTATTTAATGGATTATCAACATTATCTATTTGTTTATGCAATACTTAATGCAATTTAACGGGCCATCTTCCATAGCTGCTATAGCTTTAGATTGCCAGAGACTCCCTTAGAAACCCTGATTTGGTAGATCAAATGAGACCTATTCATTTGGGAGACCGTTCCCCATATGGGGTTGTATCTAGTCTAAGGACTGATCAGTGGCTCCAACCCATCTTGAAAATAGGAAGGTCGGTCAGTTGGTCGAAAAAACATAAATGAACCATGATGAAACCACCAAGCAGCGGATCCCTTGAACGGAAAACGTGTTTCTCTTACGGTATGTTATTTTTTGGGCTTTCCAGGTTTAGTTTTTGATGTGTAATGTTCACCATGAGATATTTTAGGAGCCGCTGATGTTTGAATGCCTATAGTAAGGGCCGTCAAATGATGGCTAATTGATGCTAATTGTTTGTGTTCACCCATCCGGCTGTAGATATACTCGCCTTTTCTGCAGTGACCAATGGGCCTAGTTCCGAACCAAGTTAGCCAGCGCTTTGGGGTTCATTTATACATCTTTGGTTGACTCAGAACGAAAGTGTTTGGTGATTTTGGCACTGGAGCATAATATTAAAAACAACAAATTCACATTTTGCTATGTGAAAAAACAATATGCATCCATATGCCACATTCCAACAATTTCTATTTTTCCCCAGCAAAATTTCTTCCAGAAGCGGGGCAAATGGGAACAGCTGCGTGCCGCGGGACATGTCTCCCCAAGCGGTAGTCCAAATCCAGTTCTTGCCGCTTCTTGCGTGCCTCCTGTGATCAGTGGAAATGGCCATGGTTGACCAACAAACACAAAGGAACCTTGGGGATTTGACCATGCAAAATGCTGGAAACTTGGGATTCAAAGCATGAAACAATGGTGTAAGATTGAGATTTAGGCCGCAAAACAAGTAACATGGTGATATAACTGATATAACCATCAAACATGATGGAAACTTGGGGATTTAACCAACAAAAGTCATCTCCCCAACGTCAAAAGCCTATTAAGTTAAGCACTGATCAACCACCAACAATGACCTGGGCGAAGGTCACCTTTTGGGTGGTTGAATATGTTGAATCCCCAAAAAAATATAGATCGTAGTTTAAGCAACTAAACTAATTTAATTTATGAGTATGTGAACTGTTGGGTTTATGATTTGTGTTTTTTCTCCACAGGCGGATGGGAATGTAGGAATGTAGACCTATAAACCCGTATATAACTCTATAATAAGGTTCATGGTGAATAATTATATCTACCATTTGATGGTTGAACCAATGCCAACTTATGCCTGGAAGGAACCACTTTCTAGCCACTGGCATTATTGGCGGCCAAACTCATCCTGACTCATACGGGGCAGCCCAGCTCTGCTCTATATGTCGAGCACAGAAGGCTGGAGTGCCTTCCATTGCTAACCAGGCACGTTGAGGATGAAAACTGGTCCGGTGCCGCCAATTGATCGGCACATGACCACATGCTCCACAGTTTTGGCCGCTTGTAGTAAACCGTCGAATCTGGAGATACCGTATTTTCTATCAAACCCTGATAAGCTGTGATAAACCCATGTCCATTCACAACCAGTTCAAATGAGACCTAATTCCAACCCTCGATCAATAAACATACCACAGAAAACTTGGGGTCTAGTGAATCTATTGTCTTTGGGGTCCCATTGAAGGATGACGGTACTGTATAAGATGGCAAAGAATGACGGCTAAAGTTACCTGGGAAAATAACTCGGGGGCCGCCCGTGAACCATCGCACCAATTGGAGCGAATTGGAACGTCCACTTCCTAAATGGTCAGTACCCCAAAACATCCCAATTGCAAGGGGTACAGTCTGGTTGGTGGTTGAGCCACTCCTCTGAAAAATAAAAAATCAGTTGGGATGATGATCCCCAATATATGGAAAACATTGGAAAACATGTTTGAAACCACCAACCAGCAGTAGTTACTACCAATCTACTCCCTGAATTACTTCTTACAAGTCTTACACCTAACAACCAACGCAATGAAAACTGATAGAATGTGCTGACAGCGGGCATCTTCAACTTTCACAAACCATAAGGGAACATGGAGCATTGAGCCTAGAATAAAATACATAGAATGACAGCAAAAAAACGCGACCACTTCAGGGAAGTGCATGGGTCCGGGGCCCCTTCAAGAAGGTAAAAACATGTGAAAACACCATGTGTGTCAGCGAAACTATTGCACCTGACGGACCAATATTACGTCTTCCATATGCAAAAGCAAACAACAAATAAAACACACACACACACAAAAGAAAGAACCGGAATTAAAGCTAACTGAAACAGTCTCTCCTAGAACATTGCTACAGCTGCCGCTAGCATCTCTCAAACAAATACAAGCAGTATAATCCTACTACAATAGGCAAAAACTACATTCTACATGTTTCATCTCTTATCTCTTATCCATCCATCTATCCATCTATCCATCCATCCATCTATCTATCTCTATATGTGTGCTATTTTGGAACAGAGCTTCGTTCCTCAGCCCTTCCCTGCTCCCCCCCTGCTCCGCATAGATGCGGCGGGACTCCACCACGCTCGGCATGAGGCCATGGCAGGCTGGCGCCCGGTCGCTCGAACGGGTGAAACAAGCAGCACAAAACGGTCAGTGACTCAATGGATTAAAGGTGGTTAATAATGATTCATAGTGGTTAATAGTGACAATGGATTGGTTTAAGGATGTTTAAGGAAAATATTTACAGGAAAGCTTCATGTTAAACCAATCCATTGAGTGACAGCCTGGGTAAATCCAATAGTCATATGTGCCATGGTCGTATATGGTGCATGGTCATCCATCCCATAACGGGATCCTTACGATGGGCATTGTTCCGTACAAATTATGAACATACGCGATATGGGAAAAACAAACTAACGTTTTGACACGGCGAATATGGTGAAGTCATCTTTAAATAGGGAAGGATCAAAAGTTGTTAACATGGAAGTTGAATAAGATCCATGACATTGGAAACTGTCAATTTAAGCTGCAACCAAAAGAATGCCATGGATGGTTTTACATTGCATGTTCCAATGTTGAGTTTAGCCCTCAACCTACAGTACTCTCAATTGATGTTCACAGTTTCACATTTGAAGTGCTACAGGTAACTTGCAAGCCCATTGGCTATTTCTTGGTGCTGGAAGGCTTGAATGGATGTGTGAGAAATCCAAAATCATTCTCTTATGTCATCTCGTGGCATGTGTGCATGCATTGCCCGCTTGCGTTTCCATTGCAACATGGAGACAATAGACACTTAGGCCATGCAGAGCAGCAACGGCATGCAGTTCGCAAGTGCTCCATCAATCAATGACAGGCCCCTATTACCGGAGGCAAATTGGATTGACACTCTATACAGTTAACCAAGACTTCATTTGGATGTGCTCCCCTTGCAGGGCATGGAGGTTGGAACCGGGACACATCGGGACACGCCCGTGATTTTGGTCAAACAAAGCAGCCGGCCCCTGGCCGAAAATTTAGTTAGCACATTCAAGTATGGAAAAGCTTCGAGTAAACCTGAACCAACATATGTAGATGTTTATTGTTTATTGTTTCCAACTTGCCACCAAAAACGAACACTTGTGTCTTGGATCTGCGATATCCCCGTTATTTTTGAACAGAATATCTCTCTTGCTTCGCTCATCCAATCTGCCAAAGAGAGAAAACAAGTGCAAGTTTGCAACCTGCTTGTTGTTCCAGCACAACCCCATCACACGGGCCAAACAAATTCCAAGGAGAACAGCAAAATGAACCTACCAATCAAACAAACACAGATCTCCATCCCAACGTTGAGCAGGTCTAGCCTCATTATTCCACATTGATTGTAACATGCTCATGTTGAAAAGGTCATCTTCGCAATGCAGCGTCAGAAGCACGGGTTCTTCAATGGCAATAAACATAACTTTCCACAATCTCTGTATAATAGTGAGCCCCACCATATGCAAGGATGTATGAATGTACAAATGTATTTACACATGTGTATATATATATATATCTATATGTGTGTGTGTGTGCGTGTGTTCATCCTGAAGTAGATGGACTATGACAAATTCCATAGTCTTCCCATTTTACTAGTGATTGTGCGACATTTCCATATTCTATCTACTACAGGATTACTAAAAATATGTATGTATGTATATATATAGATATATATGTCCAACTCTTCCACTACATGATCCACATGTAAATAATCCAATAATCCATGCATGGAGCATTTGGGTAAATAATATATATATATATATGCTAATGTATATATATATATATATGCTAATGTATATATATATATAGATTCATACATTACATACATGGGGTTAGCACATGATCTGCAACAAGTCGTGAACCTCAAACGATGACCCCTCCATCCTGAAGCTGTCCATCACACCTTGGCGTATGGCATGGCAAGGTTCAGCCACGAGTTTCGGGGTTAAGGAAACAACACAAATAAGAACGGGGGGTCCCAAAGGATAGCTAATCTGTGTTGTTCATCTTCATTAGCTGGGATTTATACACACATATATAAATGGGAAATGTGAGGAAAATGGGGGAAAACAGAATTATAGAACGGAAGTTGAGGAGTACGAAGGTACGGTTATTTACCGTACCCTGTTGTTCTATAATTCTGTTTTCCTTGGAAGGTAGAAAAAAAACGTATCTGAATTTACTCCTAACTTTTTTCGTCGTTCTATAATTCTTGTCGGAGCGCTGTTGTTCTATAATTCTGTTTTCCACCATTTTTCCCACATTTCCCATTATCCTCATGTTATCCTCATTTTATCATCGTTATCTCATCAAATCCTCATTTTATCATCATTTTATCTTCATTTCCTTATCAAATCCTCATTAAATCCTCATTAAATCTTCATTTTATCCTCATTTCCTCATCAAATCCCCATTAAATCCTCATTTTATCCTCATTTTATCCGTGTTTTATTATCATTTCTTCATCAAATCCTCATTTTATCTTCATTTTATCCTCATTTTCTCATCAAATCTCATTAAGTCCTGATTAAATCCTCATTTTATTTTCAATTTACCTTTATTTTATCATCATTTCCTCATCAAATCCTCATTTTAACATTTTATCCTCATTTTATCCTCGTTTCCTCATCAAATCTTCATTTTATCTGCATTTTTCCTTCATTTCCTCATCAAATCCTCATTAAATCTTCATTTTATAGATTGTATATGTACAAATATGCAGTAAATATCATGTCAGTGCCAGAAATTTTAGATCGGAGCCAGGAGTAATTTAATTATAGAGAGGGGAAATTTAATTATAGAACGGGGAAATTTAATTATAGAACGGATCCCCGTTCTATAATTAAATTTCCCGACTCCGCGCGGAATCGGAACCCGGAGGAGTACAAAGGTACGGTATTTTACCGTACTTTTGTACTCCTGGCTCCGTTCTATAATTCTGGCACCACCTGTATATATATATATATATGTCTATGTATGGAACAGTTACAAAAGTATATGTATATGCATGTATATGTATAAATTACTATGTATATATATATATGTAATTCCGCCGATCAATCATTATATGCACCTGGGACTTGACAATAGGGCCATTGGCACCGCACTTTTCGTTTTCCAGAATTCAGTATTTACAGTAGACACATCCAGCTGTCGGAGCAAATTTCCAACTTTATACAGGTGATTTCAGGTGATTTTGAACATGCCCGAAACAGGACACTTGTCAATCCCTTTTGCAGTTCTCTCGGAATCAAGATTTGTCGCAAAGGATCTAAAGAAGCCGTTGTTTTTCGAGGTTTAAAAAACATGACGTCATTGTTTTGTTAATTCATCCCTGCAAAGTTTAAAAAACATGACGTCATTGTTTTGTTAATTCATCCCTACAAACTGATATACCCTTCTGACCCCTTTTGATACTTTTTGGAAGTGTACCATTGGTAGAGCATTTTAGCGCAAATTTCATACCATTCATTTCTTTAAGGCAACCCGTTGGTTTTCCATATATCTATTCTTAATTTACCTCATACATCAACGTATATATGGTCGCGTGCTAATATACATGTGACTGCTGTATATATAACATATAAATTAGGTATGTATACATATGACGCACACATATTTATATATATATATGTGTGTAAAAATACATATTCATGTTTACATACACATTCACATATATATATTATATATATATTATATATATATATACATTACACATATATATATAAGCCATCCCCCCCAAAGATCTACCATTTTTGGCTTTTTGTTGATATCAAAGAGGGTTGGGAACCTTTTGCAAAAACAAAGCAAGTACACTATTACTTTCAAAAAAGATGAGCACATACTCAGGTCAGAAAGCACATCATTTCTTGAAGGAAGCAATCTATTTTAAATTGCAGCGTTCCTTTCCATCACCTTCATTCATAAACCGCAATTTTCCTTCCAAACAAAGTATGACTTCGTTCAAGAAACAGTACCCCTACAAAAAATAGGGCATTCTTCTAAACATGCAGCGTTTTCTTTCTGAAGAAGTGCAGTCTTCCTTTCAAACTAATATTAAGCCTTCCTTCAATCATACAGTATTTCTTTCAAAACAACAGATTCTAACATGTTGGATATGTCTTTCTTTTTGATGCAACGGAGTAAGAATAATATCTTGATCAGCATTTTTTAATATACAATGAATATAGCTTCATTAAAAATTCCATATACTTTAATATACCAGTTTATTGACAATAAACATATCTTTAATCAACCTGTAGTAAACCTTTGGCATACCTTCAGTATCCCTTTTAAATACAATCTAATATATATATATAGATACCATTCAATATACCTGTAGCATTCCATTGGATAACGATGAAGCTACCTTGAAGTTGCAATTTAGTTGGCCTTGAAAATACCTTCAGTATACATTAAATATACCTTCAATGCATACAACTTCACTACACTATTTAATCTACCTTAAATATACCATTGAATCTACGTTCAATATAGTCAATATACAATTCGATTGGCCATGAAAACATCTTTAATGCACCTTACTTCAATGCATAAAACTACTCTGCACCATTTAATCTACCTTAAATATACCATTTAATCTACTTTAAATATACCATTTAAGTGACCATGAAAACATCTTTAATGCACCTTTAGGATACCTCTCTACCTCTAGAATACCTTTTATTTTCCATTTAATTTGTCTTTAATAAACCTTTAATGTACCATCTATACTTCGTTGACCATTTAAGAATCGTTAATATTCCATTTGGTATACTATTAATATATGATTAAACCTAATGTTTACTACACCTTTAATATACCTTGAAAGTATATACATTTAATATACAATTTAATTGACCTTGAAATTATCACTATGCCTCTAAAATACCTTTTACTTACCATTTAGTTTGCCTTTAATAAACCTTTAATATACAATCTATACTTAGTTAGTTTACCATGTAAGAATCATTAATATTCCATTTGATATACCATTAGGTTCCAAGTTTATGGATCCAGGAAAATTTGCAAAGTTTGCATTTGGTTTGGGATTCAAGATTCAAGATTCTGGGAAAAACTTCTTGAATCCAAGACCAGGCCTGGATTCAAGAAGTTTCCCCCAGAATCTTGAATCTTGAATCAAGGAAAGTTTGCAGAGTTTGCAATTTTTTGGGAAGTGCATATGCCTGTGTATATGTATACGTGTTTATTTATACATATATATATATGGTCACCCCTGTCAATTCATTGCTCGATTATCATCCCAAACCACAAGATTTCAAAAAAGGTAGGTCAAAAATGGTAGATCTTTGGGGGGGTGTATATATATATATGACTATATGGTTTAAAACAAAATGAAACTGACTCTGTAGCAGCTGTAGCAGTTGGGTATCCTTATGGGATATTCATGGATATTCCCACTGCTTCGGGCCATGGGTCAAGTCACGGGTCTTCCACACAGCTCCACGGCTCCTGCGTGGACGGATGTTGACAAGAAACTGGATGGTTGTTGAAGCTGAATCTGGTTGGTGGTTGACCTACCTCTCCGAAAAATATGAAAGTCAGTTGGGATGATGGCATTCCAATGACATTCCCAATATATGGAAAAATAAAAAATGTTCCAGGAGTGACCACCAACCAGGAATATAAAAAAAACAAACAAGAAACCAGCATAAAACTGCCAATGAATCAAGTTTGAATCAATGAACAAGATGAAAAGCTTGGTTTTTGCAATCTTACAATCTTATCTTGTCAGCAGGGAAGCTTTCATGTGTAATGGTTTGGGGATCGGTTGCCATGGCCATCATAGCCACTAGCTGGTGGGTATCCTTGTGTATTTACGTTTCACATCAGCATGTGTATTTCCGATAGATGGATTGGCGGAAGTCCCCCAGATCTTTTCAGCATATCTGACCCGGAAAATGGACGGTCCATGGACCGATTTGGTGAATTCCATGGTCATTTGTACCGTATCCCCTTTGTGGTTGGTTTTGCACCGGTATATAACTCCATTTCATCTCTGGAGAAACTCACAATATCTTATCACTATTTTTGTTGGCCATGTATCTGCAATTGCAAAAAAAATGTTCGCCAGAAAAGAAATCCATCAAGTACCCCACGGCCCCACAGCACGCCTCCGCTGGAAGACGTGGTCTGAAGGGCCTCGACTGAAAGGCGGATAAAACTACAGTAACAAAAAATGATATGACTATAGCTTAACAAACAAACAATGATCATCAAACTTGGGGATTGGATTGGATTGGTTCAACAAAAGCCACCAAAAACTGCTGTATAATGACGGATTCAACAACAAAATCGAATTAAGCAAACAGGAAACGGAGATTTGATGAACACAGCATTTTTCATTACACATAAGTTAACCAGTGACCATGTTTTATCTAACAAAAATGCAATCAGCAACACTGCTGTCCAGGAAAGTCGTCCCCTGCTTGGGAACACCAAACCAAAGGGCATACATTATGGGAATGACACAAGGGAACCATAAGTAATAAAACCATTTCTCATCTGCTCCCATGAACCCACATCATCTCTGTGAGCTTTGGGATCCGCCCCTGCTAAACTGGGCCAATGGTCATCCCTTGAAGCTAGTTCCTATTCGTGCTCAATATTCGCCAAAGATGTTCATAGATTGTCCATGTTTCTTCCTTGGGAGTAGGAAATCAAATTCAATGGATGGCAGCTGCCTGCTGCTGCACAGAACTCCTGGTGCGGATGTTTTTGTAGCTCTGCCGCCACCCCATCGCAATTGCGCCACAGCTTGCAAGGTATGGACAGGAAGCACCATCTGTGCACAGAACACGGCTACATGCAAACAGAGGGCGGTTAGTTAAGATATGTTTGGAGGGATATTTGAAGACATTTGAAGCCAGTTTGGAAGCCCAGCAGCGATGCATGCATTGGCGCAGTCAGATCTAACGTGTCATTTGACGGACAAATTCTAACTGGTATCAAATGGTTCTCAACAAATTATAGCTACCTGATGGTATACCATAAATCAGCAATTCTCATAAATCAGCAGTTGGAAGTCTGAATGGTGTCTACACCCCATGTTAGTAAATCAATAAATCACCCACATATTGGTGGCTTATACGACCCATTTATGGAAAATTGGGGATGGTTTACTATTGCTTTACTAACATTATAATCATTATAGATAATGTCGTCTTGCTTGCAATTTGTTGAATGTCTGTGCCGATCTATGGGAAACAAGCATAACAAACGGGAGACTTGATGTGGTGTTCACGCTCAAAGACTTTGCCACGAGTCCAGACGAATACCAAAAATTTATCCGATCGCTACGAAAAGCCCACAATGCCCTAAAATTACAGTTTCATCAACTCAAACCCGCAGGAAGCCCAAAAACATCGTGGGTGCTTCAAGCCATGGTTTCCTGATGTTTCCCGCATTTTTCCCTTGAACGCTCCAGCCATTCACGAGCGTAACTGAGCTACGCAGGTCAGCTCCCTCATCAGACCCGACCTGGGGTGGTGGGCCCAAAGTTATGAACCATCAAGAAGTAGGGATTTTATGGAATTCAAATCGGCTTTGATAGGATACAACTAACACATGATATTGAATTATATCAAAACAATGTGATAACAATCCCATCTCCAGCTTATATGAAAAACACCCCCCCCCAAAAAAAAAAACATATGTGTGACCCATACAATGGGGATGGGATTAAAGCTCAAACTATGATCTTTCTTATGAACAAAATCTAAGCCATCACGTGAATCACTGCCAACTTTGAACCAAGTATAGATAGTTCACTTGTCACCCACTCTTGGCTTACCATCCGGTAATCAAATGTGGCAACGGAAAAACCAATATTTATTAATATAGATGATTTTTTCATTGAGACCTTCCTCCAAGTTATAAAGTATTTCCCAGCCAGCCATGTCTGCCATGTCTGATTACAGCAAGCTATGGCCGAAGTGGAGCATCTGGATCTTACACTTGGGTAATGGAACCTGGGAATGGAACGTCTCGTTGCAATATCAATTTGGAAAACATATAGCAATGTCAAATAACCCCCCCCCGCTTATTAACATGATTTTCTCATTAAAACATATCAAACCCACCATTTTGTCCGAGGGTTTTCCATAGCATTTTTTTTGTTTAAACTATGTCCGGCTGGTGGCTAAAACCTATCACAACAACATTAGTCACCTCAACCAATGATACACAACCCCCCATCCAGGTGTTACTCTCCGGTACACTAACGTATATAAATGCGGAACACCCACCATTTGTATACATTTGTACTGTAGATTACATTCCTAGGGTTTACCTATGGGTTTTCCACATCTATGTTGGTTTATGCTACCGCCGCCCGTAGCGGACTCAGTTAATTTGGTGTTGTTTACACTTGAATAAGTTTCACATGATTTCACGGATGTGGTGGGGTGCGGGAAGTGAGTGGTAACGTCTCTGTGCACTTGCTCACATCTTGATGCTACGCTGGACACGTCTTGTTGACTTGATCTCACAATATCTCACATAACTGTATAGATTTCATTCCAAACAGTGTCCATACACAGAATGCGAAGAACAAACTTTTGACTGCTGAGATCTGGAACTGTGTCTACCAATGGCAATGGCGATACAATCATCGCCATGCCTTGTGGCAAATGGTTCCCGAAGTTCTCAAAGCACTTTGCAAATAAGACGTTGCACTTGCAAGTGACAAAGGTAAGAAAAAACCGAGTCCGCTACCGGCGGCGGTACCTAGTTTATGATCACTATTAAACTAAATCCAACAAAAAACCAATTGATGTCAAAAACTGTGAAGTCTTCGGCTTAAATGGCCAGTAAATCACCAGTGAATCAGCCAGGACCACCCGAGCCATGTCCGTCCCACCTGAGCCGCGCCAAGTGCTGCCGCAGCGCTCGCGGCCGCGACGCCAGCTGCGGCACCAGAGCGCTCACCGCCGCACAATCGGTGCTGTGCAGCGTCACTGCGAGCTGCCAAGGAGCCCTGCGGCATCTTTTTGTTACCGTGACGTTCCAAGAAAATCTGGTTGGGGGTAAAACAACCCCTCTCAAAAATGATGAACTTCATCAGTTGGGATGATGACATTCCCAACTGAATGGAAAAATAATCCAAATGTTCCAAACCACCAACCAGAAATGGTGGGTAGAACCGTGAAGGTCAACAAACATGTCTATTTTGGGGTTAGTTAGATATGTGAATAGGTTCAGGGCAAATATTAACCACCAACGATCATTGATAAGCAAATCTTAATCATCTATATATTATTGACGGTGCCATGACACATTTTACAAATGAGACTGGCTTTAAGTCTCAAAAAAAATGTTTGCCAGCACTTAAAACATCTTAAAACTGGATAATATGAGTCCCATGTATTTTTTGCTATGGGCAATTCTTAAACATTCAGAACATGGCCATGCAGAAATCCAGAAGGCACCTCCTGCAGGCTTCGACCAGGGAGGTCTGGGTCACCAAAGTGCTTTCGATGGATTTCTCCATCAAGTTTCGTGCCAGGTGAATTGCTGGCAACCATTGGGAGCACCTGATGCCGGGCCAGGCGAGACAAAGTTGATCTTAAGTGGGATGCCATCCGTTTTCGTTTTCATACATATATTCAAATTAAATCATGATATACTAGAACATAATAGTCACAAAACATATTTTTTGAATATCACAATGAGGCATTATCACATCTCTATACATTTACACATATATATATATATATATATCTGTCCGTTCTACACTTATGATTCTTGATCGATGGATAACCACAATTTCAAAGCACCAACGGGGCTGAACTAATCGGCACCTGCTACAGCTGTTCAAACATGCATTCCAAGATAGGATCTCGGTAGGCTGCGCCACAGCTGCTACAAGCCTTGGCAAATCCGAGCTCAGTATATCTCGGTGACGTGCGAAATATCATCAGGGTAAGGGTAAGGGTAAAAATGGGCTATCCCAAATGGACGGCCTATGAAAGTAGTGAATGTTAGTGGCCTCAAGAATCCAACGCTGGGCAAAGAAGGCGGTGCACCCACAGGTGCGGCCCAGCTTGGTGCCAATCCTTTGGCTCTCGGATCATTAAGACCCCGCACCAGCAACAGGCTTGCTGCCAATATTTCAAATACCTAAGAAAACGTTAGGCTACATTAGGTTCATGATATAGTACCCCGTGGGGGCAATCATTTACCTGCTGGACAAGTTATGATGATTTATACTGTCTTGTAATTTAAGGTAGCTTTGGAAAATTACAATTTCCAATCGGTAAATGGAGCCAAATATACGAGGGTAAATCCCATTAAATCACCATTAGCCGGCATTAAGTCACCATTGGAAATGAGCAATTCTTGGGATGTTACTTTTTCCTAGCCATCGTCTCTGGTGATGTTGTTCTGAGGTCACGATATGCGTGAAAAACTCATGGGCAATTTGGACCCATGCCTTTGCTTATCTCTGCTATATATCCCCACAAAATGGGTGCCTGTATGCCCTTCTTGTTGATGACAATGATATACCTTACTAATTCCCCATTATGACATCCAAATGTGCATTCTTATACATCCCCTGTTCATTATATCCCATTGAACACACGTACTGTAGCTTGCCCAACACAAACCATCACCAAGCCACTCCACAGCACAAGGCCAGGGGTCAACTGCACTGACAGCAGCGTTCAGCAGGGCCTTGAAGCTTTGATGTTGGGCCGCAAAAGTTTTGGTAGTGATATGGTGGCTTTCACGGCTTTCACCGTAACCATCAAACAACAGGAGTTTGTCTAGGAAAAACACTGTATTTTTTTCAGATTTCATGGGATATGTAACCAACCATATGGAATCTGAGTGTGTCCAAAACATGTGCGATACCCACGAAATGGCAGTTTTGAAAGGGAACATGATGATAAACATCAGATTTGGTGGTACCCTATATGTTCAGGCATTTGTATATATATATATATATATATATGCATGCATGCATACATACAGGTAAGGTAAGGTAAGGGCTCTGCCAACGACCACTTGTGGTTCTTACAGGCCTTCCACCACTGGAACCCCGAAGGGGCAGCTGGTACTAGGCCCAATTTCAACCCCACCAAGGTGCCAATATTTTACATCACCGAAGCATCCAGGGTGTGCGCCGCCCGCGTGGCGGATAAGCCAACCAGAAGGATCTTACGTCTAGCCTCTGCTTCCGAAGAAGCGGTGGTACTGAGATCCCAATGCAGAGAAATCGGACCATCCAGGTCTTCTCGCAGACCTGCTTTGGCCACACAATTCTCTACAAAGTGCTTCAGCCCGACAGCACCGCAACCGCATAGCGGGCATTGAGCTAAGACCACTGGGAAGTGACATGAAACAAACCGCATAATTGGTAGGCGACATGTGTTAATCAAGCAACATACCACACCCTATGCAGCTCCCACAGGGTGGGTGCCCAATGTTTCCAGCATTCCTTAGCAAATGGCGCCCAAAGGGGCGTAATTTCTGTATCAAGACATAAGACCTTCATCCATCAAGGCGATCTGTGAACGAAACCAATGCCGCTCCAGGTCCCGTAATTCGGGTCGCACATGTTTGCCCATGTACGAACCACCGCTGGCGAAGAAAGGGATTTTCAACGACTCCATGTTGATAGAAAGAGTCAAACGGTAGCAGGTCCAGCGAGGGCGAGGATCTGATCAACATGCTGCAGCGAAGTGTTTTTGATATCATAAGCCAGAATGGCACGGCAGCTAGCAGCAGCAGGGTGCGCAGGGGGGGTAAGAGTATAAACGAACCTTAGCAGAGATGATCCGAGCAAGGACTCTTGTGCTGGCCCGAGTACATATACATACATACATACGTACATACATACATACATACATACATACATACATACCATTACATACCATTACATACCATTACATACCATTACATACCATTACATACCATTACATAACATTACATACCATTACATACCATTACATACCATTACATACCATTACATACCATTACATACCATTACATACCATTACATACCATTACATACCATTACATACCATTACATACCATTACATACCATTACATACCATTACATACCATTACATACCATTACATACCATTACGTACCATTACATACCATTACATACCATTACATACATACATACCATTACATACATACATACATACATACGTACATACATACATACATACATACCATTACATACCATTACATACCATTACATACCATTACATACCATTACATACCATTACATACCATACCATTACATACCATTACATATCATTACATACCATTACATACCATTACATACCATTACATACCATTACATACCATTACATACCATTACATACCATTACATACCATTACATACCATTACATACCATTACATACCATTACATACCAATTACACTACATCACATTACATTACATTACATGACATTGCATTACATTGCATTACATTGCATACATTACATACATACATGCATACATACATTAAATTAATGCATTACATTACATAACATTACATAACATTACATAACCTTACATAACATTACATAACCTTACATTACAAAACACTACATAACATTACATTACATTACATTCCATCACACTACATTACATTACATAACATTACATTACATTACATTGCAATACATTACATTACAATACATTACATTACATTACATTACAATACATACATACATAACATACATACATGACATTACATGACATTACATTACATTACGTTACATTACGTTACATTACGTTACATTACGTTACATTACATACCATACCATACCATACATACGTATATGTATACATATATATATATAGCAACCAGCAAGAAAGTGCACAATAAAAACTATTCCAACCAATCGCTTTAGATATCTCAAGCTAGCAACATAATTCAAGTAGCCTCCAAATGTTGTTAGCATTGATTTGTCCATCTTTTGCGGGGGTTGCTATAATGATAAATATCTACTGAATCAGACCTGCAGTTCACCTATATACTTATTTCATCTTATTTCAAACAATTCGGCTGGGCTAACTAGGGGGGACCACATTGAAAGGTCATAGTCATTGGCTGAGAAACAAGTCCAAACTGGCCGCAGGGCTGAATTTAAGCACGCACTAAAGTTGTTGTGTTGTTGGGTAAACTCTCCCCGTCTGCCCCTCTATACATCTCTCGCTCTTTATCCCTCCAATGTTTAGCCATGACCATGCGATGTTACGACCATAAATCATGGGACCCAGAGATGTGTTTTTTTCATGCAGGAACATGTGTTAACTGCTACCATCATCCAATGACTGATCCAAACCCAAATCCAGCCATAGGGGCATTGGTCTGGATGTGTGTTCGTTGTTCCTGCGTCCACTGCATGTGCCTCGGGGGCTGCAGCAGTGAAGATGTCCAACATAGCTCTGCAAAACGGCCCATTTATACACGTTTTAGCCTTTATTTTTTCATGTTTTTTCCATAGCTATGTGAGTTTACCAGCAGATAACATAGCCTCTTGTAACATGGATGTGGAAAGCCTATCATGTGTGAATCATTGTTGGATGGTGTGTTTTCCCATGGCTTAAAGCCACATCTCCAGCTCCATCGGCATGGCATCCCCAAGCATCCGTGCCGTAGAGCGTTGGACCAAGCAGTGGCTGACAGCAGGCTGATGAAGGTGGGAGACCTGGGAGGTGAATTCACCAGATGTGTGTCAGGTCATATATATATATAATGTCAGCCCCGGATTAATAAGCCATGGTTTATTAATTAGGGGGGGTACTCCTCCAATAGTCATAATCCAATACTTAAATGGTTCCCCCCAATTAACCAGCCTAAGGGTTTATTAATCCAGGGTTGACATTATATATAAAAATAATATCATGTACATATAATAACAATAATAATCACAATAGTCGTATATATATATATACAAACACACTATAAATAATATATATATATACATATATACTATAGATATATATATATATAATAGATTAACCTATGTATACTGAAATATCCCACTTTCCCACTGATCTGACCCGGGTTGGCTATAATCTAACCAAATCTAACCAATCGCGGGGTGGGGGGATGGATGTCCTCTGGGAATGAAACATGGCTTGCTGGGAAATCCCTGATTTGGTTCGGAGGTTTCCCATTGTTCCCATGTTATCAGTGTTCAAAAACCCTCTGCCATTTCCTTGCACTGGTTTGTGAGTTGTGTTATTCCTCTATATATTGGTTAATAAAATTCCCCAACCAATCATGAACAAAAGCCGTGGTTTGGACAACTGATCCGTGTCAGTGTCCGTCTGAGCTGTGAACGTAAAGCTGTCCATGTACTCTGAATACCTCAGCCAGCTTCGCTCGCTGGTTGTTGACCCCCACGGCTGGAATCAAGTCATGGACAATCTCGGACACCCAAAAAATACAGCTTGAGTATTGTACAAGAAGAATTCACTGTGTAAGAATTTGAGGGGCTCGGTTCCAAGATGGGCTATATATTTTCAGCTATACCAAACACATAGCACGTTAAGAATTTGAGGGACCCTGGAATCAGACTGCCAAATTCTTAAATTACTGCTAATACGTGACCCCTTGTACTGGAGACTTCGAAACTAGGCGGGTACAAACATAATCCGTAATCCTCCTAGTCCTGGTTCTTTCACTAATCCAATGCGTCATCCGGTGCTCGAGTGTATACCCGCACGAGCAGCAACCCACCCACCAAAGCAACCAGCAACCCAGGAACCAGCAGAGAGCCAAGCAGCCAGCAGAGCACCCAGCAGCGCCCCAGGAGAAGCCCAGCACCAACAGCCGCAGCAGCAGGAGCAGCCAACCAGCACCCTCAACTCGCCTCCTTCTCCGCCCGCCGGGGGGCTACGACTAGCAATTGGGAGCCCGGCGCTGCCCCATTAGAAGGGGGGCCAATAGTCTAGTGGAATAAGGCGTCGAAACCTTAACTTTAATTGTGAAGAGCAGAAGCTCGATCCCGCCTGTGTCCCTCTGCAAAGGTGCCAAACTCCAGCTCGTTGCCTTTTTTAATCTTGCTCCAAATTGTGCAGGTGCCTGCAATACAATACTAAGAATGCCTTAAGAATTTGAGGGACCCTCGGCCTGTTGTAGCGTAAATTTGCCCGCATTAAAAAATAAGAATTTGAGGGACCCTGGACCTCAAGCTTTCGGATTCTTCACCAGCGCTCGGGCTGTATCCCAAACATATGTCTATATATATATATAGACACATTAATACATACATATACATACATCATATATACACGCGAATATATGTATCTGACTGGAATTGATATACCGCCACAGTTTGGAGCAACAGATTCAAAAAATACTCAAAGTTTGAAACTAGACCTGTATTCGGCGTGCTGGTGATCCTCTTTTTTCGTCTGGAGATGGAATGCGCAAACATGTCAGTCATGCAGTACTGTTCAATGCAGTGAACAACAACTTACTGTACATTGGGGTATGCCTTACCTCTTGATACAACTTCGTCAATGTCGAAAGACCATCTTTGCTGGTTCTTTCCCCCATGACTCCATGACATTCCATGACTATGTATTTATTATGTAATCTAAAACGCGTCCTCCAAACTCCAAACCACAAATTCAATCAAATTCAGTGGATTATGACATCTTCAAGGATCTTCTTCCATCAAAATCACTTCAAATTATCTCAACGCCAGAGCCATCCTCATGACATTTGTGGGCGCTCTTAGTTACCCTGCATAAAGAAATCACAACAGAACAGAGCTCATAAAAAAGTTGGTCAGATAAAAATCCCCTCATAGCATCAGCAAATATATTATTTTACAGCCCAAACAAACCCCAAGTTGACCCCAAACATTCCAGTCTCCGAGCCGCCTCCGCCAAGCCACCTGCTGACCATCCGCAATGCCCAGGGCCAGGTCCGCGTGCCCTGCGCGAAGGAGGCGATGGTCAAATTGAGGCGCGTGGAGCTGCGCCCTGGTTGCGCGAAGAAGTGGAGGGACAGGGGCCACTCCGAACACCTCGAAGGCTCGAAGGAGGAGGCATGGCTGACCGGCTGACCCAATGATTCCTTTACAAGGTACCACTGGATCCATAGGCCCTGATGATTTCTGATATGTTGAGTTTGGTTGGCTGAAGTAGGCGTCTCCCCCTCAACCACAATGAGCTGCCTTCCTTGTGACTTGTTTGGTATGTCCACCACACTCCTCAGGGCTCACCCCATCAACATTATATATAAAGTAAAATAAACATCATATTATATTGTAAATCCTAGCAAACCAGAAAAACTAGTTATTTACACCTATTTTAATAGGATCTTGCTTTCCATCTTTTGGGGATTGCATGGGGTGGCTATATCAATTTGTTCTCTGCCACTCCTGCGGCCCATGTCAGTCGATGGGTTATTTAAGCAGGTGTTTCCAGCGCTATGACATGCTATGACCCCACAGTCCCACTGTTATTCTCTTTCACAGTTATAAATGGGATTATACATTTATATGTGTGTATATTTATAATGTTGTATAATCTTAGTTTTCCATTTATATATATAATTACATAATTATATAGTTATATTTCTATATCTATATATTATATAATTATATATATATCACATTCTATAATTGTTGGTTGGGCCATAACTGCACCCTCAAAAAAACTGAACAATGTTGACACTGCCAGGGGCCCGTCGCTCTCTTTTCCGAGATCAGTGTTGGTGCCTTTGTCACGCGCTTGTCTTGCGCATCAAGGGTTGCGGCCTTCCTTCCAGTGGTGCTCACGATGATTGATCACGATCATCTTCCCCCACTGGGATTGGTCAGTCTTGCACCCCTACAGAAACACAGAATTATCATGAATGATTATAATTACATGTAATTACCTGATGACAGAACTTTGGGCAACACTTATGAAGCCACCAAGAAATCAGAGAGAAACAAAATCAGTTTCGGAGCACAACTTGGAATGAACAGCCAATCAGCAGCTCGGCTCACGGCTCTCAACGCCATTTCTCCGAGGGACGGTGCCACGGTGCCGTCGCTGTCTCTCAGCTTCTGCATTCCTCCACACTTTTCGACCGCCCGCGGTGCTCAGCTGCCCCCCACAATGATGTTGTTGATGGGGATGAAGACCAGCTTCACTGTGTAGCCAATGAAGCCCATGATGGAGAAGCCAATGGCACAAGCGACGGCAATCTTCTTGAACCTTGGAGATTGTGGACTCTTGTGGGCTCTTGTGGGCTGTGATTAAGAATGATTGATTACTTCAAAACGGACAAAAAACTCAAAAAACTGGACAGTTTAAGATTGCTCAACAGGCTCAACAGGGGCCAATGAATCTTAAGTCTTAGGCATCCACTGAAACCCCAAGAATGCTCCATGGAAGGTGTCGCACCCCCTTGATCCATGAAATCTGTGGATGCTCCGCTGGAAACTTCGGGTCGTTTGCGTCACTTGCAGTCACCAACAACATCGAAGGTAGATTAAGATAGATCCATAGCAATGAACAAGACAATGGGATAAATGATCAAATATATGCAAAGATCAAATATCAATATATTTTTTGTGTTCAAGGATGAATGCAGCATAGATATACATATATATATAATTTAATATTATATATATACATATTACTGTAATTGTCAGCCAGCTGCAATCATCATTGAACACAAACAAAGATGGCATCTGCTGGTGCGTCGAGGAACTCTTTGGCATCAGGCTTGGTGCAGCGTTGAATCAAACGCCGGGAGTCCATGCCAAACTCAATGGCGCCCTGCACGCAGTAGCCAGCTGGGTTGTTCTTGTCAGTGAGGAAGGCAGGCATTCCACTTAACTTTGTTGCCATCGCTGCCTCTCAAAGTGGCCACAAAACTGTTGAGATGCGCTTGCTGCTATCTTGAGCCCAAACAAGAGACAAGCAACTCTGTCAAAATAAATAGAAGAAACATAAGCTGGCACATGTCATCTGGATAATTCATCTAAAACATCTCAGAGGTAAGGTCCTACAATTGATGTGGCTTCTCAAGACCATCAGAAGCTGTCATTTGAGCCATGGCACTGGCTTCGAACTGACCTAGTCTAGAGAACACACCCATGGTGGCACTGGAAACTAACAAAGGAGATGGAAAACCCACGCGAAAACCCCACGGAAATTCTCTACCAATGGTGGGTTTTCCGCATCTTATCCTACTGGACCGGAATTTTACAGACTACATCCCAAAATCAGATCCAAACAGTGAAAGATCAATGATTGGATACATAACATATCCTTTACTCAGATGTTCAAGACATTATTTTTATTTATTTTTGGACATACAGTAAATATAATTAGAGGATGTTTTTTTAAAGGGATCCCCAAAGCCATGGATTTCAATACTAAAATGGATTTCAATACTGTATTTTGGGATGAGTTGGGGTACCCATGGGTACCCGGTTTTAGGAAACCTCCACATACAGGTAGACCGGTAGACCCAATGAAGGTTTCCCCAACTTTCTCGGGGAACTCCTCAACAAGTCACGCAGCGATGGTGGCATTGTAGGTGATGCTATCTGCCTGTTGCCGTAGCTGGGGTGGTTTATGCCAGCTGTATCAACAATCTTTATTGGCTTTGCTAAAATAAAAATCACTTCTAACTGCAGGACACCACCCTGTATGTGGATCATTCATGATCATTAGCCCTTCTTTTCCCGGGATGTATTGGGACATAATGAATAACCATTCTGGCATATGGCAACATCTAAACACAGAAAAAGCCCCACCAGATATGAGTTGCTTTGCAACACCATTTATGATACCTCCACCCAAAATCCTAGTCAGCCTAGTGAACTAAACCAACTTTCCTATCATTTGGGGGCCCTTTCCTGTGCTTTCCCCCTAACATTGTTATTATAGCCATTATGTTTACTGATATCAGAACAATTTCGATATAGTATAGATCCAAATTCAAAAACCAGACTTTCTAAGGGGTGATTCTCTGTCATTTTCAGGGAGATGACCCAGCTGCGGCTGCATCACTCAGCTTGCGCCAGTTCTTTTCGAAAAGGCGCCTCCAAGCTGTGCCAGCGATACGTCCTCAAGAGATCCACCGTTGCCTTCCATTGGCCGCCTTTCCTGCAGGTGGCACATCACGGCACTGCGGTAGATTAGGGGGTGGATTGGTTTGAAGGGACACCTTTATAGCAGAAACCCATGGATTATCATGGATTATCATGGATTTTGACCACCCAAATCTGATGGTCTTGGGGTTTCGGGGACATGTTGCCATGATTCTGAGATATTCTGGGCTACATGAATTGGGTAGTCAATGAAACGCCTGACACCATGGCGGGAAAACATATGATAGCATACAAAAACGGTGAGCTTTGCACGTGTTGCTGCTTGAGGGCATCAAATCTAAATATGTGAGAACAAACGAATACGGAACATCATAAACATAAACATACAGTTATGAAATAACAACTCCAAGAACTAAGGCTATTTATAAGATATATATATATATGTGTGTGTGTCATTATAATCCCATTTACTGCATATCATTTATAGCTGTTGAGGGCTATAACTGCATCACAAGAAAAAACAATTCCAAACATATTCTTCACTGCTTGTTTTTGTTGTTTTTTCTTCCAAAAGCTCTTGCTGCTGGCTTGTCTGGTTCCTTGGCCATCAGAAACCCCTTGGCCACTATTTAAACTGCACTTTGTTCACACACATGAAGGTTTCTTGAAACAAGGGTAGTTAAACAATACGATTCTTTATCATCCAAAACTGATCATTCTCAAAAAAAACTCACATTTAATGTAGGTTGACCACAAATTCACCCACACAAAAGCCATGTTAACCCCAGGAACTTGTCATATAACCACCTTTTCCAGCTGAGCCACTCGCAAGCGCTTAAAGCTGCATTGAAAGTGATGGAATTGGGCTCTACCTGAGCAGCCATTCCCAATCGTACTGGGGATCCCGGGAAAAAAAAAAACATGGAAAATTGACGAACCATTAACCATTAAAAACCTGAAATTATCATGTCTATAGGCTATAGACTTTGTTCTCTTAGCTATAAACGATGAAGCTTTTCCCAACTGCTGCCCGAAGCCGCACCCGGTGGATCCAGGCCTCCCGGTTCAGAACACTCTGCAGCAGGTGCAATGCCATGCTCCAGGCGTGGTACCCGTCGTGGCACGTTTTGACAATGGAACTGAAGGTGGAGATGCCTCAGCTGAGCACAGATCGATGGTTTTACAGATTACTTTAGGACTTTAGGATGACCACCGTGGCTAAAGGAAAAAAACAGAACATGAACAATCACGACAAGGTTTTGGCGGTTTGAAGATGGCGGGCACATGACCAATGACCAAAAAAAAAGGAGCTTCCAACATCTGGAGATCGAAGATACTCTGCATAAACATTTGCTGTCTGGATCTATCTGGTTCGTTTATGTCTCATGTCTGAGGTCCAGTTGCTCGGTTGCACCTGTTTCAGGCTGCTGAGCATGTGGCACGACATGCGCCAAGAAGTGCATGTAGAAATGACCTGAAGTGAAATCACTGCATATCTGGTCAGCCCGGCGCGAACTCATGGCATCTCATGGCATGGAACAACATTCATTGCCATAAGAAAACTACTTGCCAACCCCTCTAATCGGCACCTAGTGGCAGTGTTGAAAGTAACAATGTTGGCTTCTAATTCTGCACGTTGCATTTGGAGGAGCACCTCAGGATTGGTGCACGGCATCAGGTCTCACTGTCTCACTGGTTCTTACTGGGTTGGTTTAAGGGAAACAATGGTTTTTACAAGTCAAACATGGAGGTTTTCTGCAAATGTTCCGTCCAACTGGGAAGTCTTCACATGTTTTTTTGTGATAGCTTTCTCACCTTCAAGCTAGCTCCAAAATAACTTGGAAGCCTCACTACCATGTGATCCGGCTGAGCCACGAGGTTCGAGGAATGGGCCTGTTTGGTGACTTGCTGTGAACCACTAGCATGTCAACTTGTTTTCTCCGAAACCTCAGAACAACTAAAACTACTGAGTGTACTGTCTGATCTGTATGTGAATCATCTGTGAATCTATCAAACAAATGATGACGTCCAAAATCGCCCAAGCCGATTTGCCTTCTCGGCTCCCATCCACCTCTCCTGTAGGGAAAGGCCCCAGCACAGGCCGTGGCACCGCCCCAGCTATGCTCCATGCCGCTGGGCTCACGCATGCCATGGCTGCAGTGGAACTCACCACGTCGGAAGGGAGGAGGGCCATGGTGAAACGCCAAGCATCCGGGCTCTTGGAAACCTCAGTGCGGCTGGGGCTGGAAGGGGTCCATGGGGCTGCAACATGATCAACACCTGAAGAATCAGTACTGTATACCCTCTGGTAATCAAACGTGGCTGGCTAGAAAATCACCAATCAATGGAGGTTTTAAAAGGAAAATCCTCTATAGATAGTGGATTTTCCATTGGCACGCTTGAATAGCGGAGGGTATAGATACAATATGATACACCAATGTTACCCAATGTTGGAGATTCATGAGGTGACACCATCGTTCTTTTCCTGAAACCTTCAGTAATTCAATGACGGCACTGGACAAACGTAATCAGACGTTTAATTAAAAAGGCAATGCCTTGGAGACTGTTTGCCCGAAAAATGCACAAAATCCATCATGCAGAAACATGATTTCGCAATATATCGCACCAAAATCATTCAAGAAATCAACTCAATCGAGGTCCCATCTCTTCCGCCCAGTCGCGACCTTGGGCAACACGCCGCCGTCGTCCCGCATGCAGCGGAGGCCGCGCAACAGCTTCAGGGCCAAAGGCCAGCCATGAGGCCCCACCTTCTCAAGGAAGGCCACAGTGGAGCCTGGGATGCTGTGGCCGCTTAGCCTCCTGGAAAAACGATGAAAAACGCCCTCCCCTTTCATCCCCTTCCAGACCACCAACAAAAATCATTGGCGGATCGGAACTTTAGAAAGCAATGGAGGAAACAGCGCAATTCAGAAACACACCGTGAATCAGCCAGAATATCTCCAAATGTGGTATTCTCATGTATTCTCATCAATCACTTCACCAGCTCTGTCACTCTACAGCTACGCTGTTGCATTAATTAAGTTCCAGGCGTGGAACAAAAAACAAGATACATGTTAGCAGCAGGCCATGTTGTGGTCATGTGCAACTTTCGCCACTGGTCTAGGGGCAGCAGGAAGCCATTCCTAATCGGGGGTTGAAACTTGCTTGGACAACTACAAGTATGGTTCGACTCAAGCATGGAGGCGTAGTAATAGCATGTAATAGCTTAATAGCTAGATTTTTTCTGGGAGGTACTGTGGTACCAGTATATACCCCCAAAATGTCAACTTCTGCTGATTTTCAGTGAAAGGTCACCAATTACTGAGATCAATTCAGATTATGAACTATGGCTAGCATAACGCCCAAGGCATTTGAACCATCAACCATTCAGCAAAGAGACTTGGGATTGCTTGGGACTTCCCTAGTGGTATTTCTCCAAAAATAGGGCGCCACAAAGTGTCGTATATAGAGATTATCATCATTTTATCAATGGGAATTTCAGGAAACTAAATTCGAGGTACCTACCATATATAAGGCTTATGTAAGGGAATATCCCCACATAATATGGATTTTCCCCTGTAAAATTGCCATTTTGGGTACCGCATACCGGTGCTTCAGCCCGAGACTTCCCCTCCAAGCAACTTGGCGACGGATAGCTGCGCATGTCGGAGGGATGCCTGGAGCAATTTCTGGCACTGGGGACGCTACTGATCATCCTCCGGTAATCAAACATGGCTAGCTGGATAATCCTCTATACATATATATATATATATCAGTGGTGTTTCAGTCGAACGAAATAGTGGATTTCCATGGCCATGTTTAATTACCAGAGGGTAGTGCAATTAGGAATATCTAAATATAATTATGTAATTGGGATGGGATATCTATATTAGATATGTAGTTATAACACAAATTGATACACATTGTTACAGTTACACATTGAGGTTTATTAGTACTACCAACTACTACCACGTATAAGTATAAATCTATAAACATAATCCCATTGCTTTAATTACTGCCCACATCGGGCTCTTAACCCCCGCCACAACAAAGCACGCCAAATCGGGGAAACAAACAATACAACTCCCCGCAATGAAATACGCCAACCGTTTTGAAGGGGGATACTTTTTATAGTGCTTTGATGCATAGTTACAAGAGTACTCTTACGTTCTGCACGTGCTGAGGTCTGATGTTTTACTTCTAATTATTGAGAACTTCAAAGGTCTGATTTTGTCCCCCCCTGATTGGCTTACAAAATCACGATCTAAAGCTACAACATCCAAAATCTTCTCAAATTTGACCCTAAGCTTTCCATGAACAGATCTCTCAAACATGAAGTCGCTTCAATAAGGCAGTTTGCTCGGCAGTACTAAATGTCCGAGGTCCCAAGAAGTATGGCTGGCCTCAACTCTATTTGTGGCCCGAATGTGTTTGAGGGGGACGGTGTGTTTTAGTTGGTTATAATATCCATTAAATCACTATTTTTGTTGGTCATTATCCCATTGAATCACCATTTTGGTTGGTTTAAATCTCATTAAATCACCATCAGCATTAGTCATTAGTATTATATCTCCAATGTGGGCCCCCCGAATGAATAGATCCAAAACAAAACCAGGGTCTTTTAGGGCGTTTAATATTTGAGCCTTTGAACATATCCCTACCCCATCTCTCCCCTATGAGTTATAAACATCTCAACAACCAGCTAGCACAATTCCTTACAATAACCATCAAGCAGGTGTTTTGAATGGATCATTTAGGGGGATCGGGGATTCCCTGTCACTTCCATTGCGGCCTCGGCAGTAACAGGTGCTGAAGAAGAAGGATGGCCTTCTGCCACCGGGTTTCCTTGGTGCAGAGGCTGCCATGGTCACATGGGTAATTCGTGTTTGTTTGGAGAGCCTCCAAGTTCCTCATCTTTACCGAAGGTATTTTTAGTCATTCTTAGTACCGTTCCCATGTTTTGTGAGGTTCATGAAGATATTTATTATACATTGAGTATGCCAAAAACCTCTCTGAAGATATTGCTAGCAAAAGCATCATGCTCTCTCCCTCCTTTGCGGAGACAAGGAAAAAAACAACTGGTGTCACCAGGAAGATATTCATCAACATGTTCCCATCCAACTCTTAGAACCCCAGCTAAACAGTTGAATTTCAGCTGCTTGGTCCGTGATAAACAACTCAAAAAAAGGCCGTGGGTTAAAGCCCCTGGCACCCTAACATCAAAATAACTGGTGTAGAAGGATCATCATCCCCCCAAAAAAATATGGGACAATTGTTGGTTTCAACAGTCTCAACCAATCATCCCCAAAAAATTGGGGAAACGGTATTGGCTTTAATTAACCAACCCCCGCAAAATCATAGCAAAAAACGCAATCGACCTTACCGCAGGTTGACCCAGTCACCAAGGTTTCCCAAGTGCTGACCAAGCCAAAGAACTTCAAAAGAACGCACTGATGCACCTTGCGTCACCACATCCGTCTCCACATGCAGGGCCTCCTGCCACTCCAATAAACTGGGATAATCTCTGCACTGAGGTTTAGCAAACAATTGATCATTCGATAATTAATAATTTTTAAAGGAACATGGGGTATATCACTTTTCATTTGGTGTGATTTAGTATACAAGTATCAGTATCATGATTAATGGAAATCTGGGTATATCTGCATATATACCAGGCTATCCCTTGATAATGCACAGGATTTGTCTGAATAGGCTGCCCCGGGATTCAACCCAAATAGATTAATTATCAATGATTTTTTTCCAGTTTAAACGTAAAACGTTGGAGGAACGTAGCCCATTTTCAGACATGGTTACCTAGAGCTCGGATGACTTAACTCAGTTGGCTGTGGCTAAAATCAGCCTGGATCTTCCAAAGTGAAGTCACACCACCGTGCAGCATGTCAGTAAAAAAATGTGCAAATTTGCAGGTTACCCTCTTGGAATTTCACAGTTTGCGAAGAAACTCACTATTCTTCATAGGCAAATCATCGAACCCGTCATCTTCCAGAGAGCCGTCTGAAAGACATGGAAAACGGTTCATCGTCAGAGAAGTTCATCTCCTTTGGCATCCCTCTCATCCAAGGCTTTGCCGTGAATCCTTCGTATCTGCCGAATGTCGACGGATTGATGCTGAAGTCCTTTCGTACAACTGTGAACTGGCAAAGTTCAGCCTGCTCCTCAGGCTCTTTGCTTCCTTTCCGGTGATGGAGCACTTCTTTCAGCACCGCGTTTATCCTCTCAACCAGGTCTGATACTCTCGCTTCTGCGTTCTTGATGACAAAGGCTGACAAAGGATTGATTAGGGGGTTGACATTCAAATCAAAAGCCACACCCAAGACATTGAAGACCTTCGCAAGGTCGACATTCTTACTCCAGTGGAAGCCCAAGATGCTGAAGAGAGTTTCGACTGTTATCTTGGTCCCCTTTGCTAGTGACCCATTTTAACGTAGCAACGTTAGATTATTAAATTACTTTACTTCGTGTGATCCCCACCATCACATTTATGCATTTTCTTACTGGCAAATCTTCTGGCATTCTATCTGACATATCTTCTGACATTCTATCTGGCATTCTATTTGGCATTCTATCTGGCATATCTTCTGGCATATCTTCTGGCATATCTTCTGGCATTCTATCTGGCATATCTTCTGGCATTCTATCTGGCAAATCTTCTGGCAGTCTATCTGGCAAATCTTCTGGCATTCTATCTGGCATATCTTCTGGCATTCTATCTTACATATCTTCTGGCATTCTATCTGGCAGATCTTCTGGCATATTCTGACATATCTTCTGGCATTCTATCTGGCATATCTTCTGGCATATGTTCTGGCATATCTTCTGGCATTCTATCTGGCATATCTTCTGGCATATGTTCTGGCATATCTTCTGGCATTCTATCTGGCATTCTATCTGGTATATCTTCTAGCATTCTATCTGGCATTCTATCTTGCATATCTTCTGGCATATGTACTGGCATTCTTTCTGGCATATCTTCTGACATTCTGTCTGGCATATCTTCTGACATTCTTTCTGACATTCTTTCTGGCATTCTATCTGGCATATCTTCTGACATTCTATCTGCCATCTTTTCTCACATTCTTCCCGTTGAGGTCCGGCAGTGCCCACTGCGATCTGGAAGTCGCGGTTGAGGTCCGGCAGTGCCCACTGCGATCTGGAAGTCGCGGTTGAGGTCCGGCAGTGCCCACTGCAACCTGGAAGTCGCGGTTGAGGTCCGGCAGTGCCCACTGCGATCACTGCGATCTGCAAGTCGCAGTGGAGGTCCGGCAGTGCCCACTGGGATCTGGAGCTCGCGGTGGAGGTCCGGCTGTGCCCACTGGGATCTGGACTGCGAGGAGGAGGCGGAGGCGGAGGCGGAGGAGGCGGAGGCGGAGGAGGAGGAGGAGGAGGAGAACTCTGATAAAATCCAACAACCCTCACCTGGCAGGTGGGGAAAAAAACAAACATCATTTTGGATATTGTAATGAAATACAACTAAACTTCCAAGTGCGCAATTGTTGTACCATTTCTTTGGCGGTTAAATCCCATTTTCTTGAGGCTTACCTGCTAGTAATTTACCACTTCGCCATAGAAAAGTACAATTTTAAAAGCACATGATTTACTGTACCAAGATTTACCTCTTACCTCCCTGGCCATTCTCCACGGCAAACTTTTGGGTTACCAGGCTAGCAGTGAGCAGAGTTAAATTTACATTTTCATCCATTTCCAAATGAAATCCCAAGTTCTGATAAGTTTTAGATGGTCATAGTTAAATCCCAAGTTCTGATAGGATTTTCCATCATTTTCCCATCATTTTCCACAAGTTTTCCTACATTTTTCCATCATTTTCCAACAAGTTCCCTAGGTTTCACCATGGTTTCCATGGTTTCACCCCCATTTCACCCGCCCCGCCATGCGTTGGAGCGACTGCAGGACATGGCGCCAGTCGCCTGCGAGGCCGGCGTTGCAACAGGCCAGGTCCGTTGAAGCTAGCGACGAAAAAAGGAAGGTCCTGGGGCGAGGCCGGGGTAAAGCCGAAAATGGTACTGGTCAATATTAACAATAGATATACATACATACATATATATATTATCATAATATTTAAAATATTAATGACAATAATAGTAATATAAAAATAATAATATAGTAATAATAATAATAACAATAACAACAATAATAATATATATATACACACTATAAAACTATATATATATATAAACATAGTGTTACTACCAATGTTATTGTCATTTTTGCTTTTATCATTATGATTGATAGTAATGGGTTAATATTAAAATAGTTACATATACAGTGACATTAATAACAATGATAGTAATTATAGGTATATAATGTTTTGGTGATCATGGCACATATTTATAATGATAATGGTAAAAATGATAATGATAGTGACTATGAATGATAGTGATAGTTCAGATAGTTACACATAGTTGCTATCATTATTATGTTTATTATTGCCGTTATTGTTACCATCATGATTATCATTATCATTATCATTGTGATTATCGGGAAGTGAATGAGACATGGGCTGAGGAAACAAACAAATACACTTATAGCCTAGTCCTTGAAAATTATAAATGGGATTATTTCATGATATATAGCCTTAGATATGGGAGTTCTAATCCCGTTTGGAACTGTTGAAGGCCATAACTGTAATAATAAAAATGATAATAATAGTAACAGTAGTGGCTTTTGTTGCTACTGATAGATTGAAAAGTAGTAGTGGCACTAAGCATAATTGTTAATAATGCTAATAACAAAATAAATCTTCAACAATGGTTGTTTGGGGATGCGAAAATCACTATGCTAAGAACTGTTCGGTTGCCTGGTGACTAAGTTAACCCGGACGGGCTCATGACTCAGAACAACGATAATTTACAGTAATCATTCTAAATCTAGTAGTAATGATTTAAAAACGATAGACATAGCAATGATACATACAGATATAACAATCGCACTATAATCACTAATCGTAAAAACATGTGATCAACCAGCCTCAATGCAATGTGGTGCCCAGTTCAAAGCTTATGTTCAACCAAAATGAACTATAAATTTACCATAAACCCTGCATGTCGTACTTATCAAGCAACTTAGCCAACTGGGAACGGTTTATTAGTGGGCATGGTCTATGTATTATAAATGGATTGTTTCATACTGGGTTTAATGGTTTGATCCCAATTGATAATAAACTACCCAGCAACTGGGAGTGCTTTTTGCCACCCATTTATATATCTTGATCTTGGGCATGGTTTCTTACTGGGTTTACGGCAACCTTCCTCGTTTTCCCGGAAATTGAGTAGTTACACCCCAAATTTGCAATTTCAATGTGGAACATGGTGATAATCCTGGGGTAAATCCAAAGTCCTTCCAGACCATGGCCTTTCGCAAATATTTGTCGTCCTTCTTAGGATACCACGGTATAACTACCATGCGTCCGGATATGCCGATGCTACTGGGATCATGCTAGTACAAGTAAATTCCTCTGAAATCACTTTGTGGTTACCCCTTTGCACCGCCCATGGAGGTTCACTCCTTGGAAAACAAAAAAACATCACAATTATTTCCAAGAGCTCCAACCTATCAACTTACGTCCAGGGACTCTATACTTGCGTCTTGCCGAAAACCCTGCTCCCAGCGTATCCAAGCGACCCTCTCTGCCAGTGCGTGTTTGACCCGCAGACTTGAATCACAGCACTGCAGCAGAAATCGTTGGCTTCAACATGCAGGACTCGCATCTTGAAGAAACCAAGCCTCAGCAGTGAGTATTTCACCCCGTCGCTACAGATCCTGGATCCGACAGAGAAAGCATGGGGAACTATACATGATGAACACAGCACATTGATAATTTATTCAATTTAAAATTACACATGATAACAGTCTATGACTCCTTTAGCACTGCAAATCTGAGGTACCCTTTGCAGTTTTTTATCAGCTCGCGGGTATTTAGGTGTTGCAGGTTTCGGCATACATGGATGTGAATGGATGTGATTGGTTTCTGGTGGGTGCACAAACCTAGAACAACCAAGAAATTGACCACAACAGGTGATGATATATATATATATATATATATACATGGACTCTGAGATTCAATTTGAATTCAACGTGCCTACGCATGGTATAATAACCAACAAAATGCGAGTTGGCTTCTATATGCTTCTATGATGCACGCTTGTTTCTACTCTGTCTGTACAGGTTAAAGGTCTCATACTTATTGAAAATACATTAAAGTATGCCCCAATATTTTTGAGTTCTTGTCCTGTGTCATGCTTGATTCAGATCTGGCTCAGGGTTTACCCCGTGGCAATCAAACATGGTTTGCCGGACATTTCTCCATTTAGCCCGATTATTTTATATAGTTCGATGCCCATGGCTACTAGTTCGGGGATTTCTCAGCAATGTTTGATGACACCGGAGGGTAATTCAACTAGGAAGCAACAGTAGACCACTTGGCTGACGAGACTTGTTTCCAAAACAAACCCTAAATCCTAAACCCTAGAATCTAAGTTTATGAGATTTGTGTGGAGCCTGGGACGGGGAAACCCTAAATAAATTGTTTAAAGTTTAGTCAAGTCATTTTTTGGTAATTGTTTGGTCATTTGCCTTGCTTGGCTGTTTTTTGGTCATGTTGTGCTCGTTCCAGATTTGGTTGCTCATGTGTTTGTCATTTTTTGGTAATTGTTTGGCATTTTTTTTGGTCATTGTTTGGTTGTTTTGGTCATTGTTTGGTTGTTTTTTGTCGTTTTTGCATGCCCTTCCCGAAAACGACAAAAAATTATATACCAAAACACGACCAAAAAATGACCAAACAACGACAAGAAAATGAGGAACCAAATAAGAAAAAATCTGGAACGACCAAAAAACAACAAACAAATGACCAAACAAATACAAAAAAAACGATGAAAACATTACCCAAGAATGAAAAAACATGATGAGAAAATGCGCAACCACATCTAGAATGACCAAAAAGAGACCAAAACATGACAACATAATTCTTTTGAACTGCCCCAGTCTGAGGCTACAAAAATATCATAAATCTATAGGGGATCACGAATAGATGGCATCTTCACTGCGACCGGCAACATGGCATATCAAGCGAATGTCACTTTTTTTGAATGATTGCATACGAATAGGTGGGTGGCCCTTGTTTTGCCATCTTAGCGGGCCTGCCCCAGTAGGAATAGCAGAATCGCTACGATCAATTCAAAGAAATCTAACTTATGCCATCGTATGTACGTCTGACATGAAACCCTAGTAAGCCTTGAAAGTAAAATCTTATTAAAACCACGGTAAACACAACCTGAAAAACAAAATGAAACCCTAAAGAAACCCTAAAGAATTGGCCCCAACCTCTGGGCAGCACCCATGGCCTGCGGGCATTTTTTTACATAGTTTCACTATTTATATAAATATAAATATATATATATATATTTATTGTTACCCTTATTTGCCAATTGTAGTGATGATTTCTGAACATTGGGTGATTATCTAACATTATTTGAACAATTATGTCAACAAGTATTAAAAAATATATAATCCACTATTTGTACCACTCTTTGAACAAGCATTAAAAACATGATTTAAACCATTATTTATACCATGATTTGTACCTTATTTCAAACACCAAAAGGCCAAAAAACATGGTTAATTTTGATCAATAACATTATATCACAAACATCTACCAAATTTAATCATAATTCGTATCACTGTAAGACCTATAAGCCAACATATACCTATCTATTTATATATATATATTATGTATTTATCAATTTATCTATTATTTATTGGCAATAAACAATCAAAACAATCCAAGAAACACCGCCCTCGCCCAGCTGGAAAACCGGAAGGACCCGGAGTAACTTCGGACCTCAAGGTTAAAACAGGACATGCTGCAGGCATCATGGACCTAAAATGGCTACTTCATGGGGATTCAAATTGCAAATGGTGACTGAATGGATAGTTGTGGTTTAATGGTGGTTTAGTGCATTTTTGTGGTTATTAATGGTGATTAAATGGTGGTTTCATGGTTCTGAGTGGATTTATGAATGGATGGAATTAAGATTAATGGCCCGGAATGGTGGTCTAATTGTCATTTCATGGTTCTTGAATTTCACCCGCAATACGTGAAATTTCATATACTATCAGAAATTGTGATTCACCATCCGCCCAATTAACATATATAGACCCTGCATTTCCAATTTTGGGAATATATAGTCTTTCAAACCCCACTTAGGACGGGTCTATGTGAGCTAGTTGGAGAGATGGCCACGTTCAATATATTACATGATTACTCTATAACCCGCCATTTCTTGCAAATCGCTCTGACCCAGCCCTAAAACTACAATAACAATCACCAACGACAAGAACAAACCATACAAGCAGCAGCTTGCACGGGCTTTGGGCCACTGCTCATTTGGCTTGAGGACTTTTAGTCTTTCGGTTACGTTGAAAACGTATGGATTTCTGGTGGGCAGAAATGCAGGGACTGGAAACAGAAGTCTATGGATGATACTCCAACACACGTGGAAATTTAAATACCCTCTGTTTATTTGACATAGCTATGGAAAATGGCCCATTTATAGATGTTTGATAATGATTTACCATGATTATAAACATGGTGATTTTCCACGGCTACGTTAGATTCATTTTTGCCGACCTTCTTTCGGGCCCACATCATGTCGCTGACGCTTTGTCGTCCTTCTGGCCATACCTTGTCCCAAATGACCTCAACTGACTCATCCTTCTCCTTGGTTTGAAAGGACAACATGAATCCAAAGGCCGGACGGACCGAGTGAACCTAGTAATTACTTCCATGTACTTCCTGCCTTCAGGGCTCGGACTTTTTGCTCCGCGACAAGATCTTTCGCGCGTTTGACCTGATCCTTCAGGCGCTGCATTTCTTGGCCGTAGATCGAAAAGGTTTTGGCACTGCATCGGCCAAGCCGCTCAGGCGAAATTGGATGAAATTAGCCCATCCAATCATCGTTCTATGTGCGGCTGATCTCCTGCTGCCACTTATGGCGGTAAAGCTGTAGCCAGTTGCGAGCTACTCTCACAAAAAAGCGGCTCTGTATGTATATGTATATGTATATATATATGTGTATATGTATATGTATATATATATATATAAATATTTTCTTCTGTCTGTTGGGAAAAGTCAGCCCTGCCCTGTCTCAGTATGAGACAGGATGTGTGTATGTGGTCGTGTTTGGGTAGTGAGTCGCTCAAGTACAACTAGGTTAAGTGGTAACCCATTTCCAACTGGGGTGGAGCTGAAATGCCCAGTCTTACTTGGAGAGTCGACCATCAGCCAGGATCGTGCAGGAACACTTTCCCAACCCTGCCCCATCACACCTGCAATGGTTAGCTTTAAACATTGTCTTTGATAAATGACTAAACAAAATAATCCCCAACACCAGTACTTCTGGGATGCTACCTTGCAATATGGGTCTATCTGAAAATAAGGTCCCACAGTCATACCACGCTTGATCATAATGTCCAACCAAATATCACATAATTTTCCAACAAAGTGTGCTATCCTCATCTCCCAGCATTTTACGACAAACATCCGTATTAACCCCCGTGACTGACTTGTCATCGCCATATGCTTGATAAATCCACATCACATCTATGATACCCTCTGGTAATTTAACATAACTATTGAAAATGACAATTTACTGTTGATTTTCCCATAAAAAATGTGATTTTCCATTGCTAATTTTAGTTTACCAGAGAGTATATCCGGTACTGTCACCATTTTGCCAGGTTAATCACCATCTGACCAGATACTGCAAATCCATATTCATATCGCCAAATCCAATTCAATGGTTGATCACAAGTTTCCAACATGGCGATAAATTTGGGCATCCACCACTACATCAGACTTGTTGCGTGCGTGTGCCATTCATCACCATTTCTTACCTACGATTCATCATGTTGCCAAAAGAAAAATATATCTCATTTCTTGCCCCTGAAATCTCATTGAATCCGATTTCTCGCTGACTAAACCATACTAAAACACATGAAAACCGAATGAAACCAACATGTTTGTTGGTAAAACACAGTTTAAATCCCATTAAACCATTATATGTGTTGTTTAAACATTGTTAACCCTCTTAAAATCCCATGAAATCTTCATGTGTGTTGGTTAAATCCGCCAACCCCCATGAGGATCCCGTCATATTATCATATTTGCTGGTTAAACATTATGAAGTCCCACCAACATCCCATGAAATCATCATGCTCGTTGGTTAAACATTGTTAAATTGTTAAACATTGTTTAACTTCATTAAGAGCCCTTTAACTCATCATGTTTGTTGGTTACAACATTGTCGAATCCAACTAACATTCCATGAGGTCATCATGTGTGTTGTTTAAACATTGCTAAACCCATACAAATCCCAATAAGTCATCACATTATGGTGTGTTGGTTAAACCTTGTTAAACCCTATTAAGACCCTATAAATCCTCATGTTTGTTGGTTAAGCATGTTATTAAACACCATTGAAATCAAATTAATTCATCATGTTTGCTGGTTAAACATGGTTTGAGCCCATTAAAATCCCATGAAATCTTCATTTTCGCCACCAAGAAAAACAGCCTCTCCACCATTTCCGAGCCACGCTGGGCCGCAGCTGGTCTCGCTGCATCTCCCGGAGCATCTGCAGGGAGGAGCTCCAAGCGATGGAATTCATGGCGGCCTTAATGATTTTTGGAGGTACCTACCACAATGGTTCTACATATTCTGTCAATGTTCTCAATATCTTGTCAAGGTTCCTGAAACCATTCCATGGTTATACTGAACCTTCCCTACCATATATATATAGATATATATATATATATAGATATATCCATATATAAGCCTTAAAATTCAGGGCGAAGTCTCGGGGACTCTCCCCAGAAAATAATGAAAAAATGGCCTTCATGTGTCATTCCCTGCAGTAGATGGCCCAAGTAACAGTTGCAAATGGGATGACATAACTCCTATAACTCTTATAATTATAATTTCCATTTTGAAGTGTTAAGGGCTATAACTCTCTCTCTTGTTCTGTCTCTCTCTCTCTCCCTCTTTCTCTTTCCATCGCCTTCAGACCATCAGAAGGGCTACAAGTGTATGTGTATTAAATTTAAGGTGTATACGGTACGTATACATTTATGTATATATATATATAGATATGTCAAATACTTTTGTTGTCATGTATACTATATATAATTGCAGACAAAGTGAGAGGGGTGAAATCACCGGCATTGATATTTGGTGATGCAACTTTCATAGCTATCTATCTACCTATCTATCTATCTACCTATCTATCTATCTACCTATCTATCTATCTATCTATCTATCTCTCTCTCTACAGGATATGCTCCTTTGGAAGGTTGGGAATATCGCCACCCAAAATCATTGCCATGGGCTTTTCACCGCAACCACTGTATGGTGAGGCCCAGTTTTCGGCTGAGCGGCGTTGCAGTGGATCACGTCCAGCTGAAGCCTGCCATATGATTCGGATTCATTCGGTGTCATTTGAATTTGCAATGAGGCAAAAATGCTTTTGGGTAATTATACCCCAACTTGGAGTTTCTATAATCTCCCAAGTATATAGGGTTCATCCAAAAATTGAGCACCCCCTAAAGTCCCTAAAGTCGTGTTCCTTTAGAACATTGGGATTTGACGGAACACGCCATGTTCGGACAAGCCCATTTCGATGGTTCGCTGGTGGCTTGGGCATAGAGAGAATTCCAATAGGGTCCGCTTCTAGATTCCAAAGATACCATGAGGTATCATGAGGTGTTCATAGCGTGTCCAGCCGACTTGTCGTTTCAAATCGGCCACCCCGGTCACGATTCTGTTCACGAACGCATGAACGCTCAAGGCGAACATCGCATCCTTCTTAGTGAAACAAAAGTCCAATAATCTGGCAATGAGTACAAGGGTAGTCGAGACCACTGAGGCGCTCACACTCCTTGCTGTTTCACATCTTCCAATATGTTGCCAGCCTCAGTCAACTGAAGATTCACCAACATAAGGATCCATAAAAATGTCAATGTAGCATAATGTATACCTACATCCTTCATAGGAGTACCACATGTCCATGGCTTGCACTGGAGAATAGCATGGGATTAATCACTCAAAAACCCTATCCCCATGAGTGGCGATAGCTATTTAATCGCTGGTAGCTGACTGGAACAAATGGATGTGGGTCATCTTCCAAACAAGCAATGGTTTGGATGTTTTGTAGTTTTTGCTGAAAACCATGAAATGAAATAATTATATTAAATAAAAAACTGGTATGTTAATGTACAACATGCAGAAATTACCTGAACAACCAATTCTGGGAAACATGATTCGAACATATTCGAACATCTTAAAAACTCGTACCAACCAAGTGACAACTGCAACTAGCTTGAAGTACGAAAAACGTGCATCTTGGCACTCGGAAGTACCCATCATTGCTGGTGGCAAACATCATCAAACATCATGAAATTTGCTGATCAAATGAATCCTCATGCTTACTTTGTCAAAAGCACATTTTATCACATGCTGCATCATCTTCTTCATGATGAACTCACCATGCTTTCCCATATTTTCCGAAAATGTTCCCATTAAAACTTGTTCCCTTCATGCCCTGCAGGCACCTTGAACCATCGCTCTGCGCTGAGTCCTGACAGCAGCTTGGTCAAGGAGGCTGCCATGGCACCTGGCCAGCCAGTGGAACTAACATAGATGTGGAAAAGCCATGGTCCCTTACATTCATCATCAATTCATATCATTTCTAGGTAAGTCGCGGCAGCGTCATTAATCATGCTAATCAATACCCACATATATGGAGGATGACTTGGTTAATGTGCAACCCCAAAGCAAGATTTAACATGATTTACTGTAAATCGTTAGCTTCTGATCATGGTGTATAGATATCTCCTAAAGATGCAAGATTGTTCTCGACATGGATCCACATGAACATCAGCGGATCGTTCGTTGAAACGGCCAACCGGCTTAGGAATCATAGCTCATTCCAAAAAAGAAGTCCTTGCCACATCTGCACATTTACACATTCCTTTACACAAAAGTACCACATGTACTTGTTCCAAATAGAGGCCATGTGCATGCATCCCATACACCAGAAGCCGAAGTGTGCAAACAATCTGCATGTGGAGAGTTGTTTTCATAATTCACCTGTAAACGTCAGACACTTCGAATGCAAATTCGGATGGTTGACATGGGATGACTATGCCCTTTCATTCACCATCACTTGCAATGATGTCGCAGGCTTCGGCGTTTGTTTTTGAATCATCCACATTGCTCACAATGCTCAGGCTTTCAACCCGTCCGAAAATGGCCAATGAAAATCAAACCAAGTGTTGCAAAGCAGCAACCAGTAGCTCCCTTCTCCTGGTTCCGATGCGCCTGAAAATCTTGTAGGCCATCACGGTAGTTGAAGTCGCGTGGCCAGTTTGTTGTCTATGGGAGGGACAAAAACAAATGAAGATATGGGTGTCCACATTCACGAAAACAAAAACATTGTTTTCTTTGCGTCGACGTAAACACATGCACATGGTGGCGCGCTCATCCCTTTCCATGTCCGAGTATGAAACCCATTTGGAATGGATCTTGGGTCCTGGACATGGAGGGGTTGATGTTTTGTTTGATCATCCCAGCATGGGATTCCAGATGACCATGGCTCCATGGGAAAGTAAACCATGTTTGGAAGTGTTGACAATGGCACATATGGTAACCCGACATGGGGAACATCATATCCCCATTTTCCCTGGTTAAATATGGTGTTTAGGGAATTATATCCCCATTTGTTCTTAGTTACATCAAGGTGTCTGCGGATTATCTCACCATTTTCCTGCATTCAATCAAGTGAAATCTCCCCCAGAAAATCGGATGGGTTGGGCAGCTCCAAACCCCTTCTTTTCGATGGCCAAACCCTCCAGCAATTCCACCAGCGCCCGAAGACAGCTCCACTCGCACCGCGCGCAGGTCTCGGCTGCAGAGGTGAAGCTGATGACCTCGGCGTCTTTGTGAACAACTAGTTAATATTAAAAACCATTAGTGAATACTAAAAAATAATGACAGTTAATGTTCTTAGTCTAGTGATATTAAGTTGTTGATAGTTAATATGAATAGGTCTTAATATTCAAAGCTCTTGATAGTTTTTTGTATGACTTTATAGTCCGTTCCTGACCGTTCTTAATGATTTTATATATAAATGGTTCTTCACAAACTACAGTTCTGGCCCTATAGCCACTTATAGATGGGATTTGTTCATGGTATAGTTCACCTTAGCTCTAGGAGTCATAATCCCATATATAACTGTTAAGGGCCATAACTGCAGGAAATGACGAATGAAATATGGGAGGTAATCGTTTTGTTAATTAACGATGTGACTATCAGGTGACAAACTGTTTTCGTCAGGATCATGACATGTGATACTTGCCTACACCATGTCAGGTTTGTCTCATGTGACAGTTCTAAGTATGCCGATAACATGGTTACGTGATTATGTGCCAAAGATGCATGTTGATTTCAAATTCAAACATCTGACATATATTCTGACTCAGAACATATGAGATTGCTGATGCAATGATGGGCACTGCAGCCGAGCTCACCCAACAAATTTTGATGGGGTAGGAAGCACGCATCACTTGGCTCTTCATGTTACCATGAGGTCAGGTCAGCAATTTAGCTCGCTAGAATTCGTCCAAGATGGATCCCATTGGGCCCAAGCAAAGGTGAGGAGTGTGCCGGTATGGTATCAAGGGGAGATCAAACACCAAAGATCTCAATATTTAACAGTAGCAACTGCAAAGTGGTGCCCCGTACTTAGAAAACAGTTAATAAGTTGTATTGTATATATATATATAACCTTTTAAGTATGTAGCTACTGTAGGTAAGATTTGTGGTGGGTTTGATTTTAAAACAACTTACAATTGACATCAATTGACTGGCAGCACTCTGTGAGAAAATGCCGATTGTCCCAACCTGGATTCATTCTCCAAGGTTATCAAAACTGCCATCCTCATTGCCGTTCAAAGAATGTGTGTTTCAAGCCAGTATCGTGTACGATTCACATTCCCGTTCTTCGTCTTTGTACGACCTTTCTGTCCGACCTCTTTAAAGAAAAAACGCGTTTCTGAATGACACCTCGAGATTTCGCTCAACATTTCAAATTCATCGATTTTCATCATACCATTTTCCTCTCATATATTCTCGTTTTCATCACACCATTCAATGGATTGGTTTAAGGAGAAATCTACAGGAAACCATTGGTATTCACATGTTTTCTCATTATATGGGTGGTTTACAATCTCAATTCCCCTTAAACCTATCCAATCATCCATGGTTTTTCCCGATGCCCAGTGGCATCACTCTCTGCACTCAGCAGCTCCAACGCCTGACGCCACGGTCTGGCAGTGGACACCGCGCAGCTTTGAAGCGCACCGTTGAAGCTGACCTCAACGCGTTGAGGGCAACCCGGTGGGGAGGGCCCGACCTGGAGATTAGCAAAGGTATGGGCTTCTCATGGCTTAACGGATGCAATGCTGATGCATACACATATGAAAAGCATGGCACATGAAGAAGAAAACATGGGCATTTCATACAAGGGATCTTTTGGAGATACGAACCAGTGCTTGACGCGGTTGTGCGTTGAAGACGTGGAGTGAAAAATAAACAACTTTGGTTTCGAAAGCGAACATTATCCACCGAATTGGGGCTGCACTCAGAGCGACTAGAATCTATGCAAATATCTGAGTATAGATAAAAAAACACTTGTTTTGTCAGGGTTAAATATGCACTTTTTCTTTTTGTACACATGCATAACCTTGTTTAAAAAGAACTTTGTTTTGCAACTTATATGCACGTAGTATACACTTTGAACTCTGGAACTAGGGACCAAGAACATCCCAATAACAAATATAAAGGTGGCTAGTTTCCTTCCCCAGCTATGCAGTAGTGAAACGCCGGCCGGCCATCCCAGAAAGCACCGGGGCACCAGGTTGGGGTCGCACTCAATGCTCCTCATTTCCCACAAGCTTCCAACAGCGTAGTGCCAAGGGCCACTGCTGGCAGGACCCAGCGCATTTTGAAACACCTCATGCAGCGGGGGCTGAGAAAAACAGAAAAGGACATGATCTGAGTGTTCAGGTTCGTCCTTTTAGAATTTGCAGATCCCAGCTGCAATGTTGTGTGGGATGGTTCATAACGGCATCTGCATGATGAACTGCAATTGCCCCTTTGTTTTATTTGGTTTCATAAATACAATTTTCTGATATTCAAAACCCCAGTTTTGCTTGCTGCTGCTTGCTTGATCTCAACATTGTTTGCCTAAATTTCAAATATGTGTTGGCTAACTTCAAGACGACTCCAAAATTAATGTATCCATCAAATCTCTAGCCCTCAGCAGTCACCGTGCCTGAAACAAACTCAGCTCTGCCAGCCGGACATTGGGCTGAGCGGGCTGACAGCAGGAAAAACATCTTTAAGAGGAAAACAAACCTGCCAGTGATGACACTCTCCCTTACGGAGCAAACCTTGACAAACATTACCCCAGCGGAAAAGAATCGCTTGACGTGGGAAAAGGAACCTGCACACCACCCCCTTCCCCCGCGAGGCGTGCAAAGACTAGCCCTTCAACAACATCTCCTCATATTGCTTCTTGCAAATGTTCAGTGTCTCTTGGATCAATCCGACTTTGTGCTTGGCTCCAAGGCACGTTGCTGGGTTCCAAGACATTTTGGGGGGTTGAAACATGAATTTGGATGAATTTGCTTGGTTAAAACCTGTTTTCCATGACTTTTCGTCAGTTACTGTTTTCGCCGAACCTCAGTGATTATTGTCGACACACACTTGGAACATCAAACGTTTTCCAAATGCGCCAGCACACATGCTTAGAAGATCACAAAACAAAAGCAAGAAAGGTATGTTCTAAGTGTATCACTTTGAATAGCAAAAAACACCTCACTTAGAACATCAACACGTATAAACACATAAAACATGCATTTTGACAAGGAAAAAGGTGGCCTGATGTTCTAAGTGTCTTTCCGGCAATGGTTTTGGTATTCTTTTTTGACATTGGAGTCATCACTGAAAATATGGTTTGTCCCACACATTCTGTTCTACGCACATCAAAGCTTAAATGACTGGTTTGAAACATTCCTACACTCAGCCCGGTTTTCTCCATTACTTTTAGTATAGTATAGTAGACAAACATATAGAACATCAACACATAAAACATGCATTTTGACAACGGAAAAGGCAGCCCGATTCTCTAAGTGTCTTTCCGGCAATGGTTTTGGTATTCTTTTTTGACACTGGAGTCATCACTGAAAATATGGTTTGTCCCACACATTCTGTTCTACGCGCATCAAAGCTTAAATGACTGGTTTGAAACATTCCTATACTCACCCCGGTTCTCTCCATTACTTTTAGTATAGTGGACAAACACTTAGAACATCATCATATACAAATTGATGTTCTAAGTGTGTTTTTTTTGGATGTTCTAAGTGTGGTTCCCCACTTCACACTTAGAACATCTACCCCTGTTAAATGTTGGACGAGTGTTTTCCAAATGATGTTGTAAGTGTTTGTCGACCTGTATAAGGTTTTATCAAACACATTAAGTAGAAATTTGCCAGCCGACATCTCCAGTGATATTAAGGCTCACTGGCGGTTCGCTTGGCTGTTGGAATTCCAAGGCTCCTACAGTGACACCATTCTTGTCCTATCTTGTCCCGTCACCCAATCAAAATAACAAAAAAAAACATCTGTTCTGGCCCGGCCTTGCGAAATTCCCGTTGTTTTTGGGCGCGGTCCCTTATTATCCTTATTTCTCTTGCTAAAGCAGTAGGAGAAATCACAGACCCATAGACCCCTGTCGTTTGCCAAAAGTTTGTTAAATCGGTATTTTGAATGGGTTTTCTTTGAAACCTAGTGGCAAAATTCAAAAGACAATAAAACTATATATATATAAACATATATATATATTATATATATATAATATATATATATATAATATATATATAATATATATATAATATATATAATATATATATATATAATATATAATATATATATAATATATATATAATATATATAATATATATATAATATATATAATATATATATATGTATCTCTCTCTCTCTCACCAAAATTTTCGTGGTGAATTCTGTGATACTATTCTTCGTTTCAAAGGCAATATAGATAACTGCCAACCGACATGGGAATGGGTCAAAACGAGCATCCATTTAGACTCAGATCGATTCAGCATCTGTTTTGGCATGCCAAATGAGACAGGAAATGACGTACCCCAAATCCACTGGATCATCATCGTTTCCCAAAAAGGGACATTGGGCATTGTTGACATGCCCAGTCTTGGTATCGTCAATGAAACATAACGTCCGAAAAAAATGTTGCTTGCATGAGTCTTGAGTCCCTCTAAACCCCAGTCAAATCACCAACGACATAGCTAAACATGTCAAGTTCGCTACATGTCCCATTAAATCCCTATTCTTACCCAGGACCCTCCTGTAAAGTAACATCGATGCAGAAAATTCAGAAAAAATGTTTTTGGAGAGCGTTGACCTCGGATTTTACCTTGGGTTTTCCACCTGTCAGCTTACCCTGGGGTAAATCACCATTAAATGTTTAAATCCATTCAATCCCATTAGCTCATGTTAAGAGTATATTATATATTTGGTTTGACCATTGAATCACCATTGAACCATGATTAAACCTCCCAACTTCGAGGTCATTGAAATCAGTTTCCGGGGTTTTGCCCATGGTTTTTCCACATCTATGGTAGTTTATACATTTATGGCCCTTAATAGTTGCAAATGGGATTATCGTGATATGTAACCATAATTAAAAGATATATAATTCCATTTAAATAAAACTGTCAGTTGGATAATCACCATGCCGCTGATCCACCAAGTCACATCATTCCCCTGCAGCCTATGCTCCACCAAGGTCGATAACTGCAGAGCCCGTCGCCAGCCACCGGGACAACCCGTCAGCGTGGTGAAGGTGGTGCTATAGCTGATCGCACTGGGGACACTCCTGGTCTTGGAACTGGGAAAATCGGAACAAATATAGATGTGGGTGTATATATATATATATATATGTGTATGTATTCATATATATTGTATATTTATGTTTACGTTAAAAAAACGCATGTTTGTGGGGTAACCTTGAACAGCATTAGTTGGTTTTGAATAAGGAAAAACTAATTGAATCGGTATGTAGGAAGTATCCAAAACAAAATTATACCATGAAAAATGGGCGAACAATCGCCACACCAATGACAAAAAGTAGAAAACACCAAAAATCAAAAAAAATCAAACAGCAGAAACATAATTGTCTTCCAAAACTATGGGTCATGAACACCTTGTGTCTGTTGTTTTCATAGAAAATAGATTCCTTGCGTCCATGGTGCCAGTGTCTCGTTCTTTTCCCAATCTACACCATAATAAGTCTGCAAAATTTGGATGGTTTGCAAATTTGACCCGCCACAACATTTTTTGCGACTTGGACGATTCACTGATCATAAGTCAAATCATTTTTCTCAAGAATAATGTTCTTATGTCCCCCGGACAACTAAATTATATTTGCCTCGTGCAGCTGAAGTTTTGAGATGTTCGGGTCGCCTCATAGTCAGTTTGGTTGGACATTGCGCTCCATCTCATGATTAGTCATGGACATATCATGCAAACACATGGAAACACCGCCCAAACGTAGCGCTAGTAATTAGTACTGGAATTGTTTTGATTTCATTGTGTTACAACACGTTGCAAACATGTTGGCCATACCGGCACCACTACACGTTGCAAAACATAGCAATGACCATCAAACAGGTCTATGTGCTGGTCTGAGTTTCCAAGCCATCAAACGGTGCAAAATCATCAATGCATGTATCCATTGATCTGTGCGTCTGCACGCCTTAGCAAGAAACCCGGCAATTATCGCGCTGCAATTCCCAATGGACACGAACATTGCCACGGACAGCCGTGTTGCATGTGCGTTCAAAATTATTGTTTCAAGTTTCAAGAACAAAGAAACCGTCAAGAAAAAACATCCCGCTGGGTTGGAAACCGGGCGCGTAAAATAAACATATTTGACTGATTGGGATCAGCAATCATGCATTTCGCAGTGTTTGTTGAAGGTTTTCTGTTGAATGCGAGGATCGATTACAAATGTTTTGCATTTTTACGTGTGATTTAACTGATTGTTCTTCACATCTGGGGAAGAGTTCGTACCCGAAATGGCAGCGCCAGCACATTTTGCCGGTGATTTCACATCTTGGCCAAGTAAGCGCCTCTTTTCACATCTGATTCCTATCCTCATTGCCATGTGCGAACAAAAGTTCAAATCAGGGTCATTTCTACATGCTAGTCAGTTACAGAAACAAATCTAGAACAATATTCAACATATCATATCCCAGAAAAAAACACAACAAGGTTTCTAGGACTGTCCATATATGATATTCATGCATAATTATAAAGTACACATGATATTCAATTAATCATAATAAATCACATCATATCCCGCAGCCCAAGACAGACGAACCCACAACCTCCCCAACGTAGCATCTTCAACGTATCACAGCGCAACACCAAAAGCGTCTTGCAGAGTAGCATCAAGACGGAAACATGTTGCAGCGTAGCAGCAAGACGGGAAACATGTGGCAGGGCAGCACCAAGACGGGAAACATGTTTTGTTACAGCGTCTTCGTAGCATCACGTCCATGAAGCAGTTGAAACAAGACGTTGTTAGCCACCCCACCCCACCCCACACCACCCCATCATCAGCGTAGCATCACCTCCATGAAGCAATTGAAACAACGTTATTATTAGCCACCACACCCCACCCACCTCACCCTACCCCCGTACATAGAAAAATGATGAAAAATGCATCACAAAACGCACCCCCGGTTTTTCAATCCGTAGGCAATAACATGGGTGCAACCAAAAAAATATGTCCCACCAAATCCGGTTGTTTGCCACCTTTTGTGCTGCTCAAGGCTGGCGGGTATTGTATTTCAACCCGGCGACACCATGAGTCCAACAAGTGTGCCGTCAACAAATAGGTACGGGTCAAAATATTAAAAGCCTAACGGGCCACAATTTTTGATGTCGTTTGGCATTAACATGCAGTAACATGCATTAACTTTTAGCCATCCAAGATTAGTAAAAAATAGAGATATATTCGGGGGAACCATGCCCGATGCCCAAATGCAAAGCAAATAGCGTAGAGGGCATTGTTGTGCGAAATGATGTTGCTGCGCACCTGGCCGGAAGGTCTATGCACCGCTTCCGAGTGCTGGATAGCTGCACCAAATTGCGGCGGTTGCTGAAATATGGAATTTGGCGCGCAAATCGACAAAGTAACTGTGGCCCCCTCCTAGGTCGCCTCTTCCCAGACTTTCGCTAAAACGTATTACCATGGAATCTCCTGAGCATCATCCAGCTGGTGTGGGTGGACACTGAATGTATTGATTTAAAGAACATGCAATGAAGTCCGGCCCACTGTGTGCAGCAGCTTGAGGCAACATCCGGGTCATGCCATGGTCTGCACCTGCGTGGCGCCCATGGACTGCAAGGAGCTGAGAGCCGATGTCCTTGCTGCAGAAGGGAAATGTTCAATAGGAACTTCTGGGCGCGCCAAGGTTTGTCATAAAGCAGCCTCCTAATAGCAGAAAGGGCAACCTATACCAACTGTACCCCAACTGCAGAAGCAAAGGCAAAACAAAGGAAATTGGACCGTAACTCGGAGAATGCCCATTGGCCAATCATACTTTGAGTAAAAGAACGCCAAACAAATCAGTGGCACGATCGACCTCTCCAAGTTGGGGCTTGAAGCTGCTTGAAGCTCGCGGAAGCGTTCATTCCTTTGCACGTTTCGGTGCTAGCCGGCAGCCCCACGCGTCAGGGATGGCATTGCACGCACAACTATGGTTTTTCTCTTGTGCTCGGTTTACATTGGCATATATATATATATATATATATACATCCTTCGGATTGCAGCATGCCACATGCCATGATGTCATGTAACTTCGAGCAATCCTTTCTTTTCGAAAAAGATTTTTTCTTGTGACGCTCGCATTGTCTGTCATGGAATGTTGAAAACCTATCAAATAGATCATAGATCTGGTTCAAATTGGCAAATGCCAATCTGCATTTATGTGGGAAACCCTTAATAGACCTACCATTGGGGATTTATACAAGCCCATTTAATTATGGTGATTTGTCGGATGGTTTAGTATTAGGTTTACCACATTGCAAGCCTCGGGCCAACATCAGTAGTCTCCCCAAACTGTTGCCATATCCGGGTATATGAGGTCCCAAGCCTGGACCAACAGTAGTATCTGGTGGTTGAGCTGCCTGAAAGGTATGCATGTCACTTAGGATTATCATCCGAGTTACTTGGATGGTACATAACAACAAAGAACACATATTTCAAACCACCGGGTAGGATGTTTATACATATATATATATACATATATATATATTGAAATATTAAAAAAAAACATGTTATGCTTTATCTTTTAGAACATATGATCAGGTTGAAATAATGCCAGCCATTCAACTTGGACCCACGTGCTTGGTACAAGAGTTGGTCTGGCCGATTTCATGCCATCCAACAACATGCTAGCCATGCAGTTGTGGCCACAGGGCCTTAAACGGGATGGAATAACTCCTATAACTTATAACTGGGGTTATATATATATATATATAATATACATATATCATTATAGTCCCATTTGATTATCCCAAATCCCAAATGAAGGACCTCCGTTTGAATTGTCAGGTTCATTATTGCAACCTCTGGGTTTCCCATCCGTTCTTCACAGACCTGGCGATCTCTGCACATTCAAGTACGGATACTCTTTGGAGAATATGCGAATATGGCATATATGGGTCCATAACTCAGGTAAACACCAACATTGCCATTTGCATTCAGGAACTGATAATAAACAATGAGATTTTGGAATGCTTCATGGCCTCATTCTCCAAAGAAAATCTCGCAATATCTGCCCGTAGCGCTGTGGAACTTGCCGTTTTGAGCTAAGCTTTGAGCCTTCCGCCTTCCCCAAACATGGCACAATTGGTGCAGGGAAAACAACGTGCTAGCCCCCAGCTAAGAGGTCAATATATAATATGATGCATTTCACATCGTTTTACCTTTACATGATGTCATCATATTTCATCAACAATATCCAACCGAATCATGGCCGGTTGCTCATATTAAATGCTGGGCCTTGCCACAAGCTTTTCAAGTTTGGCTCTTTGTCAGCAGGGATGGGCATGAAACATCAGCAACGAGGTTGCCTTTCTTTGGTGAAACACGGGTACTGCGTGCATCTGAAAATGGGGACTACTTACCCCCAAAATGGTCATTTAAATTCGGAACTCATTGAGTTGGTTTTCGCGGGAAAATCTTAACGGGAAACCATAGTTTTACCCATCCAATCTAAGGCTTTCCTGCATGGCCAATTGTTCCCTTGAAATCTCACATCACCAATCCAATGGGCCAAGTGATGATCAACATTGAGGCATAAAAACATCATAAAAAATAACATTAATGTTTGCACCTGATTAAAGAGATGGTACCCTATTGTGAGAAATTTCTTGCTCCCAATTCAGTCACATGCCAATTGTTGGGGGGGGCTTTAAAATATTTTTCCAAATGCTTTAATTAACTTTACTTTTCTTTTTAATTGTTTTTCTATTTATGATTATTTTTAATTAATTTTATTTTAGAAGCCTTATCAAACCCTTATTAAAAAAACAGCATCCAGACAATTTTTCAAAGGGGTACCTCATGAGTGGCTCAGTTACTCAATAATATAATTGTTTGGATGGTACTCTATTGTGAGCACCAACTTTTGGGATTGAAAAAAAAAAACAAAACCCTTTCTCCACCTTTCTTTGGGTAAAGCTGGCCCTTTCACTTTAGAAAGCCATATTGTGTTAAAGCTTTAAAATGCAAGGTTTCCCAAATAATTAGATGCCTTATTAAACCCTTATTAAAAACAGCATCCAGACAATTTTTCAAAGGGGTACCTCATGAGTGGCTCAGTTACTCAATAATATAATTGTTTGGATGGTACTCTATTGTGAGCACCAACTTTTGGGAGTAAAAAAAACAAAACCCTTTCTCCACCTTTCTTTGGGTAAAGCTGGCCCTTTCACTTTAGAAAGCCATAGTTGTGTTAAAGCTTTAAAATGCAAGGTTTCCCAAATAATTAGATGCCTTATTAAACCCTTATTAAAAAACAGCATCCAGACAATTTTTCAAAGGGGTACCTCATGAGTGGCTCAGTTACTCAATAATATAATTGTCTGGATGGTACTCTATTGTGAGCACCAACTTTTTGGAGTGAAAAAAAAACAAAACCCTTTCTCCACCTTTCTTTGGGTAAAGCTGGCCCTTTCACTTTAGAAAGCCATATTTGTGTTAAAGCTTTAAAATGCAAGGTTTCTCCAAATAATTAGATGCCTTATTAAACCCTTATTAAAAAACAGCATCCAGACAATTTTTCAAAGGGGTAACTCATGAGTGGCTCAGTTACTCAATAATATAATTGTTTGGATGGTACTCTATTGTGAGCACCAACTTTTTGGAGTGAAAAAAAAGCAAAACCCTTTCTCCACCTTTCTTTGGGTAAAGCTGGCCCTTTCACTTTAGAAAGCCATAGTTGTGTTAAAGCTTTAAAATGCAAGGTTTCCCAAATAATTAGATGCCTTATTAAACCCTTATTAAAAAACAGCATCCAGACAATTTTTCAAAGGGGTACCCCATGAGTGGCTCAGTTACTCAATAATATAATTGTCTGGATGGTACTCTATTGTGAGCACCAACTTGTGGGAGTGAAAAAAAAACAAAACCCTTTCTCCACCTTTCTTTGGGTAAATCTGGTGCCTTTACTTCAGAAAGCTATATTTGTGTTAAAGCTTTAAAATGCAAGGTTTTCCAAATAATTAGATGCCTGAAAAAACCATAATTGGTTCAGTTCTCATAATATAATGTTGGGATGGGCCTCTATGTGAGCCCAACTTTCGGAGTGAAAAAACCATGTTCTTCACCTTTCTTTGGGTAAAGCTGATGCCTGACGGGAGAAAGCCATATTTGTGTTAAAACTAAAATGCACAAGGTTTTCCAAATATGAGATGCCGGAGTAAATCCTTATTAAAAAACAGCACCCAGACAATTTTTCAAGGGGATACCTCATGATTGGCTCAGTTACTCAATAATATAATTGTTTGGATGGTACCCTATTGTGAGCACCAACTTGTGGGAGTGAAAAAAAACAAAACCCTTTCTCCACCTTTCTTTGAGTAAATCTGGTGCCTTTACTTCAGAAAGCTATATGTGTGTTAAAGCTTTAAAATGCAAGGTTTTCCAAATAATTAGATGCCTTATTAAACCCTTATTAAAAAACAGCACCCAGACAATTTTTCAAGGGGATACCTCATGATTGGCTCAGTTACTCAATAATATAATTGTTTGGATGGTACTCTATTGTGAGCACCAACTTTTGGGAGTGAAAAAAAACAAACCTTTCTCCACCTTTCTTTGGGTAAAGCTGGCCTTTACTTAGAAAGCCATAGGTGGTAAAACTTTAAAATGCAAGGTTTTCCAAATAATTAGATACCTGAAAAAACCATAATTGGTTCAGTTACTCAATAATATAATTGTTTGGATGGTACTCTATTGTGAGCACCAACTTGGGGAGTGAAAAAAAAAAAAAAAATCCCTGCGCTCCACCGGTCGTTGAGTAACGATGCCTTTACGGACAAAGCTTAGATTTGTGTTGAAGCTTTTAAAAATGCCCGGTTTTCCAATCATTAGAAATGCCTTATTAAAAAACAGCGCCCAGCCAAGGGGGCAAAGGGGGAGACCGCTGAGGGGGCGGCAGTACGCAATCAAGAGAAGTTGCGATGGTACTCTATTGTGAGCACCAACTTTTGGGAGTGAAAAAAAAAAACAAAACCCTGTCTCCACCTTTCTTTGGGTAAAGCTGGTGCCTTTACTTTAGAAAGCCATAGTTGTGTTAAAGCTGTAAAATGCAAGGTTTCCCAAATAATTAGATGCCTTATTAAACCCTTATTAAAAAAACAGCACCCAGACAATTTTTCAAGGGGATACCTCATGATTGGCTCAGTTACTCAATAATATAATTGTTTGGATGGTACTCTATTGTGAGCACCAACTTTTGGGAGTGAAAAAAAAACCTTTCTCCACCTTTCTTTGGGTAAAGCTGGTGCCTTTACTTTAGAAAGCTATATTTGTGTTAAAGCTTTAAAATGCAAGGTTTTCCAAATAATTAGATGCCTTATTAAACCCTTATTAAAAAACAGCACTCAGACAATTTTTCAAGGGGGTACCTCATGAGTGGCTCAGTTACTCAATAATATAATTGTCTGGATGGTACTCTATTGTGAGCACCAACTTTTGGGAGTGAAAAAAAATAAAAATAAATTAAAAGTAAATTGAAATCAATTGAAAGTAAATTGAAAGTAAATTAAAAGTAAATTGAAATCAATTGAAAGTAAATTGAAAGTAAATTGAAATCAATTGAAAGTAAATTGAAATCAATTGAAAGTAAATTAAAAGTAAATTGAAATCAATTGAAAGTAAATTGAAATCAATTGAAATCAATTGAAAGTAAATTGAAATCAATTGAAAGTAAAATAAAAGTAAATTGAAATCAATTGAAAGTAAATTGAAATCAATTGAAAGTAAATTAAAAGTAAATTGAAATCAATTGAAAGTAAATTGAAATCAATTGAAAGTAAATTAAAAGTAAATTGAAATCAATTGAAAGTAAATTGAAAGTAAATTAAAAGTAAATTAAAAGTAATTAAATTAATTAAAAGTAAATTGAAATCAATTGAAAGTAAATTGAAATCAATTGAAAGTAAATTGAAATCCTTTCTTAAGTTGATTGACCAAAAAATGTTGAGGGGGGGGCAAAAAAAAGTGCGAGTTATAGAGTATCCTCAAATTGTTTGGGGGGGGGGGGCCCTCACACTAATCAGATGCAAACATTTATAATGACCATCAATAGGTTCATGTTCCATGTTGCTCAACTGTATAAAAAAAAAGACCCTGGTAAACATACAAAAAGCGACATAGAAAATGCCCCCCCAAAAAAATGTGATTTTCCAGTTCGTTATGTGGCTGTTGACCAGAGGGTAACAACCCTCTGAGATTTTGGGACGCGAAACGAACCCACCGAGCATCCACTCAGAGCGTTGAGCCCAGGCCCGCAGCATTCCGCCTGAAGCTTTCTCCAATCCATAGATGGACAGAACAAGCGTTCTACCTATGGAAAATCACCATTATTTATGGGAAAATCAACTATAAATGGTTGCTAGTCACTAGATGTTGCTAGAATATCTATATAATTGGTGGTTGACCTACCCCTCTGAAAAATATATGACTTCATCAGTTGGGATGGTGACATTCCCAACTGAATGGAAAGTCATAAAAGCCATGTTCCAAACCATCAATCAGATTACAATAGAGCTACAAACCACCAACCAGATTACCATAGAGCTACAGTTTCCATCAGTTTCCTGTAACCTTTCATTTTTTCTGACACTGAAAAAAACATCGAGTTTCCGAGTTTCCTGTAGAGTCCCGGCCTATGAAAAATGACGTTTCCTCTTTGTGCCCTGGCACCCTGGCACCCTGGCACCCTGGCACCCTGGAGTTCACATCAATAAGCCTATCACTGCGACTGCTAAGGATAATCTGCAAAAAATCAAAAACTGCGGGGTTCTCCGCAACCCAATGATGCACCACTCCCAGACTGATTAAAGCCCAAGAGGCACTGCTGGGAGCTATGAAAGGATCAATTTTTTTTGTTTCCCCCAAGCATTTTTTCGAGTGGTAACTTCCAGTGACACCAACAGCTGGGCCACTGAAGGTCACCACAGTCTGCATCAGCAGCTGAGACAGCATCAAAGTAGTCAGGGTCAGGGCCAAGGTCCTTGGCGAATGGGTAGATGTGACCTTTACTTTAAAAAACAAAACATGTCGTTTACTGCGACAAACTTGGGATTGAACAAGAACATTGCTCAACAAAACAAAGGATAAAAACACAAATCACAAATGGGGACCAGAAAACATCAAGAATGATAATAATACTAGGTTGAGGCGAAATGGGTATGTCAATGGAGACCTTCACAAAAAGTGATGGAATGGGTTGAATTTGAATGCCTTAAAGAAGAAGCAAACAGCATGACGGATCATGAGAGGATTCAGAGTACCACCAACTGTTTCTCAGCATCAACCTCTTTCAAACCCACACAACATACATGTCTACTGTAAATCCAACTGGAAAAGCTGGGCTGGGTAGGGCGGGATGTACATTAGGAGGGAGACGGCTTTATGTATATTTTTAATATCCACCAAATTAGGCAAGTGGAACTGACAACCCGAGCAGGATCCCAACATTGTGATTTTCATGGGTAAACGCCCCATGTCTGGATTTCCATGTGAGTTTTCAGAAGGATAAACGGTGTATAGGTATCTTGGATACTCTGCCCGAAAATATCTAGGTTCTTTACGTTTCTTCACCCATTATGGCACAATATCACTAAACATGGTACCCACCGGCAAATTCACAACACTATGGAAAATGGTGGCCAATTTAGTCACATCATTTAGATATGCAAAAAAAGATTGTTTCTTTTTCCCATAGCTATTCATGTAACAAATGACCAGCGGCTAAAACGCCAACAATAACTTAGGCAATAAAAGATAGACATGTTAAACCGATAATCATGATCAGATTATTTAGAGAACTAAAACTACCCGGCGGAAGCGTTGCCGGCCCACGAAAATGATGAAAATGAATATTTCGTCACAGCGAGGAGCGTTTTCTTTCATTGAAAACCTCTCCAAAAAAAAGGTCCATCTACTTTGTGAATAACAACCCTTCCATGACTTCAGCCTGAAAAAGGGCAACCGCAACTTTTTCTCAAATTTTCTTAGGCAAGAATAGAGCCCAAGCGTGGAAATGACGTTATCATCCCACCCCACCCCACCCCGCCCCACCCCAGACTATCGGATGCGGATGTGTGCAATGGCAATTGAAGATCATAGAGCGTAGCATTAAGATCATGTGGAATTGCCAATGAAGATCATGGAGCGTAGCATCAAGATCATGTGGAAATGCCAATGAAGATCATGGAGCGTAGCATCAAGATCATGTGGAATTGCCAATGAAGATCATAGAGCGTAGCATCAAAATCATGTGGAATTGCCAATGAAGATCATGGAGCGTAGCATCAAGATCATGTGGAAATGCCAATGAAGATCATAGAGCGTAGCATCAAGATCATGTGGAAATGCCAATGAAGATCATAGAGCGTAGCATCAAGATCATGTGGAAATGCCAATGAAGATCATAGAGCGTAGCATCAAGATCATGTGGAAATGCCAATGCAGATCAAAGAGCGTAGCATCAAGATCATGTGGAAATGCCAATGACGTTATTATAATACACCAAACCCCAACACCCACACAGACGGGACTATAGTGTATTTTATCTCGCGGCATGTGTGTTTTGCAATGCCATTGAAGCTCAGAGAGCGTTTTATTCAGCATTCAGATCATGTGGAAATTGCCAATGAAGGAAGATCATGGGCGTAGCATCCAAGATCATGTGGGAAAATTTGAAATGCCAATGAACGATCATGGGAGCGTAGCATCAAACTCATGTGGAATTGCAATGAAGCTCATGGAGCCCGTAGCATTTCCAAGATCATGTGGAAATGCCAATGAAGATCATAGCGCGAGCATCAAGATCATGTGGAAATTTGCCAATGACGTTTATCATCCCACCCCACCACCACCCAAGACATTTTATCGGATCAGACGGATGGGATGTGTTGTGCATTGCAATGATGGCAATTGAAAGAAGATATAGGCGTTTTTAGAATTAAGGATCATGTGGAAAGCCAATGACGTTATCTTCATCGCACCCCACCCCACCCCACCCCACCCCCAGACAATAGGCCCTCTATCAGGCCTGTCTTCTGTCCACTTTTGTCGGATGGCGGATGTGTGGATTTGTGGGCGGTAACGACCTCATTCGCCCTCTTTTCTGCGAAGAAGTGATGAATGCTAGAATTGCGTGTTGGTAGGAATGACGTTATCATCCCACCCCACCCCACCCCACCCCACCCCAGACTATCGGATGCGGATGTGTGGATTTGTGGGACGGTAACGAGTCCGCAGGCTAAAACTACATAAAACTACATAAAACTATATAAATATAGATACATAAGGCATCATAAGGCTACCCAAGCAAGCTTTATAAACTTTAAACCTTACCCATTTGGGATACCCGGAGGGAAAGTCGCGCCAAGTTTCCAAGGGCCCTCGCAACTGATGGCACCATTGCAACTGACCTGCGCCGTGCCAAATCTTTGGTCTGCCTGCAATTTATGCTGGTTGAATATGGTTGAATTCCCATTTCTGTTGGTGAAATCTTTCATGTCTGAGATTGAGAATTAGACCCAAAGCGTATAAATATGGTTGTATATGAACATCAAAATGGCTAGTTTTAGACAAATAAACCATGCCTTCAACATGGATTTGTCGGGAAATAATAAACCCTAGATCAAATGATCAATTGTCATTATCCATTAACATTGCAATTTGGGTGTCGCTAGATCACAATATATCACGGTATTCCCCTATATCCCCATCTTCAATGGTCAAATAAGCATTTTGCCTCCATCTTAGATGGTTATTTTGACACAAGTCTCCATCATGTGTGATGGTTAGCCATCCCCATGTGTTCAGTTCATCATTTTTGATGGTTTAAATCCCCATGGATATCCATCATGTTTGAAAGGGAAAAACATCATAATCCTTCGTTCTTTCATGGCTTTCATGGTTCGGTTCAATCCATCTTTTCCTTCAGTTTTCATCGTTAAATCCACATAATCCACTTTGATAACCACCGTCACTATAATCAAAGAATGAAACAACAAGTCACCATTACCAGTAGTACCGCGCAAGGCGGTGGCGGAAGTTTCAAAAATAGGAAACCTATAGGAGAGCTTCGTTGTTGTGAATCAGGGATGGCAGAGCGAAGCCACTGATGGACCGAAAGGTGCTTGAGGTCTCCTCTCTTTTTCTCTCTTTCTCTGACTATCTACTTACCTACCAGCCTATCTTCTATGTATCTATCTATCTGTTGATCTAGCTATCTATCTCTCTCTTTCTCTCTTTCATCTCATTACCTATCTACCTATCTACCTATCGACCTATCGACCTATCTATCTATCTTTCTATCTATCTATCTATCTATCCATCTATCTATCTCTCTCTCTCTCTCTTTCATCTGTCTATCTGTCTAGCTGTCTATCTATCTGTCTATGTCTCTACCCATCTATTTCTCTATTTGTCTTGATGTCTAACTATCTGTCTATGTGTCCATGTATCTATCTGTCTGTCTCGCCATCTATGTCTCTAGCTGTCCCTCTAACTATTTATCTATCTGTCCGTCTATCGATCTATCTATTTATCTATCGATCTGTCTGTCCGTCTATCTATGTATCTATCTATGTGTCTGTCTATCTATCGACCTATCTATGTGTCTATCTATCTGTCTATCTATCTATCGACCGATCGATCTATCTATCGACCTATCTATCTATCTCTCTCTCTATCTATCTCTCCGTCTATTTATCTATCTCTCTATGTATCGATCTATGCATCTATCGATGTATCTATCTATCTATCTATCTATCTATCTATCCATCTATCTATCTATCTATCTCTCTCTAACTATCTATCTATCTATCTTTCTATCTATCTATCTATCCATGCATCTATCGATCTATTGTTGTTGTTGTTGTAGTTGTTGTAGTTGTTGTGGTTGGTGTTGTTGTTGTTGTTGTTGTTGCTGTTGTTGTTGTGGTTGCTGTTGCTGTTGTCGTCGAGGTTGGGTTAGTTAAGTTAGTGAAGTTAGTTAAGTTAGTCAAGTTAGTTAAGTTAATCAGTGTCTACTTTTTCGACATCTTCACGTCAGAAAAGGCTCAAAAACTGAGACTTCGAAATGTGCTTCGTGCCACAACGGCGTGCACTTTTTTGACACTTTTTCGACATCTGAACCTCCAAAAGTGGTCCGAGACCGTCAGTTTTTAAAACTTTTGACTTGGAAATGTGCTTCGCGCCACAACGGCGTGCACTTTTTCGACATCACAACTTCCAAAAGTGGTCCGGAGCTGAGGTGTTTTGTACATTTTGACTTCGAAATGTGCTTCGCGCCACAACGGCGTGCACTTTTTCGACATCCGAACTTCCAAAAGTGGTCCGGAGCTGAGGTGTTTTGTACATTTTGACTTGGAAATGTGCTCTGCGCCACAACGGCGTGCACTTTTTTGACGTCTCAACTTCCAAAAGTGGTCCGAGACCGCCAGTTTTTAACACTTTTGACTTCGAAATGTGCTTCGCGCCACAACGGCGTGCAATTTTTCATCGCTCCTGTGGCCAGCTGGCTCCGCACCCACCGCTTTAGCGAGCCTACGTTTCGACCCTCCGGAGCCACAAATCATTGGAAAAACACAGTGTTTCGCGACTTTCCTACCTTTTCGCGCATCTGTATCTTCTGTCTTCTTACTCTTTCTCTTCTGATCTTCTCTCTTCTAATCTTCCTCTTCTCTCTGCCTCTGCCCTGCTCTGCTTTTCATCTCTCCATATTGTCGGAAGTTTGACTTCTAAACTTCCTTCGATCATAAGTGTATGATTTAATCATTGTGAAGGATCGTAATGACCCCAACTTATTTTGTGGATGTCATTGTGAGGTTCATTACAGGGTATACTTGGATTTGCTGAGCCGCTGATCGACATATCTAGGATGTCTGGATTTCTTCAACTTGGCAGAGATTATCATCATTATCGATCATTATCGTCAATATCCAATCAATCACACCATCATTATCATATAATATATATATGGTGGTTTCCACCAGTTTCATAGTTGAATCCCAGTTGTCCTCCATTTTTCATGGTTCAATTTCCAGTCCATTTCCACCAACGACTTCGCCTCGTCGATGCGCACACACTTCGCTCGCGCCAACGCCAGCACGTCCAAGGCCCTGGGCCATCCATCCAGGGAACTAATGGTGCCTGCCACGGCGCTTCGCATGCGCGGCATTTTCAGATGGGACGTAATAATTACTGACATGTGGTAGCTATATATCTATGAATCATCAATATGAATTAGCCCCTGATTTTTTAAACAAAAATATAACATGTATATGTTTCCTGGGTGCTTACTGTTTTCCCGCTGGTCTCCGCCCCGCCGTTGAAGCTGATGACATCCGGTCTCTGAGCTACGCTGGGCATCCCATGACACCTTTCAGCACCGGGAAAGCCGGAAACACAACATGCCTCAAGGTACAGTTTTTTCTGGATGATAAATCTTACCTACAGGTCACATGTCTCTTCAAGACCTGCCATATGAAGAGGCATGCCATATGATCCCATGAATAAACATGGAATCAGGTTTTTGTTGATGACTGTTGATGACATTTTTCATCATAAAATAATCTTCCAATTTGCAAACCTGCTATTGGGACACTTGGCCTTGCATCACCTCCAGAAACAAAATACCAAGCAGTCCAACAATGGCTAGACAAAGGACTGTTAATCACATTTTTTCATGGAAAAAACCATTATAAATGGTGATTTTCCATAGTTAAGTTATGTTAGTCATTACCAGAGGGTACTTACCTCGAAATGATTTCCAGGTTTCCAACTGCGCCAGGTGGCAGTTCCACAGCTTCTTCCCAGCGTGTGGCGCTTCCACATGCGCTCAACGATGCGTTGAAGGTGAGGACATTCAGCTGCTCCTGGGTGTCAAGCTGTGTTTTACACCGCTACTTCAACAGGCAGAATAGAAGTGGCTATTGCTTTTAAAAGGAGTGGTAAAAACAATGTTGAAACCCAATGGTTATAAACAATTGTTTTTTTCATTCTTGGGTTTTAAAACAATAATGAAACGTCCCGTCTGAAAAAAAAAACAAAAACATAATAAAGGAGTAGTATAAGCAATCCTCACACATACTATTGGGATGCACACATGATATACAAATCATAGCAATCACTATAGGGATAACAAGAACCATACTGTACAAGTATTAAACTAAAACATTGCCAAGCTTAGTTCAAATAAACACATGTGTACAAGTCCTAAATGAAAACTATTGAAAACTGTCCTGTTGTTGAAATTAAGCATCACGTTTCCCCAAACAAAGGTTTACCCAGGAGTGTGATTTGAACCAGCAAAAATGTGCTGTGTACTGTACTGATACTCTGACACACGAATGCATTATGTCCGGATATACTGGGTGAAACTTGACACTGCTCAAAATAACTTGCGCGATGTTGTGCCAGCACCAAAGGGGTCACGGGCGTGCCAAAACCAGTGAACCACCCAAGCTGCTGACATTTTTGTTAGCTGTAAGCACCTTGCATGAGCCAAGCCAACAAATGAAAATGTTGATAGGAACCTCCATGACATGAAGACCATGAATACATATCAGGAAACTGGGTATATTTCAGCACAAAATCTGACCAAAAGTATAGTCTCTGGGCAATCCATTGCTCCCCCTAGGATCCGGTTAGGTTATTAATAGACAGGATATAGTCTAGGTTATCATCATTTTATGATAGTCTTTACGGGGGTTGTCACATACTTGGTGATAGTCTATTATCAGGGAATGAAGAACATATATGCTGATAATTTTGGAAGTATTTTCAATATATCTTATAATTGAACATTTTGTTTTTTTAATGCAACATGTACATTGGATTTTTTGTATTTTTTCCATGTGGTTCTCAAGTTTTGTTTTCGAGTTTTTTTCTTGTCATTTTTGTAATTGCGTTGTCTACTGCAGAGACGATGTTGCGCAGAAGGCTGGATCAAATGGTCTTTGATTTCAACCAACAGTCTCTGCAGATAATTTAAAATATATCTTTTATTATTTTAATGAGTTATCACTCTGCATACATGAGTGCAAAGAAATAAGTAGATTAACTTTCCTTTAAATCATATTTTCGTGTCAATAATTTTTTTAAAAAAAATTGTTGCATTTAAAGTTTGATTAAAGTTTGTTTCAAACTTTAAAAGGCTGGATTCAAAGTTTAAATCAAACTTTGAAATTTTATATTCAAAGTTTTAAGCAAACTTTGAATATTAAATTCAAACTTTGAATAAACTTTGAATAGAAACTTCTCAAAAGTTTGAATTCAAAATTCAAAGTTTTAAAGTAAACATTTTAACTTTGAAGATATATTCAAAGTTTGATTTATAAATTCAAAGTTTCAAATCAGTCATTTAAAACTTGACAAGTTACCTTTCAAAGTTTTAGATATTTTAATATTAAACTTAAAATAATACCTTCAAAGTTTCTAATGTTAAATTATAAACTTTGAAGGTGAACCTTCAAAGTTTATTATAAACTTTAAATTCGATTTTTTAAGGTTCGAACTAAACTTTGAACAAACTTTAAATTCACTTTTTCGATTTATGTAATATTTGTCAACATTTGTACTAAAAAAATAATTGTTTATTTATATATATGATAAAACATGTTGCCTCATTTGGATTCAAGTTACCATGTGTCAATTTTGTCTTCCAAAGCAATCCAAGGATTCAACGTCAGCACATACTTTGGCTCGTTACCTGATTCTGGTGAAGCATCGACGCACACAACTGATTTGGAAACACTAAATGCACACTGAAATGCACAGCAATACTGCAATTTTAAGCGCGCTTTAATTCAAAGCGCTACTTCAAAGGAAAATCTGCACTTTCAGTGTCATGCATTGAGTGAAAAAAAGTTCCGTCATTGGAATCAGACAGGGTTTTTCGTCATCCCGTTTCCGTTTCCAGTGTCCATGTCCTTCTCCGATTTTCACAAATTATCTTGTGTGTCTACTTTTTTTTAACAAAGACTAACCTTGCAAAATCTTATCGTGATTTCGTGATAAGCTTTCGAAATAATCTATATAGACTATCATCAAGAAATCATGGATGATATGCTAAAAAGACTATTTATAACCTAACCGGATCCTAGGGGTCACCACTCTTGCGCCAAGTGCTATACCTCTTTGTTTTTTGAAGAGTTTCTCGAAAGGTTTCTTAAAGTGGATGGCGAAAAGCATGGTCCCCATTTTGAAAAGCTGTTGTAAGTTGTATGTAGCTCTAGTCTGGCCCCAGTGAACCCACCGTAGGGTTAAGGATGTTTCCATGACACTCTGTTGGCTCTACAGTATCTCTGGCTGTGTGCAAGTTAAGTCATTGGCACTTTTACTATCTTTTACTCCCATGCGTATCTGGCGGCAAGTGCCTATAGCGGGCCCCTAACCTGCCAAGACAGTGAGAGCCACGCCTCATCTCCCAACAATTTCATGACAATCCTCAATGGCACAAGCTGGTGCCCCCGTTATGTTTCTTGGTCAGTAAACCCCAAAAACTAGGTAGATAGATCTGCTATAAATCCCAGTATTTTGTGAATATATTATATAAACCTGGCAAGCGATCGGCCGTCCTCTAGATTGTCTCTGACCTCAATGAGTCTGAATTGCCCGCTACGATCATCTATGGATGTTCTATGGGCCAAGCCGGCCTTCATGTTGATGGCACCTGCAAACCCCTTCTTTAATCTTTTCTTGGAGACACGAGAGAACCAACAAGCACATTCCCGAAAGTGGACCAAGGAAACAAAATATTGTTGAACATCCCTTATATTTTTGTACAGTTACAGTTACTGTAACCTAAGCAGCAGGTCTTTCTGCTGATTTTTTGTCATGCCACTGCCACCTCAATGTTCGGTGGCAAAACCCCGCAAAATCATCTCCCCTGGGCATCTCCCCTGGGCATCCGATAGGCTGCGATTCTTGGGGTTCAAACCTGAATTTTCCCAGCATGTTGCGGAAGGAAAGCGATGAAACATCTAATATATATATATATATATAATACACCCTCGGGGACCCAGATTCTCCGATGACCGCACACCGTTTGTTGCTCCGCTGCAGATGATCACGTTGTATCATGCTCCGAGACAGGGCGGGGTGGGTGGGGTGGGGGGGGGGCGGTGGGGGGGGGGTGGGCTGGTGGGGTGTATTATCGTTCGTGGAAGGTTGATCACGTTGTTGATGTCCGCTGCAGATGTAACGTTGTTATCATTCTCCGGACAGGGCAGGGTTGGGGTGGGGGGTTGGGGTGGTGGTGGGGTGTGGTATTTATCGTTCGTGAATGTTGATTAATGTTGTTGACTGGATACGCACTGAAGATGTCACGTTGTATCATGCTCCGCGACTGGGCGGGCGTGGGGTGGGGGGTGGGGGGTGGGTGGGGTGTATTATCGTTCTGGAATGTGATCATGTGTTGATGCCCCGCTGCCAGATGATCACGTTGTATCATGATCCGAAGGACTGGGCGGGGTGGGGTGGGGGGTGGGGTGCGGGTGGGGTTGTTGTTATTATCGTTCGGGAATGGTGATCAGTTGTTGATGCGCCGCTGCCGATTGATCACTTGCATTCAGCTCCGCGGACTGGGCGGGGTGGGTGGGGGGTGCGGGGGGGGTGGGGTGTTTATCGTTCGTGGAATGTTGATCACGTGGTGATGATTCCGCATGCCAGATGATCAAGTTTGTATCATGCTCCGCGATCTGGGCGGGGTGGGGTGGGGGGTGGGGTGGGGTGGGGTTATTATCGTCGTGGAATGTTGATCACGTTGTTGATGCTCCGCTTGGATGATCACGTTGTATCCATGATCGCGACAGGGCGGGGGGTGGGGTGGGGTGGGGGTGGGCTGGGTGGGGTGTATTATCGTTCGTGGAATGTTGATCACGTTGTTGATGCTCCGCTGCAGATGATCACGTTGTATCATGCTCTGCGACAGGGCAGGGTGGGGTGGGGTGTATTATCTTTCGTGGAATGCTGATCACGTTGTTGATGCTCCGCTGCAGATGATCATTAACAATATCATTGATCATATCATAAATTACCACAAAAAAATCATCGTCATGAGCACAGATGTGGAAACAAAAACAATATCTTGAATCCATTTGGGAAATACCATGGAAAATTCACCACACATGAGTTTCGATTGGGAAAATACAATGAAAACACATGCACGAAAGAAAAAAACAAAGAAACATGCTGACTGTCAGGGTTCCTCACTTTCAAGCAACATTCAAATGTAATTAGTGCAAATACCATGTAAAATAAGGCTACCTTTATTTTGCTTGTGAAAACACAGGGTAAAATGAGATGTTTCAACATATGTTGCATACCATCGCAACGTATCTGTGCTGTAGCTATAAGGGGATTTACAACTATACCCTCCTAACCCATATCAAGTAAATCACAACTTTGCAAGCGCTCAAAACGGACGAGATTTTTTTCATCCGTTTTGATGCCCAATTCCACATAACAATGCTTCATGTCAAAATGCTAGTTTCGCTATGGCGAAACGCACATTTTTCACATGTTTGATCATCAACACCTATCATCTATCGGAGAACCTAGGGCCCCATCCGTGTATGTATATATATATATATATAATCACCCTCCCCAGGGGTTTTGTACACCACCCCCCCCCTTCATACATTTTTTGCAATGTATGAACATAGGGGGGGACACCGTCGATTTTTTAACATCAATTCACATATTGCATGTGAAAAGTATGAAGCCCAGGGCTTCATACATTAACTCAATAATGTATGAAACCTAGGGGGGAGATGCCCCAGCCATCTGCTATTCATTTTTCTATAATGTATGAAAGTAGGGGGGGAGGGTGTTGTTTTGGTGGCATGGACTGATACCTTAAAATGTATGAAACCTAGGGGGGACACCGTTGATTTTCTTCAAGCAGAAATCATGGGAACGACTTTTCAAATAACATGCAACGTCATACAACTTCCATCAACTTCCACCAGAGTACATTGGATGTATGAATGACTGGTTTGACAGGCTCACCCATCATTGGAATACATTCTATACGTGTTTGGCTGAGGTACGCGCAAAACCCAATATGCTCTATTTATGTCCTGGCATACCCGAAATGCCACTTATCTGTAATCAGAAAAAGGGTCAAAACTGTATGAATAAGGAGGGTGACAGGCTCACCCCTCCTTAGAATACATTTCTGGGCTCGATATAGTTAGACTTTAGGCATGGTTGGATATGGTTGGATATGGTTTGATATGGTTGGACACACACACAAAATCGAATCAAAGCCTTTTGTATGTCCTTGTATACAAACAAATACTACCTTACATATTTTTTTGATCAAAGGAAAAAGAAAGTTCGAAAATGTATGAATGGCGGGGGGCACAGGCTCACCCCTCCTTGGAATACATTTCTGGTTTAATTCTGATTGGATGTGGTCCTGCTTAGATTTGGTTGGATACACACAAATTCTGTTCATTTGCCCTTGTAGTCTGACACCAGCTTCAACAGAGAAAGTTGATTCTAGCAAAAAATGAAACACATAAAAAACAAAAACACAATCAAAACACAGAATCGCCAAAAACAACCCGACAAGATTCACCAGAAAAAAACACAACAAAATCAAAAAAACAAAAGCCACAAAAACAATCTTGACAAGTTTTGATTATTTTTGTTTTCCTAGTTTGTTTTTTTCTGTGTGCTCTGGTTGTGTATTGTTTAAACCGCTATACTCTTTATGCTGTTCGGCTCAAAAGCCTGGTATACAAAAAGGATCAAAACAAACTCCTTACAGTAATTTTTGGCTCGAGAGAAAAAGAAGAGTCAAAAATGTATGAAAGGAAGGGGGGACAGGCCTACCCCTCCTTAGAATACATTTTCTGAATTTCTGGGTTCGATATGATTAGACTTTAGACATGGTTGGACCTATGGTTGGATATGGTTGGATATACACACCATCATACACCATCCAATCAAATCCTTTTGTATGTCCTTGTATACAAACAAATAGGCTTACATATTTTTTTGGATCAAATGATCAAAGGAAAAAGATCGAAAATGTATGAATGGGGGGGGGACAGGCTCACCCCTCCTTGGAATACATTTCTGGGTTAATTATGATTGGATGTGGTCCTGGTTAGATTTGGTTGGATACACACAAAATTCTGTCCATTTGCCCTTGTAGTCTGACACCGGCTTCAACAGAGAAAGTTGATTCTAGCAAAAAATGAAACACATAAAAAACAAAAAGCACAATCAAAACACAGAATCGCCAAAAACAACCCGACAAGATTCACCAGAAAAACACAACAAAATCAAAAAACAAAAGCCACAAAAACAATCTTGACAAGTTTTGATTATTTTTGTTTTCCTAGTTTGTTTTTTTCTGTGTGCTCTGGTTGTGTATTGTTTAAACCGCTATATTCTTTATGCTGTTCGGCTCAAAAGCCTGGTATACAAAAAGGATCAAAACAAACTTCTTACAGTAATTTTTGGCTCGAGAGAAAAAGAAGAGTCAAAAATGTATGAAAGGAAGGGGGGACAGGCCTACCCCTCCTTAGAATACATTTTCTGAATTTCTGGGTTCGATATGATTAGACTTTAGACATGGTTGGACCTATGGTTGGATATGGTTGGATATGGTTGGATATGGTTGGATACACACACCATCCAATCAAATCCTTTTGTATGTCCTTGTATACAAACAAATACTATCTTACATATTTTTTTGATCAAAGGAAAAAGAAAGTTCGAAAATGTATGAATGGCGTGGGGCGCAGGCTCACCCCTCCTTGGAATACATTTCTGGTTTAATTCTGATTGGATGTGGTCCTGCTTAGATTTGGTTGGATACACACAAAATTCTGTTCATTTGCCCTTGTAGTCTGACACCGGCTTCAACAGAGAAAGTTGATTCTAGCAAAAAATGAAACACATAAAAAACCAAAACACAATCAAAACACAGAATCGCCAAAAACAACCCGACAAGATTCACCAGAAAAAAACACAACAAAATCAAAAAAACAAAAGCCACAAAAACAATCTTGACAAGTTTTGATTATTTTTGTTTTCCTAGTTTGTTTTTTTCTGTGTGCTCTGGTTGTGTATTGTTTAAACCGCTATACTCTTTATGCTGTTCGGCTCAAAAGCCTGGTATACAAAAAGGATCAAAACAAACTCCTTACAGTAATTTTTGGCTCGAGAGAAAAAGAAGAGTCAAAAATGTATGAAAGGAAGGGGGGACAGGCCCACCCCTCCTTAGAATACATTTTCTGAATTTCTGGGTTCGATATGAATAGACTTTAGACATGGTTGGACCTATGGTTGGATATGGTTGGATACACACACCATCCAATCAAAGCCTTTTGTGTGTCCTTGTATACAAACAAATACCATCTTACATATTTTTTTGGATCAAATGATCAAAGGAAAAAAACAGTTCGAAAATGTATGAATGGGGGGGGGGGACAGGCTCACCCCTCCTTGGAATACATTTCTGGGTTAATCATGATTGGATGTGGTCCTGGTTAGATTTGGTTGGATACACACAAAATTCTGTTCATTTGCCCTTGTAGTCTGACACCGGCTTCAACAGAGAAAGTTGATTCTAGCAAAAAATGAAACACATAAAGAAACAAAAACACAATCAAAACACAGAATCGCCAAAAACAACCCGACAAGATTCACCAGAAAAAACACAACAAAATAAAAAAACAAAAGCCACAAAAACAATCTTGACAAGTTTTGATTATTTTGTGTTTTCCTAGTTTGTTTTTTTTCTGTGTGCTCTGGTTGTGTATTTTTTAAACCGCTATACTCTTTATGCTGTTCGGCTCAAAAGCCTGGTATACAAAAAGGATCAAAACAAACTCCTTACAGTAATTTTTGGCTCGAGAGAAAAAGAAGAGTCAAAACTGTATGAAAGGAAGGGGGGACAGGCCCACCCCTCCTTAGAATACATTTTCTGAATTTCTGGGTTCGATATGATTAGACTTTAGACATGGTTGGACCTATGGTTGGATATGGTTGGACACACACAACATCCAATCAAATCCTTTTGTATGTCCTTGTATACAAACAAATACTATCTTACATAATTTTTTGGATCAAAGGAAAAAGAAAGTTCGAAAATGTATGAATGGCGGGGGGGACAGGCTCACCCCTCCTTGGAATACATTTCTGGTTTAATTCTGATTGGATGTGGTCCTGGTTAGATTTGGTTGGATACACACAAAATTCTGTTCATTTGCCCTTGTAGCCTGACACCGGCTTCAACAGAGAAAGTTGATTCTAGCAAAAAATGAAACACATAAAAAACAAAAACACAATCAAAACACAGAATCGCCAAAAACAACCCGACAAGATTCACCAGAAAAAACACAACAAAAACAAAAAACAAAAGCCACAAAAACAATCTTGACTAGTTTTGATTATTTTGTGTTTTCCTAGTTTGTTTTTTTTTCTGTGTGCTCTGGTTTTGTATTGTTTAAACCGCTATACTCTTTATGCTGTTCGGCTCAAAAGCCTGGTATACAAAAAGGATCAAAACAAACTCCTTACAGTAATTTTGGGCTCGAGAGAAAAAGAAGAGTCAAACATGTATGAAAGGAAGGGGGGACAGGCCCACCCCTCCTTAGAATACATTTTCTGAATTTCTGGGTTGGACCTATGGTTGGATATGGTTGGATACACACACCATCCAATCAAATCCTTTTGTATGTCCTTGTATACAAACAAATACTATCTTACATATTTTTTGGATCAAAGGAAAAAGAAAGTTCGAAAATGTATGAATGGGGTGGGGGGACAGGCTCACCCCTCCTTGGAATACATTTCTGGGTTAATCATGATTGGATGTGGTCCTGGTTAGATTTGGTTGGATACACACAAAATTCTGTTCATTTGCCCTTGTAATCTGACACCGGCTTCAACAGAGAAAGTTGATTCTAGCAAAAAATGAAACACATAAAAAACAAAAACACAATCAAAACACAGAATCGCCAAAAACAACCCGACAAGATTCACCAGAAAAAACACAACAAAATCAAAAAACAAAAGCCACAAAAACAATCTTGACAAGTTTTGATTATTTTGTGTTTTCCTAGTTTGTCTTTTTCTGTGTGCTCTGGTTGTGTATTTTTTAAACCGCTATACTCTTTATGCTGTTCGGCTCAAAAGCCTGGTATACAAAAAGGATCAAAACAAACTCGTTACAGTAATTTTTGGCTCGAGAGAAAAAGAAGAGTCAAAAATGTATGAAAGGAAGGGGGGACAGGCCCACCCCTCCTTAGAATACATTTTCTGAATTTCTGGGTTCGATATGAATAGACTTTAGACATGGTTGGACCTATGGTTGGATATGGTTGGATACACACACCATCCAATCAAATCCTTTTGTATGTCCTTGTATACAAACAAATACTATCTTACATATTTTTTTGGATCAAAGGAAAAAGATCGAAAATGTATGAATGGGGGGGGGGAAAGGCTCACCCCTCCTTGGAATACATTTCTGGGTTAATCATGATTGGATGTGGTCCTGGTTAGATTTGGTTGGATACACACAAAATTCTGTTCATTTGCCCTTGTAGTCTGACACCGGCTTCAACAGAGAAAGTTGATTCTAGCAAAAAATGAAACACATAAAAAACAAAAACACAATCAAAACACAGAATCGCCAAAAACAACCCGACAAGATTCACCAGAAAAAACACAACAAAAACAAAAAACAAAAGCCACAAAAACAATCTTGACTAGTTTTGATTATTTAGTGTTTTCCTAGTTTGTTTTTTTTTGTGTGCTCTGGTTGTGTATTTTTTAAACCGCTATATTCTTTATGCTGTTCGACTCAAAAGCCTGGTATACAAAAAGGATCAAAACAAACTCCTTACAGTAATTTTTGGCTCGAGAGAAAAAGAAGAGTCAAAAATGTATGAAAGGAAGGGGGGACAGGCCCACCCCTCCTTAGAATACATTTTCTGAATTTCTGGGTTGGACCTATGGTTGGATATGGTTGGATACACACACCATCCAATCAAATCCTTTTGTATGTCCTTGTATACAAACAAATACTACCGTACATATTTTTTTGGATCAAAGGAAAAAGAAAGTTCGAAAATGTATGAATGGGGGGGGGACAGGCTCACCCCTCCTTGGAATACATTTCTGGGTTAATCATGATTGGATGTGGTCCTGGTTGGATTTGGTTGGATACACACACAATTTTGTTCATTTGCCCTTGTAGTCTGACACCGGCTTCAACAGAGAAAGTTGATTCTAGCAAAAAATGAAAAACATGTCAAAAACGCAATCAAAACACAGAATCGCCAAAAACAACCCGACAAGATTCACCAGAAAAACAACAAAACAAAAAAAAACACAAAAACAGCAAAAAAATCAATCAAAACCTGGAGTTTGACAAGTGTTGATTATTTTGTGTTTTCCTAGTTTGTTTTTTCTGTGTGCTCTGGTTTTGTATGTCTTAAACCCTGTATTCTTTATGCTGTTCGGCTCTTTCGGCTCAACAAGCGAGGGGTGTGGCCAAAAAAGGCTTTCGGAAGAACGGCGACCGGCAAATTAAACATGTTCTTTTTTTCAGTGCAGCAACTTGGGTGTCTAGAAAACATGAAAAGTATAAAACTAAGGGGGCAGTGAATTCCAGCTGACCTATGAATATCCAAAATAGACACACGCACGTAAAATGTATAAACCGGGGGGCTCATGGAACACTGCGGAATCCTGGGGTTGCCCACGGAATGGTTGGCCAACACGTACGTAAAAAGTATAAAGGCTCAGGGGTTTAAAACCCCTAGGAACCCCAGGAATTCCAAAACCCCTGCAAAATGTATCAAACTGGGGGGGAGGTGGTTCGAACTGCCTTTGTCCACCCCATCCATCTTCCACCCCCCCCCCGCGAACGCTACGTGGTGTATAAATTTTTTCCCTGGGGAACCCTAGGAAGAAACACGTAAAAAGTACATTTTTGGCAGCGTACACCCCCCCTCTCTTGTACTTTTTTAGGGGGTGGGTGATTATATATATATATATATAGTGTTGATACGTCTGAACACGTTGGATGCCCCAAGATTGCAATTGCCAAAGGAAAATGATGGCAGGCACTGGTAAATACTATCTATCAATGAATCAAGTTTTTTTGGGTGCCATAATTTCAGACAAACCAACATCTGATCCAATCCCCTTCTATCAAATCAACCCAAGAAACCCTGGAGTTCTGGATGAATACTTGGGTCCGATTATTTACCCGGCACTTTTTTTGGGCATCGAATGAATGGATTTGTCTGAAAAAGATATCCCAAATCAACCAGCTTAATTATCGTCGAATCGTGGTTTATCAGTTTATCATTATTTTCCAATATTCAAATTGTCATTTTTGGGGCATACCTGTAATACATCTCCATTAAAAAAAACAAATCCTCACCATATCCTAGAACATCCCCATTATGATTGCCCTTCCTTGTTTTAATTCTATTCCATGACAAGACTCCGCCAGGCACCTGCCTTCCCACAAGCACTCACCAGACTGCCGCAACTCACAATGTCCTCAGGAACTTTCCCTGGGCTTATGATCCATTGAAATGTAAAATTACATACTTACAAGGTGGCCCAAAGGTGGCCCCAAAAAGCCAAGTTGCTTTACAACTTTGTGAACGCCAAGGTTTACGGGGAATATCACTGATATAACCAGAGTTTAAAACAGTTTACCAACTGGGGTCACACCTTCTAAGAACCTAATTTGATCATCTCGTTGGGACCATGCTGAAATCTTTCAGGCGGTCATGAATATTGGATAAACTCTCAGAGCTAGGCACCCTCCGCCGCACGATATATTTATCTCTTTATTTATTAAATCATCTATTTACTTATTAATATATATATATGTGTATATACCAGGATAGAGATATACCGTTAAAAACAAAGTTAGAATGCGGTTTTGGCTTCGCGTGATGGTGGCCCGTTTGGCCCCCCCTCCACGGCAGTCGCATTCTAACTGAGGAAACACCTGTAAATATGCAGAAACACAGTTAGAATGCGGCGCCAAAATTGGTAAGAAAATGTAAGTTTTGACTGGTATTTTACAGGCGAAATACAGTTAGAATGCCTCCTCCTTTTCTTCTATATTGTTCCTTGCCCTTCCTTTTCTTATGTCTTTTTCATTGATCTATATCTGCTGTAGTTTCCGGGGGGCATTTTATCTGTTGTTTTTCTACTGTAGCCACATTTCTGACCCGCAGGGAACCTGGAGTGCCCTTGTCTCTTTTCCGATCTTATCCGCTTCCCTTTCCTTGTCCTTTTGTTTCTATAATGTTCCTTTCCCTTCCTTTTCTTCTATGTCTGTATTCATTGATCTATACGTGCTGTAGTTTCCGTAGGCATTCTATCTGTTGTTTTCCCTGCTGTAGCCATATGTTTCTGACCCGCAGGGAACCTGGAGTGCCCTTGTCTCTTTTCCGATCTTATCTCTTCCCTTTTCTCCTCCTTTTCCTCTATGTTGTTCCTTACCCTTCCCTTTCTTCTATGCCTTTTTCATTGACCCATATCTGCTGTAGTTTCCGGGGAGGCATTCTATCTGTTGTTTTCGCCACTGTAGCCATATGTTTTTGACCCGCAGGGAACCTGGAGTGCCCTTGTCTCTTTTCCGACCTTATCCTCTTCCCTTTTCTCCTCCTTTTCTTCTATATTGTTCCTTACCCTTCCTTTTCTTCTATGTCTTTTTCATTGACCTATATCTGCTGTAGTTTCCGGGGAGGCATTCTATCTGTTGTTTTCCGCACTGTAGCCATATGTTTCTGACCAGCAGGGAACCTGGAGTGCCCTTATTTCTTTTCCGATCTTATCCTCTTCCCTTTTCTCCTCCTTTTCTTCTATATTGTTCCTTACCCTTCCTTTTCTTCTATGTCTTTTTCATTGATCTATACCTGCTGTAGTTTCCGGGGAGGCATTCTATCTGTTGTTTTCCCCACTGTAGCCATATGTTTCTGACCCGCAGGGACCTGGAGTGCCCTTGTCTCTTTTCCGATCTTATCCTCTTCCCTTTTCTCCTCCTTTTCTTCTATATTGTTCCTTACCCTTCCTTTTCTTCTATGTCTTTTTAATTGATCTATATCTGCTGTAGTTTCCGGGGAGGCATTCTATCTGTTCTTTTCCCCGCTGTAGCCATATGTTTCTGACCCGCAGGGAACCTGGAGTGCCCTTGTCTCTTTTCCGATCTTATCCTCTTCCCTTTTCTCCTCCTTTTCTTTTTTTTTTGTTCCTTAATTACTCTTCCTTGTCTTCTGTCTTTTTCATTGATCTATATCTGCTGTAGTTTCCGGGGAGGCATTCTATCTGCTGTTTTCCCCACTGTAGCCATATGTTTCTGACCCGCAGGGAACCTGGAGTGCCCTTGTCTCTTTTCCGACCTTATCCTCTTCCCTTTTCTCCTCCTTTTCTTCTATATTGTTCCTTACCCTTCCTTTTCTTATGTCTTTTTTATTGATCTATATCTGCTGTAGTTTCCGGGGAGGCATTCTATCTGTTGTTTTCCCTGCTGTAGCCATATGTTTCTGACCCGCAGGGAACCTGGAGTGCCCTTGTCTCTTTTCCGATCTTATCCTCTTCCCTTTTCTCCTCCTGTTCTTCTATATTGTTACTTACCCTTCCCTCTCTTCTATGCCTTTTTCATTGATCTATATCTGCTGTAGTTTCCGGGGAGGCATTCTATCTGTTGTTTTCGCCACTGTAGCCAGATGTTTCTGACCCGCAGGGAACCTGGAGTGCCCTTGTCTCTTTTCCGATCTTATCCTCTTCCCTTTTCTCCTCCTTTTCTTCTATATTGTTCCTTACCCTTCCTTTCCTTCTATGTCTTTTTCATTGATCTATATCTGCTTCAGTTCCGGGGAGGCATTCTATCTGTTGTTTCGCACTGTAGCCATATGTTTCTACCCGCAGCGGAACCTGGACTGTGCCATTGGAACGCCGCCCTTGTCTCTTTTACGCATTATACTCTTCCCTTTGCTCCTCATTGTCTTAATAGAGGGTGATTACCTTACTTTTCTTTCTTATGCTTTTCCATTGATTCTCTATCTGCTGTAGTTTCCGGGCAGGCATTCTATCTGTTGTTTTCCGCACTGTAGCCATATGTTTCTCACCCGCATGGAACCTGGAGTGCCCTTGTCTCTTTTCCGATCTTTTCCTCTTCCCTTTTCTCCTCCTTTTCTTCTATATAGTTCCTTACCCTTCCTTTTCTTCTATGTTTTCTTCATTGACCTATATCTGCTGCTGTTTCCGGGGAGGCATTCTATCTGCTGATTATCTGCTGTTTTCCCCACTGTAGCCATATGTTTCTGACCCGCAGGGAACCTGCAGTGCCCTCGTCTCTTTTCCGACCTTATCCTCTTCCCTTTTCTCCTCCTTTTCTTCTATATTTTTTCCTTACCCTTCCTTTTCTTCTATGTCTTTTTCATTGATCTATATCTGCTGTAGTTTCCGGGGAGGCATTCTATCTGTTGTTTTCGCCACTGTAGCCATATGTTTCTGACCCGCAGGGAACCTGGAGTGCCCTTGTCTCTTTTCCGACCTTATCCTCTTCCCTTTTCTCCTCCTGTTCTTCTATATTGTTCCTTACCCTTCCTTTTCTTCTATGTCTTTTTCATTGATCTATATCTGCTGTAGTTTCCGGGGAGGCATTCTATCAGTTGTTTTCCCCACGGTAGCCATATGTTTCTGACCCGCAGGGAACCTGGAGTGCCCTTGTCTCTTTTCCGATCTTATCCTCTTCCCTTTTCTCCTCCTTTTCTTCTATATAGTTCCTTACCCTTCCTTTTCTTCTATGTTTTCTTCATTGACCTATATCTGCTGCTGTTTCCGGGGAGGCATTCTATCTGCTGATTATCTGCTGTTTTCCCCACTGTAGCCATATGTTTCTGACCCGCAGGGAACCTGGAGTGCCCTTGTCTCTTTTCCGACCTTATCCTCTTCCGTTTTCTCCTCCTTTTCTTCTATATTGTTCCTTACCCTTCCTTTTCTTCTATGTCTTTTTCATTGATCTATTTCTGCTGTAGTTTCCGGGGAGGCATTCTATCTGTTGTTTTCCCTGCTGTAGCCATATGTTTCTGACCCACAGGGAACCTGGAGTGCCCTTGTCTCTTTTCCGACCTTATCCTCTTCCCTTTTCTCCTCCTTTTCTTCTATATTGTTCCTTACCCTTCCTTTTCTTCTATGTCTTTTTCATTGATCTATATATATCTGCTGTAGTTTCCGGGGAGGCATTCTATCTGTTGTTTTCCCCACTGTAGCCAGATGTTTCTGACCCGCAGGGAACCTTGAGTGCCCTTGTCTCTTTTCCGACCTTATCCTCTTCCCTTTTCCCTTCCTTCTCTTCTATATTTATCCTTGCGCTTCCTTTTCTTCTATGTCTTTTTCATTGATCTATACCTGCTGTAGTTTCCGGGGAGGCATTCTATCTGTTGTTTTCCCCACTGTAGCCATATGTTTCTGACCCGCAGGGAACCTGGAGTGCCCTTGTCTCTTTTCCGACCTTATCCTCTTAACTTTTCTCCTCCTTTTCTTCTATATTGTTCCTTACCCTTCCTTTTCTTCTATGTCTTTTTCATTGATCTATATCTGCTGTAGTTTCCGGGGAGGCATTCTATCTGTTGCTTTCCCCACTGTAGCCATATGTTTCTGACCCGCAGGGAACCTGGAGTGCCCTTGTCTCTTTTCCGACCTTATCCTCTTCCCTTTTCTCCTCCTTTTCTTCTATATTGTTCCTTAATTACTCTTCCTTCTCTTCTATGTCTTTTTCATTAATCTATATCTGCTGTAGTTTCCGGGGAGGCATTCTATCTGTTTTCCGCAGGGAACCTGGAGTGCCCTTGTCTCTTTTCCGATCTTATCCTCTTCCCTTTTCTCCTCCTTTTCTTCTATATTGTTCCTTACCCTCCCTTTTCTTCTATGCCTTTTTCATTGATCTATATCTGCTGTAGTTTCCGGGGAGGCATTCTATCTGTTGTTTTCCCCATTGTAGCCATATGTTTCTGACCCGCAGGGAACCTGGAGTGCCCTTGTCTCTTTTCCGATCTTATCCTTTTCCCTTTTCTCCTCCTTTTCTTTTATATTGTTCCTTACTCTTTCTTTTCTTCTACGTCTTTTTCATTGAACTATATCTGTTGTAGTTTCCGGGGAGGCATTCTATCTGTTGTTTTCCCCACTGTAGCCATATGTTTCTGACCTGCAGGGAAACTGGAGTGCCCTTGTCTCTTTTCCGACCTTATCCTCTTCCCTTTTCTCCTCCTTTTCTTCTATATTGTTCCTTACCCTTCCTTTTCTTCTATGTATTTTTCATTGATCTATATCTGCTGTAGTTTCCGGGGAGGCATTCTATCTGTTGTTTTCCCCACTGTAGCCAGATGTTTCTGACCCGTAGGGAGCCTGGAGTGCCCTTGTCTCTTTTCCGACCTTATCCCATTTCCTTTTCTCCTCCTTTTCTTCTATATTGTTCCTTACCCTTCCTTTTCTTCTATGTCTTTTTCATTGATCTATATCTGCTGTAGTTTCCGGGG